GGGCAGTATTCTGACGTTCCCATCGGATTTCAGTAGATGACTATCTAGCAGGGCATCCTCTACGTCGGTAGCATTTTGAAGTGTCACACGAAATAGTCTTGGTTGATTTTGATACTTAGATTACTTTACCCGAGTGAGCCGTGTGACCGTCAAAGGCTCTATTCTAAGAAGTTCGAGCTTTTTGTTCAATTCACCCCAGAGCATCCTGTCATTTTTGTCCTGCAAACTGAGAGGAAGGTCAGGGTTGTCTTTTAGGTTCATGATTATGAGAGAGTCATCATGAACCTTCATTGTTTTCCCAGGTTTTCCTTGGCGTTCAGGTTCAACACATTGTTGATTGGAGGACGAAGCACAATTCTGAGTCCTAGGCTTTTTGATAACCGGGCGGACATTTTTGGGGATAGGCTGAGCGATCAAATCACCAGTTGATTTTCATACAACACTTGAGATGTTTAGCTTAAACGGTGACGCCTGGTCCTTTTTAGCTCTGTTAACGTGGGCCCAATCACCCGCACAGTTTTTGGAAACCACTGTTGCATTTAAGGACCCTGAGCGAGGAGACCCGAGTTTACTGAGGGAGTCTATTACCGTCGACGTAATGAGGGTGCTGAGTTCCAACATGTTGCGACGATGGAGGACCTATCGACATCCCTATTCTTGTTTTCGTTACGTGCCCTTGTTTGTCTATCTGGTTTATGACTGTCTTTTTCCAAGTTTGCTGATAACTTATTCCGCAGACCTGTCAATAGGACAATGATATTACTCAACAATACTACAGCATCCGTGCTGCATCTAACACATACCCACTTATGATCCGACTTGTTGAGTGTCTTGTAAGCAGTTGCTGTGAGATCTGTGCACGCTTCATGGAACTTACCTTTGCGGTTGTCGCACTGCATGCCAGATGTAACAGCGAAACGGCATCCGGATCGTTTGCATGAATTTTTCACGGCTGTATTGACGTAAGCTGTATTATAGATGCTAGAGAAAGCCTAAGGCCATTAAAATTACACTAAAAAGTACACTAAAAATGGGAAAAATGGATAAAAACGGATGAGATAAACTGAACTATCCTTTACGTGAAAAACTGAGAAAAACTGAATAGTCAGCTGAGGCAAAACCACAGTTAAGTATTAAATTGTGCGAAAGTCAAAAAAAGTAATCTACTGAACATATAGCCCAGAATAGATTCTTTGGATCAGAAATGGTACTTTTGTTGCGTAAGAACACAGCAAAAGTTCGAGAAATGCGAACGACGTTAGGACTAAACTTCCCGTTCGAAAAGCGCGCTTATTATTCAGTTTCAAAAGAAGACACTGATCTTCAGCATGAGTGGTCTTCGTCAACCTTGAAACTATGGATCAAGCAGATGATGACAGGTAAGGAAATCTCACTATGTGGCACATGTAAAAGTAGGGGTCGTGCAATTGTGCCGAAACATTATCGACACAACGTCTTCAATATGTTCCACAAGTTTTCCCATCCACGTAATCGGGCAGCCATCAAGTTCTGGACAGAACGATTTTTCTGGCCTGGTATGAATAAAGACGTGAGGGAGTGACCAAGCTCCTGTGTAAGCTGCCAAAAATTTAAGGTTATCAGTCAAAACACATGTTTATTAGGCTCTTCCAAGACTCCTGAGGCTCGTTTCAATCATGCTCATCTGGATTTGGTAGGACCTTTACCAGATTCAAGTGAATACTCTTGTCTCTTAACCTGCGTAGACCATTTTACTCTGTGGCCAGAAGCATTACCCATCAAAGACATTACTGCTGAAACAGTGGCCCGCGCCTTCGTCGAACGATGGGTAACGAACTTCGGCTGCCTAATGACCAACACTACAGATCGTGGGCGCCAGTTCGAATCTGAACTTTACCGTTGTCTGACAGCACCATTAGGAATCACTCGCTTCCGAACGACCGCCTACCATCCACAAATAAACGGGTTAGTAGAACGTTTTCACCAACAACTAAAAGCGTCAATATCAGCCTCATACATTTCTCAGTGGACTGACGCTCTTCCACTCGACTTACTAGGTATTCGCGATGCAGTGAAAGCTGACAATGGATACACTGAGTCTCAACTCGTTTATGGTACGACCCTTCGACTTCCAGGAGGATTCATGGATCCTTCATCCTCCTCGATGAACATGGGTCTACCCTCCTACACAATCAGGCTTACAAACGCAATGCGTTCAGTTAAACCTGTTTCAACTCGGCCACAATCAACTGATGTTTTCGTTCAGCCCGACTTACGATATAGTACACACGTCTTCGTACGTCGAGACACACATCGACGACCTCTCGAGCTAGCATGCGAAGGACCTTTCAAGATTCTTCAACGTGAACCCAAGTACTATGTAATCGATAGGAACGGAACCAACGATAGCATCAGCATCGATCGCCTTGAAGCAGCTGTATTTAAAAGGAAATCTTATTCACGTCGATATTCCTTCAATACAGTCGCACGACACAACTCCTGCACTTATAATACCTCAATCGACAGCCAACACACACGTTGATACTTTGGCGGCATCAGAAAATAAACTTAAAACAACGCGTTCTGGAAGAACAGTAAGATTTCCAGAACATTTGAACGACCACTGCACGTAGGATACAGGCTGACATTCTATATCGTCTCGATTTTCCCCTGTGCTATATATAATTTTAAAAAAGCCCAATTTTATTAAGTTTACATATTCATATTTTCGCTTAAAAAAATAAGACAAAACAAAAAGACCATATTATAAAAATCCTTTTTTTACGCTATTAAGTGAGCATGAGTTTATTTTCTTTTATCGCTCGCTTTGTGTTTTTACGCGCGTACGAGTGTATTTGGACATGCACTTACATATTTTTTTTCTTTTCCAGGACGGCTGGAAAAGACGATAACAAGAACGATAAAGTTCGCGAGAAACGGAAATCTCCCTTGTACTTTTCCTTTTTTTACTATATTGTACATCATAGTCCCTTATAGTAAGGAAAGACGACCAGACGCTGCTAAACCTAGCAATCTATCAGAAGAGTGATTACCAACGACAAACTCGTTTGGTTCAAACTTCTGGCTGGCCACGTCTTAGGGCCATCACTACCCCGCTAGGGGGGAGGGAGTGATCTGTAGCGGTAAATAAATCCCCAAAATAAATAGCTCTGTAAGTTTTCGACATTGGGTGCTGACCACATTAGTTTTTATGGACTCGTCTGGCTGAAGGCGCTCGGTCATGCATCCGCATCAGATCACGAGTAGGAACGTCGTGCTCAACAGCCTCTGCAATCGCTAGCCAGATTAGATCAGACGATCCCCGATATACTGATAGCCTATCAAATATATTTTCGAACCTCCTCGCTTCTGTCTTTTGATTTCACTTGGTGGGCACGCTTCATATTAACAGGTGATACTGGTTAAAGCGTTGTGAAACTCCGAATACCTGTGTCATCTTTAACCTGCTTCATGAAATTGTACACACTCCTTTTCATGTCTTGTGTTATCACGGAGGTCTCTCGAAATGGCATACGAAGTATTTTTCAAAGTCATTAATCAATAATTTAAACATCATATCATCGATTAGAACGGAATTAACTATAGTTTCAGCAACAAACTTCTCAGAGCCATGTATTTAGAAATAAACCCTGATAATGTTGATCGTCCTTCTGTACACTCGAATGACACGAGTCTCATAATGACGAAAACCTCAATCGATATTGGACAGTCACGAAAAAATTTCCTCAACATCAGACAACCGAACTAAAATAACGCGTTTTCGGAGCAGAGCAAGGTTTCCATGAGGCTCAAAAGTTACCTACGAGTAGGACAATGAGTAGCACATTATTTTACCTCGTTCGCTTGCATTTTTGTGTCAAAAAACTTACTCTTTTTTAAAATGCCCATGTATGTGCATTTTTTTTGTTTTCTAAGAAAACCAAAACAATCACCGCATGAAAATGGTCTCTACACTAAGGCATGTTATCTATGCGCATGTACACCAGTGTTTCTTCATTTTTTGCACATTTTATGCCCTTACACGCGTATGAGTATATTTCGACATGTACATTCAACCCTTTATTCTCTTCCACGACGGCTGGAGAAGATGAATAACCGACGAAGTAAACGACAAACAGAAATTACCATTGTACATTTTTTTCATTTCAATATTGTACCACACAACCTTTTATGTCAAGAAAAGTCGATCGCATGTTGACGAACATAACAGACAATCAGAAGTGCTTATCGATGTCAAGCTCATTATGTTTAAACTTCTGGGTGCCCACATATTCGGGTCATCACCACCACACTGGATGAGCAGGGAGCTGCAGTGGCGAAGAGATTGTTAAAACTGATAGTTCTATAGGTCTTCGATGTTGATACTGACCTCATTAGTCCTACTGAATACACCAGATGGAAACGTTCCGTCATGCATTCGCACCAGTTCATTAGTGGGTAAGCCGTGTTACGACAGCTTTTCAACTACTAGCCCGCCTAGATCAAACGCTTCTCGACATATCGATAGCCCCAAAAATATATCTTCAAAGCCATTCATTTCTGACTTCCTATTTGACTGAGTTGACATACTTCGATTTCGAAAATGATACGCGTAAAGGCGTTGTCAAACTTCAAATACCTGTGGTAACTTTACCAATATCGTTGGTTCAAACGGTGTTGTCTAGGATTCATCAGCCAACGACATTAAACGAGACAATAACAAGACACTAACACTCGTCTACCCAAAAAATATGCAATTACATATGGAAATAACCTTCTTAATTCACACTTGTCATAACAGTTTAAAATCCACTTTTCGCTTTTGCGAAGTTGTCCGTCAATTCCGTAATTTGCTCTGGTTCAAAGTTTTCAAACAAAAACCTCCTAAAACATATTGTTCTTTGATATTAAATGTCTGACCTTATACTGGTGAATTAATGTTACATGTGTACTGGATATTGATTTATCACATATTTGTTAAGACAAATGTTGCTAAGGTCAGTTGTAGCGTTGCGCAATATAATTTTTCAACACATTTCATCCCTTAACGTGGACATGTTTTTATTTGCGAACAGACAGCAACCAGTTTAATTATACTTTCATAAAGTTTCACTTAACTTGGATGGATGATACTTTTCATGTAAATGTGTAAAATATTTGTTTCTATCTTGTTGATTGGACAGACTATAGATTCGGTTAATCCTGAATTTCTATGTTCAGAAGTGTGCATAAAAACACTCGAAGATACATCTTCTGATGAGGAAAATACACCAAAAGATGAGGAAGGGTCAGAATTCAGGGGTGCTTTTGATATCTGTCAACCTGTTCTTAGACTAGTCGATGAAGAAAACCTACTCGTTCTCCCTCCCGAAGATCAAGAAGAGAAAAGTGATGTTGTAAAGCCATCAAGTATGTTGCATGTTATTTTCCGTTATGATAGATAAAGCCGTGTTAAATAAACCGGAAACTCCACATAAATCATCAGAAACAGCTGAAGGTCAAGTTTGCAGGAAAAAAAGGAAAAAGAAGTAATCTCATCATTTCTAAAGTTGTTTATAATCTCTTTCAGACATCTCATTGTCAACCTTTCAAATTGTAAATATGAATCAGGTTTGTTTAAAGTTTAAATTAGTAAACACCACTCATATTTATTAATAAATATTGGTGTTTGTCTTAGAGAAATCTGTTTGTTGTTTTGTAAATAATAGTATTAAATTAGCGTATGCAGCACGGTGCGGAAAGTGGGTAAAACTTTTGAAGTCAGCCGACCCTTATAAAGCCATTACTTTCTAAACTACACTCTGTGCAAAGTTATATAATTACTTGTACACATACTACCCTATTTTCACTTAGATATAAAGTTCCAGGAACTGGTGATATGAAGCTAAATGAATTCGTGTACTACAGTGATATATACGTTAGACGTTCCGGTATATATTTTTAACAACTGGGAAAACAAACATCTTGGTGAAAATTGGGTAATAACTATGTCGCATTGTGTATTTAAAAAGTTTCAGCGAGTGATTTCAAAGCTTAAGTATCTTGTAAAGAGTAAATATACGAATATGGTTTGTGAAGAGGGAAGAATTCGGTGTGTCGTAATGAATTTTATGATTCCGCTACATCTTACATTTATCACTCTAGAAATTGTTGAATAAAGTGTGGTATTTTGATCAAAACGTATAAATTGTACGATTAATTGATCTACTGAAAATTGACAGAGTAATATATTTCAACGATACAGACGGATACGTTTAAAGTTTTCCAAATTTTAGCCTGTGCGACATAATCTATCTAAGAGTATATTAAAGGTTCAGTCTACAATCTAGCAGTTTCTCCTGCAGTTTTATGGATACCTTAAATAGTGACTTGATACGTTAAAGTGTTATAGGTATTTTATCATAAGCATATTCTAAGAATAAGAAACGTTCTGTTACCAATATGTTGATGTTTCTGAACTCAAGTGTAAATTATTAATTATAGAGCAAAAATCAGTCTTAAAGGTTACTTTTTCAACCACCTAGTTGTGATACAGGTACAAGTCTGTAGCTCAGCTGGACTTTCTTAAATGAATTAACTAAAAGTAACCCAGAGCGAATGTTGCAGCAAATTTATTTTTATATCACTTGTGCTAAATCTCTACACTGATCATTTGCAGTCCTAAGCATCAATGGAAAGTTTCAAACAATCAATACAAAATGAATTAAAACATCACCCCATTGGACAAACTAGGGACTACTAGGACCCAGTCACTAAGTCAACAAAGCGATAGTGTTTGAAGCAAAAGGTACAGAGGTGAAGTCCCAGAGTGAACATCAACTCTGAGATGCAGGCACATTCATTTGACGAGTCTCAAATAAGACGAAACTCGCGTCATGGGTTTCACTGATAGCCATCATCATATCTGCTTAAAATTTTATAAGTGTCTCAATACAGCAGTACTATATCTTTAGCCAACATGGTATTGATGTGATCCACATATTATTGTGCGAACTCTTTGGTTGGAGGCTTGAAAAGTCAAGAGAGTTAGCAGTTAAACACTTAAATCGGTACTGTCTAAGAGGACAGTATAATTTATGATACATACTCTTAAAGTCCTTTAAACAAATTACGTCATATTTCTCTATGTTTTTCATATCACACCACAGTTTCTTTTAAGTCTTTTATGCTTAGTTTTGCTTTTTCATGCTTTTGGTGGGCGGTAAAGTTTTTACAAACTCATTACTCCGGATGTAAATATTATTTGCTTTTACCACTCATACAAAAAACTTCAGTGAACTGGAAGTCTAATTACTTTTTAAAGCATAAACGAACTATGTTGATAGGCGTTTTACCTTGGGAAAAAATCCAACAGTGAAAAACCTAGTAATATAAGAAGATGGTCAGCATTTACACGTTGCATTTAGTTTTTGAATGGTGTTTTTCGAGAAATTTCATATAATTTAGCATTACAATAAATACTCGTAGAAATCTAACCAGATGGTTTGACAGAAACAAAGTAATAAGTATATATATATATGAGCATCTTACCCCGGTCACTCAACTTAAGTATGCCAGCGTCACCATGAAACAGACAAAATATCAACAAATTACGTTCTCGCTTGAGTTGAACTCTGCTTAATAAGGACATCAACAGACTGCCGGTACTGAAACAGTGTTTACGTATGTTTCTTTATAACTCCCAGATTATGTGACCGACTTTTATTTATTATTTTAGTACGCAGGGTTCTAAAACGATTTGGCTTCCGAGAAACCGAAGATGACGAAGACTGGTGTCTCTATTGGACCGATTATTCAGTTACTATTGATAAGGTTTTGGTTATGAAACAGTGGCAGGTATGTGCTGAAATACTTTTGTGAAAGACACGATAGTTGTTTATCGAGTAAAAGTAACTTCTTTTAAACCAATGTAACTCTCAAAGTGTCTGATGTGAATGGAAATTATTCAAGCCACTAAAGTTCTAGTAAATGGTGTTTCTCTCTAATTACTGGTTTTCATCTTATGTTCAATTGTTAAATATTATAAAACGTATCTCAATGTTTTCAAAAGAATCCTGAATTTGTTTTATTGTAATTATTGGTGAGTCAAATTACTCCAGACTTACGACGGGCTATGTTAGAACGTATCTAAGTTTACTGTTTTATCTATAATTTGAGCTGCAGCATAAAACACTCGTGATTAGTATGAATCGATGTATTATTACTTTTTGAGGTTTTTTTAACGCTACCTGTATCGTTATAAAAAGTATCTGATAGCATACGTGGGTAAATAATAGAATTATTCAGAAAAAAATACAGAACAAGCTAGTTAAATAAAAAATAAAATATTCAATTTTGTATACCCAAGACAAACCTGCAGTATTGACAGAATGTCTTCTATTCTGAGGTATTCAAAGAATGACCTCTACAAAGAAAACCGGCCTAATAAAATACACTTCTTTATGTATCTGAAGTCAAGTAACCAGTATTATATGTAGATTTGACTGTTGAAATTCTATTTTCACTTTAAATTACCGGTATAAAGTCTCTCTCAAATCTGGCAACGTTTGTTATTGACCTTTTCAAATTAAAAACATTTTGCAAAACATCAAATGAGAAAATAAGCGTACTTTCAGGACTAAATTAACATAATTTTGTAATTAAATCTGATCCATTGTTGCATTTATTATGGTATAATAAAATAAAAACATCTAGTATTTAAGTACATATGAGACAAAGGTTTATCAATTACAAACTTCGTATTTAGTGGACGCTATTTATTTCTTGGAAACAAACAAACATCATGTATGATCATATAAAAAAACTGTAGAACAAATAATTTTACAAATTAACGAGGTATAAATCACACTTATTATATAAGCATGAAGTACATCATATGATTAATTCATCCAAAATAGGATGAATATGATATAAACCTCCAACAAATTTGCTCGGAAATACAAGATACAACCTCAGAATTGTAGTTATCTACTTTTGTCAACAGAACGCGATTGGTTCGATGAAAACAATTATTATTATAACCAATTGTACCAGTGATTGTTTTACCGTTCTCGTTTGCTTAACTGTTCTAATGACAGCCATTTTAGCCTTCCATTGAACTCCATTACTTCTGCGCGGTTCGTGACTCTACGCACGTACTTTCTCCTGCCGATCCCACTTGTACTCCTTTGGGACGATCTCGGTATTCTTTCGATACCACGAGATCGCCAACGAATGCACCTCGACTACAGCCATCATCTTCCTTCTGATATTGGCCTACGGGGGTCTTATTGGTTAATTGGCACGTAGTCTTGTAGCGGTTTTCATAATAAAGCGCCATTCGACACCACGCTACAGAATAAAAGTGAAAGAGACTAAGTATAACTAATTGATGCTACTTACAACAACAGTATAAACGGTTAATTTTATGTTGAGTGTTATTTATTGTTCTATAAATTACCTTATAATATATTTTTAATCAGTAATTTTAAGACAGACTGCACAAACAATAGTATATTAGCTTAAGTAGTCATAAGGTTTTACCACAATGAAACTAACAGAAGTAACACTTTATTGAGATGTTGGTGGACTACGAAAAACTTAACACAATAACCGGATTTTCATGTTTAGCATTCAGTTCTGTAGTGATTTTTAGTGATAACGTCTAATAAAATAATTGATCATTTTAAGTTATTTAAAAGTTCAAGGATTATTGCTGAAACTGCCGATAATTACTCGTCATTAATAAGGTTCAATAGTCTTAATAATGAAACCACTAGGTAATCTGTAAATAAGTCAATCGTTGTTTGTTGCGGTAGTCAAAACTAAGTTTTAATTATTTCCCGTTGAAATATGTGCGCCCTAACAGGATCCTCCAATAGTTCCAATGATAACAACTTTTAATATCTACTACGTGATTTGTGGCGTTCGGTTATGAAGTAATATGCAAAGGGTTTAGAAGTAATACAGAGTGAACATAGCATAATTTCAACTGGGTTGAAAATAATTATGTACATAGGAATTGATTGCTTATGAAATATTCAAAATCTAATCAAGCAGTCGATTCATATGAATTTTATTAGACACAAACTTTGAATATCGGTATAGATTTTTCATTAGATATTTATAGATCTCGCATATTTATTGTAAGTGAGTCTTCAACCTTGATATCAAATATCCAACTTCATCATAATGAATAATTTAAAATAGCTTGTAACTCAAAGAATAAATCCTTCAGTAATATAAATTATTTAACACAAATATACACAGCATATAGTTGGTCCAGGTAAATCAAACTCACAACCTAATAACTTAGGTGTAATGAAGGGATCTGAGTTATTTTATTACATGTTTATTAATCTGTATTCTAAATTTTATTCCACAAAAAAAGTATCGCCATACAAGTGATCGTAAATGTAAATAAATAACTAGTTAAACTATATTCCCTTTTTTGCTTATCCAAAACTTATAGAAAATAAATCATTTTCCAGGAATGTCTGAAATTTGTCGGAAAGATAGTTTAGCACGTAATCTAAATAGAATGATCAAATTATTTCCTAAAGACTATAATATATTTCCAAAAACTTGGTGCCTTCCATCAGAGTAAGTTGAATTTTATCATGTTTGTATGTTTCAGCTAATTTATAGTTCACTTTGTAATATGTTTTTAGAAGAATTTAATACAATTTTCACCATTACCATAATATATCCCAAGAAAACTCATGCATAATCATATATGGATATCTTTCATAGATACTGTCTATAATATAAGATTGATGATGGATTTAATTTAACTTGGTAGTCATTTTTATTTGGAAGAAAGTAAAGAATAAAATTCACGTGGTGAATTTTAACGAAATATAAACTGAATTACAAAAATAAACAATCGAAATACGAATGTACTTTCAAAAACTTATAAAGATTTAGGTAGAGTTTTGAAGAAGTAACATTTCTACGATTCATATAACAACCACTTATAATTATAATCTTACTACTATCTATACAAATTATTTTTAGCAATCCTAGTTCAAATCTTTTAATTACAGCGTAATCAATCAAAAGCTTACAATTTTGACTATTAACTATTGAATATGCCTTGTAATATTAACTAATTTTGCAAATACTTGATTATGTTGGGGAGTGTTAAAATATTTTAGTATCCAGGCATGTTTTCATTATACAAAACGTTTTTTTCATAAAATAAATATACATTGATTAATTTTAGTGAATTTATTTTGCTTTCCTGGAAATAAAGCCAAAAATGTAAATCTGATCAATAGATCATAGATTTATGTTTAGTAAATGAGATATATAGAACGTTACAATTGTATTAAATAAAAACTAAGACCTTGATGAATCTAGGTAGGGATATACTTCATTTGACATTTCATCAAACTCCGATGGTTTATGTTTATTCTTGATGACATACAAATATTCCTGAGTGATATGTTTTAACATACATCTATCGGGGATCTGAATAATTTCTTATGTTACTTCTGACTAGTATTCCAGGATATACATCTCAAAACAAGTCATCAGTGAATATATTTAAGCAACAGTCACTATGATTAGATAACGCGTTTCAAAAGCTGACTCAATCTCTTTACATTCTGGATATCTTACTGACACGATGTTTAAAAATCCAGAAACATATCAAAAAAACATGTTAAACATTTCTAAATTCCTCTCAATAGTTGAATTTATGATGACCATTCCAGAGATTTATTACAACATTCCAACTTATCTAATGATTGTGATTGTCGTCGTCTTCAATTAAAATTTTCTTAATCTTTTTAGTTGGAATGATATTCAAAATTATGCTAAGAAGCATAAAAGTAAAACATTTATTATAAAACCAGATAATGGATGTCAAGGTCGTGGTATTTACATCACTAAAAATGCTAAAGATATTCGACCAGTGGAAAATATGATTTGCCAAGTGTACATATCTAAGGTGAATATTACCGATTGCTATTGTTAGCGCTATTATTATTAGTAGCATTTTGAATAAAATGTATTAATTTCTCTATCAGTGACTTTTAATGCATTTCTATGTTGATAGTATCCAATTCTGTTTTTCATGAATGTATGGAGAAATTTTTCGTTTTACACAAGGAGATGAATCATGATAAATACTGGACCATATAAAAAACGAACTGCTTAAAAAAGAACTAAAGTGTCTTGCAATTTACCAAACATAAAAATGAGCTTTGTAAACGGAGTAAACTTTTGGTGAATCAGAGAAAGCTCGAAAACATTTTCTGGTGGATGTAACAAATTTAGATTTCGAATCTAAAAGCTATGGGATACTGATATTGAAATTATTATTAGTCTAAACAATCATCTGTTTATTGTGAACAAGTGTATTAAGAGAAAAAAATCGTCAAAATATATCACAGTTACCATTTTGATAGGTAAATAGAAATATAGCCTGCTCCAATTGTGGTGCTAAGTGATATAAATTAAAAGAAACCTCCTAGCTTGTTTACAGATTTTATTACTCACCAAGTCACAAGACCTTATGGGACTTTTAACATAAATGAAGTGATCAATTTATTTAAGAACATCATTCTTTATTATCAGGCTAGGCTTTGATCCAGAACTTTCTTAAACTAACATATTTCAGACATTCCTGTACTGTTAATTATGGTGCTAAGAGGACTCAACATTTTTCAATTTCCCAATTAAACAGATCTGCATTGTGTGCCTTCTCAAAGTCATTCCAAACATATTTCCTTACAAAGTCAGATACATGAAGAGTGACTTCGAGAATCATACTCACAACTAAATTAAACATAAGCGCAGAAAGTAAGTAACTCACAAAGAGAATACTTGACTGAATCAATTAAGGGAATAATGGTTAATGAAATCAAATCAGTCGAAAATGTTAAGGTACGACAGATATTTGTTATAAGTCTATCTCTATCGACGTGATCTAATTCTACCTACAGCTTCGATTAACTTTTTTGATTATTAAAATAGTCCGTTTTGAGAAGCAGTATAAATATATTTATTTGTTCTATTAATTTATAACAGCATTTGTTTGGTAAACTAATCGTTTGGTTAATACATTCTATAATTATATATTACATAATATAACGAAAAGTGTGTGAGGCAAATGTATTGAAGAACTGCATTTATGTGAATTAATAACTGGACTGATTAATTGTTGCCAAATATGATTATGTTAATGTTGCTTTTTAACAACTCTATATTATTTGATTAGATGTAATAATTGTTATGTCCTTAGCTTATACGATTACTGCGAATACCATTGCCAAATTTAAATACGCGAACTTCTACAACCAACAATTTACGCATACACCTGAATGAACAGCCTGGAGTCCCGATTGGTGATTTTCCCCGCCTTTCGAGCCTAGAACATAAATCTCAGCCTCCGCAATATGAATCATATATTTCAACCATACTCAGTTTATATACAAACCAAACAGACCACATCATATCATAAATAGAAAATAGCATTTGTACAAGATCAAGCCAAAAGAGACTGTGATTATGAGATATAACAACAATATCAGTCAACTGGCTATAGTAAAGTATTTAGTGTCAGAACATGCGAGAAATAATAATATAATAGACCATATGAACAAAAAATAACTTCGTTCTCACTAGTCTTTGTAATTAAATGAATATAAACAACATGAGAATCACTTTATCATAATTTCCTCACTACTGACTAAATGATCATGTAGAAGTCTATTTATCTGAAGTAGAGCTTTTTACTCATTAAAATCCGAAATGATTATAAAATATAAAGATTAATTAGGGTCAACTGTTTATGGTCTTTACCATGTTTGTTTAAACATGATGAAAACTTGGTTTTATAGTTAACAAATGAAGCAATATTCATTAATGCACAACTATTCTGGATCATACCATAATACAGTTAGTCAACTAACTGTTAAACAAACTAAGAATTTCTGTGTTATAGAAACGATTGTTTCTCTTGAATGAAAGTGGTTTTTTATTTCTTTCATTATAAAATTTACTTTTCAGCCTTTTCTTATCGATGGATATAAATTCGACTTGCGAATTTATGTTCTACTTACTTCATGTGACCCACTACGTTTATTTGTATTTAAAGATGGCCTAGTACGTTTTACTACATGTTCATATATTGAACCAAATCAACGTAATATACATGACATGTATATGCATTTAACAAATTATGCTGTACAAAAACATAGCGAAGGCTATATCAGAGATAATGAAGAAGGAGGAACAAAACGCCGAATTACAACGCTTAATCGTTGGTTTAAAGATAATGGCTATGATGTGAAGAAGGTTAGTTGATATTTTTTAATCTCACGTATATATTATTTTCAGAATTTTGACGACACCATATATTTACGCTGTTAAAATATGAATATTTAGTGATTTATTCGTGTATGAATTCCGGTTTTCCAATTGTTTAAATGAACTAGAAGCATTACATGAGTCATGTCCCATATTAAGATGGAAATGGAGATTAGAATGGTGATGAGAAGTGCTAAATGAGCAAAAAGCTAATTGTCAATTCGTTTTGTTCGTTTTTATATTGTTCTGTTTATCAGTTGATCCTCTGAAACACGTTAAATTTTCATTATATATTTGTTTATATTACAACAACTGGAAGAATAATAAGTCTAATGACAGGTGCTGACAGCTAGATATGAATCTCCTGCACTAGACATGATAAATCATACGGGATGCATGATTTCTTTTCGGTGTAGTGTTATTTAACTAAGACTTGCATATATTAAGATTCTTTTACATATAATACTAACAGAATAATTAAATGTATATATAAGCAAAACGTTGGATTTCTGACTTTTCGTAGCTTCATTTAAGTCACTTCATGAAATGTCAGAAATCCAAATTTTCACTCACTGAGATATCAAAAAATATATTTATGATTATTTCATTATTATTAACTTTCTACCCGATTCCCAATATATTTGGAATATTCCTATGTAAGTTTATTTGTAACTTTCAGCCAAACTGACAAATTCGGATGGTTTTATTTGCTTCATATCAACTTGTATTTTTGTTTGTAACTTATAAAAAAAATCAGACAAAGAAAATGGCGAAAAAACAGCTTAAATGAAAGTACATTATCATTCACTAACTACAGCGTAAAGATTGATCTGATTACTCGCGATCCAAATCATCACTTGTGCAACCAAACAACATCAAATCACTAGGCTAATAAGCGAAACTTGCCCATGTCGGGTCTGGGACGGTTATCCACCACAGACAACTGAAAATGATCCCACGAACAGGTGAAACTCTTGAAGTTAGGTTTATACTTTATTGTATACTGACTCAACGGCCTAAACTTTAGGAATCTGGCCGCGATACTGAACGTTAAGAATTCGACCTCCGGCGATGGAGTCATGGATGCACACTACTTAGGACTCCCATACTGGAATTAAACATTTGTTCGGTGCTCCTTCGTTTTCAATAGCGGTTCAAATAAGATCATTCTATGATGTAAACTATCAAAATTTAATGATTTCCACAAATCCCAATACTGATACAACCTCATTGTAAAGCTTACCATAATTTTTAACCTACCTATATCATTGCAGATTATATATTATATGATCACTAATGGATATAGTGTGAACATATATTTTGAATGAAAACAATCAGAATTAAACGTATAAATTTAAACTGATGAGTTTAAAATGGAAATTTTCAACAAAATGTTTCTCCATCAACAACAAATACTCAGACTTAAGTCAAAATCATTAACATTTGTAACTAACAATTCTTGAAGACATGTTCAATTACTGCATTTATATTATTTTAAAAAGTTGCAAAGAAAATGTTACTTAGTTAGCTGTTATTTTAGAACTGCATTGACATATTTGACTTCACCTAATTCCATCTTGAAGTAGTTCAAAACTAGGAACGGTTACCAGATAAGAAATGAAATATGGTCAAAGGTAGTTGACAAAGATGCTTCCATAACAGGCTTTCTGTTTATTAATAGCAATTACTAGTAACATAAGGAAAGTTATGCTACACAGAAATTCAGACCACAGTTGCTTACCATTATAACCACAAGTTACTTTTGAGATACAACAGACGTATTCAACCCATTTCAAAATCAAATATAACGCTGATGACTATAATTCATGGACGAAATTTGAGCGACGCCAAAGTGACCTTGAGGGTGTCCACCTACTAACTAGGACTGAATGATGCTTATAAACCAGTGTGAAGAATTAGAATTATGATTTACAGTTGATGGTTAGGGTTAGAAACTATATTTAGGGTTTTCGTCACGAACTGAAACCAGCTAAAATGCCAAAATGCTTGATTGGTTCGTCCATCAATTATAGTCTCGCCACAACATTCAGCTGCAATATGTTCTAGAGATTTACTTAACTATAAAGCAGCAAGTACAATAAGTCATTGTGTCTAAATTATTTATTTATTTATTTATTACGGCACAAACAGTAGTGATAACTACCTAATCAGCACGGTTAGTTACAAACTAATGATAATATGGATGAGCATAAGTGAACAGCTGATTTAATATCGAGTAAAAGATATTCAAATAATTGTATTAGGCTCGCCAAATAGCTGTAGTTGTATCCATGTGTTAATAAAGCTTAGAGCCGTACTCATTCCTTCGGACTTCGTTAGGATACCCATTTGACTACAGAGTAGAAATAATTATGCCATGTCTGATCTTCACTGTATTCACTTATAATTGCAAAGATTTGTATTTTTCTGGTTTTCGATATTCTGGACTAAATTAGCATATAACTACTATAAATTAGTGGACCAATGAATAAAGCCATAGCATTCGAAGTAACGAGTACTAGGCTGAAGAATTAATCGAGACATTTAGGTCGAGATGTTGGTACATTCGGCTCACGAGTCCTACGTCAAAGGAAATCCACATCTTAGATCCCACTTCTACTCACAGTCCAAAATATTACCTACTTGTAAATTAAAACAACTTAGAATTATTGATTAAAAGCACCTATATGTAACTACTTATCACAGATAGAACAAACAAGCCAAATACGACAGGAACATACAAGTCCATCCTGATTATAATCACTAGTGAAAATGAAATCCCAATCATAATTACTAATAGTCTATCATTGTTAAATTTTTCTTATTTACAAACTAAACCATATTTAGCTGACTAAATCCCTTGAGTAATTCTAGATGATTCGAGAATAACTGCATTCAAGTGAATTCTCTAGTTTCGTAATGAATTCCCGAATAGTATCTAACTTATTATATCCTAATTAATTCAAAAATTCTAGAAACTACTCTGCAACTCTTACTTGCTCTCAAGTAATGTTGACCTACTAAGAAGGTTAATGAACTTTGCAATTCACACCATTTCGTATAATGAAATATCTCTAACTTCATATAATGGTTCAACCCATCAGTAATATCATAAACAAATATCTTATATAATGTGATGTTCCTACAAACAACATATACATATACTCTATACAGATTGGACTCAACTGGTTATGGCTTTTCACTAGAATTCCTGGAAATCCATCTTGAAACCAGTTCCTAGTGAGCACATGATGATTATGATCAGAATGGAGGTTTATGTATATATATATATATATATATATATATATATATATATATATATATATATATATATATATATATATATATATATATATATATATAATCAGAACCATTATTTTCATATAATAAGGTCTAGAACTGTTTGTCGATTCTCTTATACAATCTGAAACATTTCTTGTCAAGTTACTAACGCTATATTGATGAGGCTTTGTTTTAACCCTGTTGTTGTTGTTTCCTCTGATAATATAAAAATCGATATTATTTTCAAAAAGCAAAATCGAAAATGCATTACAACAATAATTTTCAGTCGAAATCAATATCCCACGATGAACTTTTTGTGTATAACTTTTCAATTTCTTTTTTCTCGGTTCTCTCGCTGTTTGCATTTTCATATAATCACGTGTCGAAACAAATAACACAATTTGGATTAGTACAAGAATAAATTTAAACAAATATTAAATATATGAAATAAATTCTGTCTAACTACAGTGTTCTTTTAACTATGATCCTTTGGTTATTCTGCAAATTAACTGTTCTTAAAATGCCCTGGTACGGCCGAAAGTGGGGAGAGTCAGTTTCCCTTTCGAAATTCACTCACATGGTCACGCGTATACAGCTAGTGTCAGGGAAGTCCTGCTCACTGCCTTCTCATGGCGGGGGTGTTGTTTAAGAAATTGAGAGGACGAAAAGCAGATGTCTGACGCTTTAACCGGGTTAATGGATATGGGGGATTCATCTAGTGGAGTTGGAAAACCCTGATTCTGAATCGGTGGTGAGTATGGACCCAAGATCCTGAGGGAACATATGGCGTATGAACCTATTGTTGGTCACCAGCTACTATTGGACTGCTCTCCTGACGTTGCCCCACTACCTTGTGGATTAGACCTTCAGGTCGAAGACCCGAGGTGTGGCTCCCCAAGAAAACCACCTACCTCAGTTTAAGCACCCGGTCAATATCGCAGCCCTCATACAAATCAATGAAAACTGCTACTGGCCTCGTTGTTACTGTTTGGCGTATATGTGTTTGGTGCCCCATTGTACCAACGTTTGTGTCTTCAAACAAATAAATAAAACAAATTAATTGCTAGCTGATTCACTTTTACTAATTCGAGCATAGAACAATGCTTGATAAGTGGCTGTAAGTAATCGGCATGAAACCTTACCCTACTTACTTCCCAAACACACTTTTCTACCTATTTAGGCCTGTTCAGCTGAATGCACCTTTATAATAAGCCCATCGAATAATGTTTAATTATTTATCTATTTGCTGTAATTTAAACAAGTAAGCTACCATATAAAAGTATGTGAGTCTGACTGAATGCATATCTGCAGCTCATTCTTTATCTATTCTCCCATTGGTTGTTTATACAGACGATCAACAACTTATCCACAATAGATTAACATTAATAAATATACATGGATTTTTGAACACTCACTCTATTTCTCGTGTGTTTGCGGATTTTACTAATTATTAACAACATACTATCCCTGCAGCTGGTGTCCTGGCTTTCGAATATTATCAAGTTCATAATACTATTAGGAAATTTGGCCCGCGTAGATATTCAGTTAATGGGATATTATTTGCTGGAGTCAAATGGAGTGGAATTAACCTCTACATCTTCATCTTACTGTAGACTTGCACCATGAAACTCATGTCCGGTACCCATAGCTGTAAATCTCAAAACGTTATCCATCAAATCAATAAATCTAGATAGCCACTAATTCCTCAGGTTCAAATGACTTTTAATTATATATACTGCCTTAATTCAAACTATGAATAACTAATGTCAAAGTTCAAATTACAGTCGGAAAATGAGTGGCATGTAGTCTGCACTACTTGGTAGAATATAAACATAAGTTCTTGAATGAATTGAAAAAAGAGGCTACTGTTTCATATTGCAATGAAAAGTAAGCTGTAAACCAAAACAAAAAGTCAGTAGAATGTCAAAAAAGAGTAAAAAATCTATAATATGCCATGTGATGATAAAGACAACAACAGAAACTTCAAGGAATTCTTGCCGGTGAAATAAGTGACAAAGATCGGTCCACTTCAGGCTATTCCTATTCAACACTAGTGTTTTATTAAGGTATCTAGAGAACACGTGGACAATAAAAGCAAAATATTTGTTGAACAAACATTTGTTCTAAAATTTTGTAAGATTACAGTTGTAAATAACTGATTCCTTCATTTGAATATACTAAAATGTACGAGTAAATTGAACTATATCGCAGAGGTATCAATTATAACAAAATAATAAAATACTTATGATATCTTTATGGGTAAAAATTTAAATTTCCGCTGTTTAAACTTGTATTTATTTATTTACTCTGTACAAATGGCTTACAATAAGTCACGAAATTCCAGAAATCTAGATTTTTACTTTTTCAGTGTATAATAAATAGATCATTGTTTTACGATTGATTTGCTATCCAACTCTCTCTTTATTTGAAAATTCTCAAGTCAAACCTCAGTATTGATAAGCGTCAATTATGTTTAGTCTTATAACTGACTAAATAATCATTAGACAGAATCTTAGTTATTTTATGTAAATTGGTACGTTTGTATCAAAAAAATTGTCATCAAACCAATAATAATAATCACTTGTTCTCAATGACTATGAAACCAACCTTTCAATATGGTCAATAAATTGTTTAACGTCCACAAAATAACTGATTGTTTAAAGCTCAGCTTTAATCATCCAAATATTAGAAATCAATTATTTCAAATCCATTCATAATGACCTAATTACATCCTTAAAATATAAAACATTTTAATGATGATAATACAATACAATGAGAATTATTTCTTGATCTCTATTCAATCATATCCCTAATCTTGTCATTTATTTTTTTGTTTTTAACATTGTTTTTCCTTGTTTTTTTAATGCTTTTGTTGGACTTTGACTTATTAATGACAAGTTAAACTGATAAACTTTGTTTATATTTAATTTGCCCAGTTTATTTTTAACTCAGAAAATTTCATTATTTACTCATTTCATTGTCTGTTTGTTTGTTGTATTTGCTCTTCAATAACAATCACATTCACTGTTATATCTTATTACAATTATCTTTATTTCAATCATCTCATAACAATATCTTGTTAAGTAATTAGAACAGTTACAACTCATCATTTCATCGTTAGTGAATTATTTTATTTTTGTGAAAAAGATTTCAAATATTGAGGTTAGACATTTCTGTCAGTAATAATTTTACTGTAATCATTTTATAGTGTTTCTTAGCAGTTTTTCATATAACTGTGAAAATTCTATTCTAGATATATGAAAGTAGTACATATCAACTGTAGTTTCTTTTGTTATTCATGCGATTAATAACACTGAGATTCAATCAGTCAGCTACAAAGTAGGACCAGGCACATATATATGCATCAGTTCAAGTTGCCACACCTCATTAGCATAACAAGATGAATACCAAATTCATAGAAGTAGTCACTTCAATTGTAACAATTTATAAAAGAAAGATTGTGTATAAGGAGAAAGAGTTAGTTCGTAGAAATAAAGGTATAAAGTAATTTTAATCTCACGGATTAAGGGAAGACAGAGAATATATGCACCTACACCATTGTGATCAATTCTGGGTCATATTACCCAGAGTCTCCAACCATTGGTTACGATAGTCGCGCAGAACCTAACCAAGTAGTCCAAATCTACTACCATGGCTCAGATCAGAAGTTAGTGACTTCAAGGACTGATGCTACGTTTTGGTTTGGCCGCCTCTAACTTTCTTCCAACAATCTCCAACACTACACAGCATGGCGTGTCGCGGTAATCGGTGTTCAGGCATACGTGAGATTAGTAAAATGTTTAATCATCATTTTATCTTTTTCATATTTACAATTCGCAATTATTGTAATGTAAGTGAGAAAGCTCAAAATAATGCTTCTAAAATTTTAAATCTGTGACAAATAAATGTTTTCAAATATTAGAGTGAACATTTGATAATGTATTTAACTAAATTGACCACACTGTGTTGATCATCCAACGATCGTCCAAGTTACATTCTTGTATCGGATACTGCATTTCTGCAACCCTTTTTGGTGACAAATAATGTCATTAATATTCAACAGCGTTTTGAACAGTGGTTCAAGTACATATGGTTATCTACACCATATATATCATGTGTATATTCAGTATTTACTTAGTTGTATGAATATCTACACAGATTGACGTTGACTGTCATCATAAAATGATATTGATTGAATTAATGCTTCATTTCAGGTTATGCCATCTAAGGTTGTTTGCAAATCACTAAAAAGAGGGTCACAACTCATAATCTACTGAGTCTAACTAACAAGATATCAATAAATTTATTTATTTCGTGAATTCTCTTTAGTTGTTTATAATATAGAATCAATAATATTACCTATTAAAGGGCAAATGAGTAAATATATTTTTGCATTATTCTACTATGACTGATGGCAAATCAATTGATGAAGTAGTAAAACGTCATCAGTTGAGATGGCTGGGACATGTGTTACGTATGCCGAACCACTGTTTTATGGTGTGGGAGTAGGACGGAAGGAAGCTAGGGGCGGTCAGACCAAAACGTGGCACAAATTCATGAAATCATTGACAGGTGAACTGAGTCATGTTGGTAGGTATAGACTACCTAGTTGGCATCCGCGAGATGATAGCAACCGATGGTTAGAAATCTTGAATGACATGGCCCAAAATAGTTTGTAATGACTCAGGTGCATCTACTCCTCTAAATCTTCTAAACTTTTTATGTCCCTTTAATTTTTTCTCTTCCCAAATTTATTTCACTGGATTATACTCCTTGAATAACATCTTCAAACTCTAGTCTTTCCTTTTACTGCTTATACTTTTACTATCTCTACCGCTATGGGATTTGAATGGGCAATTGTATCTGTGTACTAATGTGGTATGATAACTCGAACTGATTTACGTGTGTACGAAGTTCTACGTTGTTACTGACTGATGTTCTTTCTTTACTAAAATTTATAAAGGAATGGAACTGTATACAAACACAATACCATTAAGCCTTTAAGTCTAAATAGAGTAGTTCATATTTTGATTCTAAAATAATTTGTGATATATTACAATCATCATTCAACTCGATGGACTCCTGAAGTCGTAGTAAGTATAAGACAACTGTTCAGTGTTCTTTAGTTTTCAACGGTTATGGAGTTGATGTCATTATATGCGGTGAAAATTACTTTCAATTATTCAATGTTTATTTGTCAGATTTATTGGATTTTGAATTATATCTTTTTGCCCATATATATATGCATAAACACAAAAACTGACCTTCATACGGTTTATTTAGTATTTATGATTCTCTGATTGTATATAACACTGGTATATTTATAAATCTTAGGGATATAAGTATATAATAATAAAATAAACTTTTTAATAAATAATAATCAGTATAATGATAAATTTTAGTTTTCGATTACAAAATTTCCCCCATAAAATAAAATAAAAAGAACAATGTATTGATAAAAATAGATTTTAAGGTGTGACTTCCGTTAAACTTAAGAAAAGAAACTATAATCAAACAATAAGAAAAGACTATTGAGTATAGAGAATACCTTTTTTGTGTAGTTTACTTGTAAAGCATGATTACCTGCTATAATATCCATATCTTAAAAGCCTAGTTAGTTTATTCGACATAAAGTAGTTTTTACTTACTATATGATTAATTCTTTAAGATTATAAATACAAAATAAACGTCTTGATGTTTAGAATAAACTCTGGTAAATTAAGATATAAATGAAAATCTATTCAATAACTGGACTCAAAATAGTATCCTTCAAGAATATAATTGGTTTAAGACGATAAGAAGTAAGCTAGTTTTGAGATTACTACTGTCATTTAATATTGTATAAAGTTTCTGTGTAAATGGAAAACAGTTTTATTTAAACCTAATAGAATATTTTACTTCCAAAATTACTCACCGATATGCAAGAGTAACACAATGTGAATTACACTAAAGATTAAGTAATTCAACATTTCAGTTTGACCTAAGCTGATAAATTTACCCAGTGTAACAAATTTTGTTAGTTTTATGTCTGAATGCTAAAAACGAACTGCAAATTTCTGATAAGTAAAATACGCTGGAAGAAATCCATTCAACTTCTTCAGGACGATGAGAAATCTTGCTTATTTGTATCTAGAGAAATCACCATATACTAACCATTTTCCCTTTCGAATAATCTACATTTTCATTGATACTCACTAAATAATATGAAAACCTGTATTTTTTCATCTAAATAACACGGTAATAGTAATTGAATGAATTTAAAATATCCTTACTTCCAATTACTTGCTGGAAATGCTATAATATATTTTATAAATCATAGTTAATTAAAAAGGCTATTGTAATCATTTTTCGTATACTCTTTCAGATTTGGGAAGACATAGATGATGTGATCATTAAAACATTATTATCTGGTTATGCTATAATTAGACATAATTATCGAACTTGCTTTCCAAATCATATTCAAACATCAGCATGTTTTGAAATTCTTGGCTTTGACGTAATATTCAACCACAGATTAAAGCCATATGTTCTTGAAGTAAGTGAAAATTACGTTGAATTATAAATACTACTAAAAGTTAATGAAATTTATATGTGATTGGTTTAAGTGGTTTTGTTACAATTTTATAAGCCACTATTATAATGTGGTTTGTGAGACCTAAGAGCTGTGAGTTCAATCACGTGTCTTTTGCATTTATGAAATGTTGAAGAGTTCTAAAATGAAATAAAACAAATCTATTTACTTCCTTACAATATTTTGCAAATGAAGTATTGAATGTACGGTATTCACATTTTACCAAAAACCTCCGTAGTTTTCTGTTCTAATAGATTCCGTTGTCCCCATTCGTGTTCTCGATCACTACAGTATCAGTTCGCATACCCACAGGATTTCATCTGTTCTAAACATTTTGTTAGTTTATTTACTGAACTAATTCGTCATTATTTCTACGCTACTTTCCCTTACTTTCTGAGTATTTTAATCTTCATCATGTTTTTGATTCACTTTTGATAAGTTCAGTATGACATAGTTACTCCGGTAAATTCCATCCAAATGTCAATCTAATAAAGGACTTTACAATTTCCTATTTATGTTTAATGGGTCAATTAAAATGATGGCTTCTTTGAGTTGTTCATTGTAACCGAAAGCGCTCTTTGGTCTATTTAGAGTTGGACAGCACTAAAACTGAAGACACTCTTCTTGTCCAATTCTCCGTATAACTTATCACTGGATCAACATCACTGTCTTACATTTAGGATAATAAAACTTAATAACTGATTTAAATGATCGAAATAATCAAAGTTATAAAAAGCATAATTGAATGAACCTAATTATCAATTATTTGAGTTTCGTAATCAACTCTAGCATTATGCTTCAGCAAACAATCCATTTTGTCATAATAATTTCTAAACTTTTAAAACTTGTGTTATTATTCACTAATAAAAGATTATAAATTCAATTTTGTGGTTATTAATATTGTTACTAATTTACGTCCCGCAAAATTACCTTTGCACCTATCTCGACTATTTATTCATTCAAAAATGTCTAGTTGACCGAACTGTTGGAAGTGGAGGAATAAATTCTGATTTTAGTTATTTGAAAATATTATACTGATTATAATAAAAACAGAGCACTTGAATCTCATTCTATATAAAGTCTTTTGTGAATTCTTCTAGAGCGCTACATACCAGGACGAAACATTTGTCCTTACAATTCTAGAGCTTATAATCTAAACTGTATTAGAATTTATAAACTGTTAGTTTGAATTAATTTTCTTTCACATCACTCATACATGTTCAAGCTTTTTAGATAGTGGAAACTAAATAAACTTTTTTCTGTATTCATATTAGGTAAATCATTCACCAAGTTTTACTACAGACAGTAAATTAGATAAAGAAATTAAAGAAGCTATGCTATGGGATACTGTACAACTTGCACATTTCAATGCAGTTAATAAAAAGAAATGTTGTGATGAAGAAAGGAAACGCATTCGAAATCGTTTATTACATAAAAATATTGATAAAGATCATAAGTGAGTTAGTATTTTATTTCTTCTGTATTATAATTTCTCACGTTATTTCAACCCTATCAAATTATAGCTTTTCACAAACAGTCTCAGTTGTCATTTGGTTTTTTAATTAATCTATGTACATATTCATGTACTTATTCATTCAATCTGTATTATTTTGTTCCGTCTTATTGCACTTAAAATATGCTGAATATTTATTTCTTTAAATTGAATCCAAAGACCTCACTCTATTTCCATTTTTCCTCTATTTCAACTACAATGTTTTTTTCTATATATAATATCTGTTTAATCCCTTTACAGGTGATCAACCTTTTAAGCGGCTCTTTGTCCAGGTCAGTTGTTTCGAATCCTTTCAATGACCTTGGGTTATTGTTACCGCCCGTTTTGATTGGTATCTATTTAATATTTTTGGTTGATATCATGAACCGGTTGATGTTAGACCACCGTTGGAAACCTGGAAGCACTCAACGGCTGTTTCGTCCTATTGTAGGGCTCCTCAAGAGTACACATCCACGATTCCACTATCAGGATTCAAACCCAGGACCTTCTGTCCCGCGAGCGGGATCGTGGATGCGCACCACTGAGGAGTTCCCTTACTAGGACAAAACGGCCGTCCAGTGTCTTCAGGTTTTCCATGGTGGTCTAGCTTTAATCGACTCATGAATCCAACTATTAAATTACTATATATTGTTCAGAAAACGTTATGAAATGAATAATCTAATATCTACTAGTCTATTATTTATTTAGTTGGATGTTGTGTAGAGAATTTTGGATACTTCGAAATTAATTTTTAATCCTAAACTAACGTTAACTGATTCTATGTCTATGAATAGAAATGAAGATCTACCAACAGAATTACTTTGTTTAGATTGTATATAACCATCATCCGCCTTAGATATACATACATCCAACAGTTTATAATACTAAATTTAAAATTGTTTATACAACAATCCATAATTTCTACAATGAAATTGGGAGCCATACAAAGATTGATAATATCAGTACATAGAGAGTGAACCGTATCTCAATTTAATTGACTCTTAAAATGTAAACCAATAAATTCGGACACAGTCGTCCAACAATGTCATCTTGGTCATACAAGGATGTTATGGGTGCACACTGTTGAGTCGCATAGGACCCAGACTTTTCATGCCTGATTTCCAAAGGACTACTAGCTGGATTCAGTCCCTTACAAATACTGTCGTCAACATCTTAAATCTCTTTATCTTTAACATAATGAGTTTCATAATCTCGCTTTGATCTTATCCTGTTGTCTTATCGTTAACCTCAGACAACTTGTTTCTTTTAGATAAAGTTTCTTTATATTTGGTTACTATACCTAGACTCTACTAACACCGTACATAAAATTTGTGAAAGTATGATTGAAATTGTAAATCTGACTCCAACATACATCATTCTAAAGTATAGGGTAGATAATGACAATAGAATTGTACCTTTTGTCACAAGTATTACTTAATTAAATATTCACTATTCATATCGTAAATATTACACTAGTTTAAAGAGAAAAAATGTATTTGTAAAATCTCAGCGAATGAATTTTAAGTAAATCCAACGTTTCGCCTGGCAATCTGGTCCAAGCTTTTTCAAGGAAAATTATAATCAAACAACAAAATTATCGAATATAAATAGGTACATGGTTCTCTGGTTTACTGTATACTGAATAAAACATCCAATCAACGTGCACCCTGTTTGAAGTGGGTATTTACAAAATGTGTAAGAGACTTGTGTTGTGAAAAACGAAAAGTGTTAAGATAACAGATTGTGTGTTTACGTAAGTGATGTGTGAAGAAATTTCATTCAAATATATGTTGTATTCGGTATGTTTATATTAAGAAAACATATCATATAAATGAAATTTCTTCACACATCACTTACGTAAACACACAATCTGTTATCTTAACACTTTTCGTTTTTCACAACACAAGTCTCTTACACATTTTGTAAATACCCACTTCAAACAGGGTGCACGTTGATTGGATGTTTTATTCAGTATACAGTAAACCAGAGAACCATGTACCTATTTATATTCGATAATTTTGTTGTTTGATTATAATTTTCCTTGAAAAAGCTTGGACCAGATTGCCAGGCGAAACGTTGGATTTACTTAAAATTCATTCGCTGAGATTTTACAAATACATTTTTCCTCTTTAATGTCTCACATTAACTCGGCGCCCAAATATTGTGAAACTATTCGTTCAAATTTAGACGAAAGTTCTTATTTATTACACTAGTTTATCTTATTCAATCGAATACTTAAAAGTTCAAAATGGTTCGGTAGAATTCATTAAAGTTTTCTAAAATTATAAGCATACGCTATTCAGTGAATAATTTTAAACTGCTTATCAAAAGTATGAATACGTACAAAATTAAAAATGTCTTATTTTGAAGAATCTACTGGAAGAGATAGTTTAGTGTAACGTTCAAAAATAAATATTAGTAATATTTGTGATTTATATACTGAGATATAATATTCCATGTTTAGAGAATCCGGTTAACCCAGTTCCAAATCGGTCACAATGGTTCAAATACACCAATTCCTTATCACCCTTTAAATCTTGCTCAAAGTATTATAACATGCTTTAAATTTTCGTTTTATTCGTTTCTACTGACATACTTTTCCTATTTTTATTTTTCTGTTATTGTTGGTACAATTGTTTTTATTTCGCTTTTCCACTTGTAAATTTCCTTTAGTTAAGATAATGTGAAGTTTGGAAACTTGGACCAATACGCGTTTATGTCAGGTTCTATAGTGTTCATGCTTCACAATTGATTGATCACTGGGTGGTGATCAATGTCCTGTGTGTCAAGTCCTTCTTAGTGCAGATCGAATGCTATCGACCAAGTTGCAATGTGGCAACTAGTCTAAGTGACTCGACATTGCGAACATTATGTTGAGATAAGATGGTGGTTGGAAGTAGTCAACAGGAGACCCTGGACCCGGGTTTCGTGTTATTTTGTACGCATCAGTAAAGTGTACCTGCCACGTTGCAACTTGCTCGATAGCATCCGATCTGCACTAAGAAGGGTTTGACACACATGACATTGATCACCACCCAGTGATCAATCAATTGTGAATACATCTCAGTCCTATGGGCGGTCAGTCGCGACCCGGATGTCCAAGTAGTGACGTCTCTGACTGTGAAGTTGGGTGACACGGGATCGAATCCGTCAGGGAGCACCAGTCTCCCCAAGATTATAGGCACACCTTGCTGACGAGTGCCAAATAGCACGAAACCCGGGTTCAGGGTCTCCTGCTGACTACCTCCAACCACCATCCTATCTCAGTGTTCATGCTCGTTTCTTGGTCTATGAATGATTGATTAAAATAATAAATTCATTTATTCTTTTATCTTCCCAATACTACAAAGTTTATACAAATCTCAAAAACAAAGATTTAGAACAAATTTTTTTTCTGCATTAGTGTTTAGCTATGCAGATATACCACTTAATAGAAACTAATCTCCATTTCAGGAATTATATATATCCTTACCTAAAATTGATAAGTATTATGTCATTTCGGCCTAGTAGACAAAGTCGCAATTATGGGTAATGATGAGTACTCTATACTCTAAGGCTGTGAAGTACTTTATTGATATTCAAATCCTCAACATTAAGCAAGAGAAGATACTTTCCAGTCGATTTAATGAGATAAGAAATTTATTCATATAAATTATTATGTCACAGGGTATTTCAGCAAAAAGATAAGGTTTCAAGTCCTTCAGACAATAAAGGTAATAACAATTTAATTTTTTTAGAAACAAACACATTTTGCATCCAAAATAGCAGATTTATTATCGATTTAGCAAGTCGAAAATCACCTCATTTATGTGGTGATATACAGATTGACATACACAAACCCTACTACTACAAATTTTCCAAACCTAAATTTATCGAAATTAATTATTCTTATTCCAATAGATTATACCAGTCTACATAACACGCGCTACATTTAAACCGTCTTTGATATAATCCACATCTCATAGATTACGCAAAATATGAATGAACATTCAATGTGAGTATATATATATATATATATATATATATATATATATATATATATATATATATATATATATATATATATATACTTTGCTTATTCACCCCGAAAATCATACTATGAATCCGTTATATTACATATTAATTGCATCAATAGTTACAAACCTTAACAAACTTATTTTACTGATAAGCCTAATTTCCAATCTTATAATTTCAAAGTATAAGTTCACTTGAAACTTGTTCATTTTTTTCCGATTGGTGACCAAAACCTCTATTTGTAAAATCTGATGAGAATTTATGAAAATAAATCTGTTAGTAAAGATTGATTGTTTTTATTAGCCCAATAACTTAATTAGGTGATAATCATGTTACACTGTAGAGCGTGTGTCTGTGTAAAATCAAAACTTTTAGAGTTTTAAATATCCAAATAAATAATTAACCATTCCTCTTTCGAAAGTGACTTACAAATACCCTTCATTTGTGACTGTAAAATAGCATCAAGAATTGTTCAGAGATAGTAAAAGCAACATAATCAAAAGAATCCGTGTTTTCGAAAGTGATTTTTTTTCTAGGAATACAATTAATAGTTATTTTTATAAATTAACTAAAGAACAATTCAAAGAATGTTTAAAATGATTGTGCCATTATTGAACTTTTCATATTGTGATAATATCCAAAACACAAGTATAATCTTCAAAGCGATCATTGAGAAATCAAAAAATTTATAACTTATTGAAATCTAATCAAGGATATTTGATAATCTAAAGTGAACATTTGAAAATTAAGTCATCAAAGAATTCAAAAGTCAGTTTTTCAGATTTTTTTCACACGTAACTACAATAGTATTTCGTTTAGTATAATAGAGTAAATAATTGAGTGTCTATTCATGTGAAACGTAGATGATTCAATAAAATCTTCCATATTTAGTGTATATTAGAATCTTGATAAATGACTTAGTCTTATATCTCAATCATATACATGAAGAATCAAAACCAAGCTGGTTCAAATCCTGTTTTGACTAAAGTTCTCTTTTATATTCAATCATTATCATCACCATCAATACCAACTCTGGGTTAGTTTTTTAACAGTTTTAACTAAATTGATATTATTTATACATATCTACAGATGTTCACTCGAACGTGATATTGAAAAATATCAAGCACTAAGTGAAAAATATGAGAATAGCCATATGGGTAATTTTCGTCTGATTTATCCATCAAGCGATCTGCAAAAATATTCACAATTTCTCAATCCGACCGCAACATTTTATCAGGAAACAGTTACTTACAAAGTAAGAAGTGAATGTGCAAGGTAAGATTTCACTAAAAATATGACATTGTAGCCTGTCACCTTTATACCTTCTATGAATGTATGTTAGGCTAGATTTCACCATCTATGTAGGCGTTCAGACATATGGTGAATGAACTATGGTGTCTAAATAAACTTATGTTTTGATGTAGCGGTAACTTTTGAGAATTATTTGTGTAGTAGTAATATTAATAACCTCAGGCATATGTAACCATAAAGACTATTGATGGATAGCGCAAAAAATTTGAATTTTGATGTGAGCACGTAAAGTTCTGACCGACTAAGTTAGTTACTGAGGTTGGCACTTTAAAGTTAGTTGATATAATGTTTCAATTAATCTACCTGAGTCAAAATGATTACGCGGTGATAACAATCATAGAGATCAAGTGAATTATGTATCAAAAGAATCATATTGAACCTTTTGTATTCCCATTCGGTATGCAATAAACTCAACCCACTTATAACCGTATTAATTGTTTTAACTCCATATGATGAATCTTCTTCGTTACTATGCTCTCCCTTACCCTCTCTATCTCATCTTTTAGGCATTTTTAACATATATTCCATTTTCAAGTTCACACGATAATATTACAGTAAAGCTGAATCCAATATAACACGTCTCTTAATTTCTTTCTCGCATGATTTTTATTCGCCCAATCATAGCGTTTCATCTCGAAGCATTTTTTAGTAAAAAATTACCAGACGCCTTCGAATATACTTATATTACACTCTAATTATATAGATCACATTTTTCTCAAGTATTAAAGTCATAACCTGGTAAGAGAGCACACTATCATTGTAGCCAATAGTTGGAGACGTTACTTGACTCGGATCGGAATCAGCAGCAATGAAACAGATATATTTACATTTTGTCTACCGTTAAATGTCGGCTTTTAAAATTATCTTATACTTCATATTCTGCGAATTCATAAGTTTAATAACTTATGTTCCTCAGACTATTTGTATTTTTATCCAATAGACAACTTAGAGAAGAAATAAGACTTAAACAAGAAAAATTAGATTTAATTGCAAACAAACATAAGCAAAGTCAATCTGAAAGTCCAGCTCCCAAAAGATTAAGAATCAAAATAAACACTGGATTATTATCTCAGCAATTAATAAAGTCAGTTAACAATGATGAAATGATCAATAATTCTAATCAATTAATACCCATAAATAAAATGGATTTTAATGTTAATTACAAACAAAATAATCAGGAGGAACAAAGAAAACCTGATAAATGTTTAGAAGTCTCTACAGAAGGAAAACAAGAAAAGGATTGTAATGATAACCACTCTGACAATCAGGCATTAATTAAGTCTACGTTAAGCAATGTCAAACTTTGTGTAAATACTAAATTGCCACAACCTATACTTGATAATGAAGAAGATGAACGTAGAAATGAATTAAAAAAACGAGAGGATCAAATGCATAAAATAGGTTTAATTTCAATGCTTTATGAATTATTTGCACATTCACATTCTTTAAAATACAAGGACAAAAAAGAATTTAACGAATTATATTTGGATAATAATACTAATACAGAACAAAACTGTACAGTACATCGACAAGTACAACATCAAACAGGTATATCTCCCTATTTTAACGTATTTATTTCATAATAACATTAATCAATTTACTTGCAGTTCCTTCTATCAAATGTAAAATGCACTTTTACAGAATCGCACAGAACCTTTTTCAAATAACCTTAACGGAATTTAAGTTTTGTTCCGATGTGCAACTATCTGAGATTTGAATAATCAAATGATGGTTTACATTTTCCTAAAGATAACAATCTTATATCCTTATCTAATTTTTTTCGTCAGTTAGTTTCATTACTAACTGGTCAAAGGAGCTGTTTACGGATTTAAATCAAGTGACATAATTAAATCATTGGTTCTGTATGTTTTACAGTTTCTTACTGATATTTTCTCCAGCATAATAAAACGGCTAAACTTATTTCGGCTAAAGGATTCTGCTTAAGTGGAATATAAAATGAGTGACTACGGATACAACACTCGGTGGTTGATGTGCGTTTATACTAAATTCATTCATATACATTAACAAAAATCTATGAGTTTATTATTTGAATAGTATGTATTCGTGTTCTAAACTCCCATAACTTATACATGTACTTTCATACTGTCTCTATCGACAGCTTATCTAAGGACATCATTATGTATATGACTTATTTTCTTCTTAAATACTAGATAAAAAGGAAAGAGAATTGAATGTTCTAAAACCAACAGCTTCATGGAAAAATCATACACAGTTATCAGGAAGACAAAAGTACTGGATTAAGAATCAAGAACATGGAAATTCTACCAAAGTAAATTTTAGCTCAGTTTCTTAGTGCATACGATTTTATTTATGTTAAGTTTTAAAAAGAAATTTGATTCGTTGTATTGTTTATTTAATGGTTATTTCTAAATTTTACCCTGCATCTCTTGGAATTCAACGTTATTAAATCAGGTGTTTTAATTATTATTGTAGTCGTGTACCTCTATTGCTGGGTTTCTGGACTGGAAAGGATCTAACAGTTTTGTATTACAATATTCCTTGCAATTTATACTCCAAAAGAATAAGATGATCATCAAGTCAGGAGGTTTGTGAAGAGAATCTAATTTAAAGTTAGTTATCATCACAGACATACTTCAGACAGAGAGACATAATAAACTAAAGAACAAAATACAATTGTATAATCCCAGTAGTGGAATTCACCTTCAGTCAAATAAGTTAATAGTTAAACAAAAGCTTATAAATTACGCCGAATTATAATAGTGCTAAAATCAGACGTTAACTGAACTTAAAAATTATGGACTCCTGGACTCTTGTTCGGTAGCACTCTCCGAGAAACTCAATCCACTTTCGTTGTTTAGAGTTCCGATAAGCAAAAAGCTGGGAATAAACTAGCTCTCAAGTAGTTCCTAGTCAACAGTGGTTCTCCAGTTAACTTCATCTTCTTATGACAATAAACCGCAGAATCAAATGTTATTCATGAAACACTTACACTAAAACTCAACAGAAGTTGTAAAATAATTTATTTCAATATATTAACGGTGGTAAACATGTAAGTTACAATGAGAGACCATGTCTATTATTTAAGTGGTATCCGACACAAACCCGCAGTACTGAATGATGCAGTATTTTTATCACTATGAAAACAAAACCAGTGACGTTAGTTTTATACTCAATATATTTAAATCGGAGACCTACATTTTTGCGATAAAAATTCTCCAACAGAACTTCATAGAAATGTCCTATAACATTATGCTACTTATATGTAGAGTACCCTGAAAAACTATTTTAATTATTGGTCTTGTAAATTGTTTTGCAGGAAAAACCAGATATCATACTTGATACAAAAATAACTCCTGTAGTAAGGGATAATCCAGTTGAGAAAAACAAACCGTCGCTTGTTCCAGTAGAGAATCAATGTTATAATAATTATTTTGTACGACTGAATGGAAGTCGTATTAATTCAGCTCAACCAACCATAAATAATCCTACTTTTGGTGCGTTTCCATCTCATCAATTTCATAAGATACATCAGCAAAAATCCCAACAATCTTACCGTGTACATTCCGGTAATCTTTGTAACGGAGGAATACATTCAAACCCTTCAATTATAAATCCGACCAATGGTCAGATAATTCAAAATTTACCAACAAATCTTGATACTCAATCATTTTATCAAGATTGTAACGATACAAATTTTACTAGCGTGAAAAGTCATCAATCAGTAAAAAATTCGTCGTTTGAAAGCATATGTAATCCGATTCACACATCATTACGAATAAGTGAAAATTGTAGTTTTCTACCTTCAAGAAGTATTCAATCTAATTCAGCAGTAAAATCAAAATACATCTTCACAGACTTGACTAGTAATAACAATAGTAATAATATTACCACAAGTAATTCCCAGAATATTTCAAGACAGCATAGTCATAATTCCTCTAGTAAAAAAGTACCTAATGACTCTGAAAGTAAGTTTTGCCTTTATAATCCAAATATATTATTCAGGCTAAATATGGTGATTGGAGACAATTGAGTATATTAATCTCAATAGTCGCTTAATATTCTCAGTTGATTGAAAGTTGGGTATGTAGATCACTTTACCCCAACTAAGAGGTAAATATAAATATTTTTGCTGCCGAACCCCTGAATGTTTGGTTCGGTTTTGTATGCGGTGGTGAAAGGGATTTCCTGAGGAGACCAAAATTAAGGTGAAAAAGCTAGCCCCAACTTCCTGGTTTTTACAATGGTTTTTTAGCTGATATTAGTCTCTGAGGAAAACTGACGTCAAACAGATCTCAAAATCTCTATAATTATAATATTCATCAATAAATTAAGCTTTCCCATTGCAAATCATTCACAAATATATGGATGTTAAAATTACTACTTGAGATGTAAATCAACTTGAAGGAAGTTAATGCACACAAAATTTCCTGACCAGTAGGATTTTTTTAAGAACCCACATCAAAATCACATTGACAAAAGAAAAACAAGTCATTCGATAACTATATTTGACAAAACGTTAATACTATATACCAGCAAATTGCAACAGCCAATTATTATGGATTTATTACAAAAAAAATAAAACGAGTAAAGCATATAATAATAAATATGTTTTTGTTAGATACCAATGAGTAGAAAAATTGTATTTCTGACGTTTTGTGACTTAATGTAAGCCACTTCCGCAGAGTAAATAAATAATCGACATTAAATTAACAAGTTCAAATAGTACTATTTACTTAGATTTAAAAAGCACAGATATGACACTAGATTATATATGCTTGTTGTTAATAAGTACATAGATCTACTATTTATTTTAACGGATTTCAACGATTATTCATTTAGATTAACTACAGATGAAAAATATAATTGTTGATTCACATATTTACATTGTAACAGGTGTTAAAACAGCGGAAAAATATAAAACCCCACTACCTACACTGGTCAATCCTCGCGTGAACACATCCCATAACAGCCATAATCCGCAGTTAATAATCAATGGTTTAATGCCAGTTGTCACGTCGGCAAAATTAAATCGAGTTGCTAAGAGAAGTTCAAACCAAGAATATTACCGAACAGTTTTAAACGAATAATGTGTATTTACATAGAAAAATTTAGGATAATTGCTCAAATATTGAAAGTTTATGCTGTAATTAGATTCATTTAACGATAAATCAGTATAAATGTAAATAAGAATAGTTTCCAATTCATTAAAATAAGCAACAAAAAATAAATTTCTGCAATCACAATACACAAAAATGGTCAAGACAAATCAGTAAACAAATGTGTCTCTTATTTCTGTCAATACGTTCTTCCCTGTGAATATTTTCTTTGTAATCAAAATGATTTCAAATTACTTTCAGTTAAATCAAATTCAGTTTCAGCTTGATGGATTTTATTTAAACAATCAAACAATATTGTTAAACCTTTTTACACATGCTAGTGTTGGCCACACTACTTTTGTTTGTCATACAATATAAACTTAAAAATGTAATTTCAAACGCAGGAATTGATTTTCTTTGTTCATTCGAATCACTACCAACTTACTAAATGACTTTCACAATTGCAATTTATTCTTTGGTGAATAAGGCTGGGTGCTTGAAAAAAAGATTCATACTGTGCTCAGGAATCAAATCTCTATACACGGTCGATACTTAGTAGTTAAATTACTGAAGACAGTAAATCAATTTTGATTTTTTATCAAATTGTTGACTTAGTTTATTTGTAATCTCAGACGTAAATACCTATTTTAAACTAATCTATATACCATTCATACAGAATTATTTAAAACTGTTTCTCATAACAGCTATTAAACATGATACTGGGGGTACCTGTCGTATGCCCTGATGGTGTTCTCGTAACGTTCGTGTTGCCTGATCTGCCAAGGGCGATGGGACAGTGCATGATGCTATTGTTTTGTGCTAGGTTTAAAGAAAATTGTATGCTATATGCATGCAAATCCGCCCCGTTATTGTTCCTATTTGCCCCTAAATGCCCTGGTACGGCCGAGAGTGAGGAGAGTCCGCTCTCCTCGAAATACTCTCACTTGGCCACGCGTATATAGCCTCTGCCAGGGAAGTAATACTCACTGTCTTCTCGTGGCGGGGGTGTTGTTTACGAAAATGAGAGGACGAAAAGCGAATGTCCGGCGCTTTAACCGGATCCCAAACCAATGGTCCACATGAGCTCCAGTATCTTGAAGGAACAAATGGCGTATGAACCAATCGTTGGTCACCGGCTACCATGGGACTGCATCTCCTCACGATGCTCCACTGCCTTGTGGGTCAGACGTTCAGGTCGAAGGCTTGGGGTGTGGCCCCTGTAAGAAAACCACCTGCTTCGGTTTGGGCACCCGGGCAGTATCACAACCCTCACACAAATCAATTGAGATTCGTGTGGCGCATATGTATTTGTTGCCTCCGTGTACCAATATCTATGTGTTAAAATAAATAAATAAATGAATTAAACAAGCTAATTGTACATATCAAGACCTCATTAAAGTGGCATACATTTAGTGCATCCCAAAAATATCCATTATCAATTTATGCTGGGAAATTCTAATTGTGGTGTCTCTCACAGTAAAATCAGCATTATATTTTAGTAAGAAAAAAATGTAATCACAGAATTTAAGCATATTAAAAGTAATCCCACCAAGATATTTGAACTTTGAAAAACTGAACAGTAATTTATCCTTCAAAAATATTGATTAAACTTAGTTAACAATAATTTTACGAAAAACTAGTGAGAATTAACCAGATGTTTATTCTTGTTTTCTAAAGTATACTGAGTCGGTAAGCATACACATAACAAATTGGACTGTTCATCATTTTAAATACATACATCTGAAAAGCTTTTGGTGTTACACTTAGATTTACATGTTTGTGACCTAAAAAGTGTAGATACACAGGAACTAGATTTTCTGAACAATTAAAAACTTACTCTTTTAAACACTTTAAGTTAACAGTAGTAATTCATAATCCTTAGCTAAGTGATTCAGTGAAGTTTTCACAAGCGTAATAGTCCAAATAATAGCAAATTGCTATAGTTGCAACATTTTGGACGATGATATAATAATATGCGAAACTAACTCTATTAAACAGTAAACCTTAATGAAATAATCATCTATCAACAAGTCCATTCAAAAACGATTGATAAATAGTTTCTCCGAAACTACATTATTTTAAACAAATGTTACGCTAATCCATTTTAAATAACACCGAGACTACTAGCGGAAATCATCCTTTCGATAGTTCTTATTTACATTATATTACTGGTTAGCACAAGCATATCACGAATCCATTCACCACTACTGTTTACTATCAGAACTGGGTGATAAAACGTACATTTCACCAACAAATAACAAATTGATGAAAACATCTAAGCAATTATCTGATATAATAACCCTGAAAACTTTGAAGTAAAGACTTTTTGTCAAAAAAATATAATTGATCAGGACATAAACTGAAACCATGTACAAATGATATCTTTGACACAAAATTATATTTATTCACATGAGTTAGAAAGCACATAGGAAGGACTATACAAAAGGATTTATTTCAAAATAATTATTAGTTTTATTAGCTGATAGAGCTTGTGGTAATTTAATAGTTTACGGTTTTGTGACAGTCAGACCCATTTGTTCTAATTCAGCAAATAGTTTATTGGCTTCAGTTTCAACTTCTGGTCGGTCATCTTCTAACGCTTCTGACAGAGCTAATAGTGAATCTGATACAATACAACTGACAGGACCAGAAAGTTTTGAATCCATTGTAATATCCTTATCATTGTCAATTTCATGCTCATTTGAATGATTAAAGACAAACTTTAACAATCGAATTGCAGCCAACCTAGTACGCCAGTACGTGGAGTGCATAATACGTTCAGTCAGTGCGGAACCAAGTGGACGAAGATAGGCTTCATCACCGCATATTGCATTCAAATATGAGCCTAATACATCTTGAATATCAGTTTCATTTATTGGGGGTGCATGAGAAGATGGAAAAGATATATCGAGTAATCCAATTAAAACAGAGGGAATATATTGTACAGATTCTCCGATTGAGGCAGCATCCAGACATCCAACATTTTTCACCTCTCCAACAAGCCATTTGCGCAAACATGACAATGAAGCATGAATACAAATTAAAACACAAGATGTAGCTCCATCAGAATAGCATTGAAGCGATCGGCCAAAACCTAACCGATTGGACAATTTTTTAGCACCTGCAGAAACAAAATGTAAATAAAAGATGCAACTCGACATAGGAAATGAGAAATTTTAGTAAAGCATTGATAAATAAGAGAAAACAGCATCAAGCGATTCAGCATAACAGAACACAACGTGCATGGAAAATCTTTAGAAGTCACTAATTTCATTTATTGTTAAGATGGTACAACTGATTTGAGATAAGTTCTGGAATGGTGGAGGGTATGTCAAACTGGCAACTTTCTTATTGATTCTACACATAAAATACGAGCCAAATATACTTCAAAAGATAAAACTATTGATCAAGTGACCAAATATGTATTAAAATTGTTACTAATCTACAAAATAATCATTCATTTCATTTCAACACATAGATATTGGTGCAAGGAGGCACCAAATACATATGCGCCACACAGATCTCATTTGATATGTGTGAGGGCTGTGATACTGTCCGGGTGCCCAAACCGAAGCAGGTGGTTTTCTTAGGGGGCCACACCCCGAGCCTTCGACCTGAACGTCTGACCCACAAGGCAGTGGAGCATCGTGAGGAGATGCAGTCCCATGGTAGCCGGTGACCAAGAAATTGGTTCATACACCATTTGTTCCCTCAGGATACTGGAGCCAGCCCATGTGCACCATTGGTTTGGAGTCCGGTTAAAGCGCCGGACATTCGCTTTTCGTCCTCTCATTTTCGTAAACAACACCTCCGCCACGTGAAGGCAGTGAGTAGGACTTCCCTGGCAGAGGCTGCATACGCGTGGCCATGTGTGAGCATTTTGAGAGGGAGAGCGGACTCTCCCCACTCTCGGCCGTACCAGGGCATTTGGGGGCACAAAATAATCAACGCTGAGTCCATTAACACTATTGGATGTTGGATCAAATATTTAGGCTTTCAGCGCTTGTCGAGAGGTAGAAAACCTTGGATTCGACCCTAAGGGGCCGTGGATGTCCGCCACTGAGGAGTTCCACACTACGACGAACCAGTTATTTATTGCCTTTTTAGTTTTCAGTGATTCTCGAATTAAACTCACCCCATGATGTAAACTGAAAATTAAACTACCTCCACAGACCTCTGTACTAAAGATAACATAGTTAATCAATTGTTTTACGTCAGACTTACAAAAAGAGTACCAAACGGACGCAGGATTAACAAAACACTGAATAACAATTAAAGAATTCAACTTCGAAAATAATAGGGTGCTCGCAAGAAGTGAATCATTAGATGAAAACAAGACTAAATCTGAATGCAATACAGGTTGATTATTCTAATAAACGAGGGGTTACAGGCGTAAGTAAGTGAGGTTAAATAACTTTAATCAATCACTATATTACTTTGAGTAACCTTGAAGACTAGTATATCTAATAAAAGTTAAATGTAAAGTGATTTGGATGCTGTGACTTTTTCGGTTGTCATCTGTTACCACTAGATGCTTACAATTGATCATACATTTTACTTAAATCATTTCATACTTCAAATTTAAGCATAATCAACTTTAAGTTTAACTCATTAAAATAGCAAACCTTTAACATACCTTTAAATTTATTACCAACAGCTATGATGAATATTAGAACAATATAATCAACTAAATACAACTGTTTGCTTAATTCAGAAAATTCTTCTGTGTTCAGATAATCTGGAATTCTACAATTTGAAGAAAAGATAAGGGAAACAGTATAATGTATGCATGATAAAAATGATAATGATAAAAAAATTTACAATACACACACATTGATATTATTTACAAAATAAGAATAGTAGACAACACTGGTGTAATAACGTAAACTAAGTTGAGTTTTTCAAAAAAATTTTCGACGTCTTTTTTTAAAAGTAAAATTATTGGATAACATGAGGAGTTAAATAAGATATATTGAATTAATAAGTGAATTATACACTTCAATGGATGATTTCAAAACTTTATTCTAATATGTTAAAACCAAAATATTGATGAATAAATAATAAAGAAACATTAAACAGCTATCGGATTTAAGTTTCCTTTTAACTTTAATTACTGAATTACTAATAACTCATTGTGGAAGTGAAAACTTATGTTTTCTCTGCTTCGGAACACATTTTACGTATGAAAGCTAGTAGTGACATTACCCTGAAGTATGTGGAGCTGGATTCAGGCCTATGAAGTAGCGGTTGATTACCTATCGATTACTGATACAAAATATTAAAACATTAAGTTAACTTATGAATAAAGATAGTTTAATACAAAATAATGTTCAGAAAAAATGCTGTCTATGCAGAATAAACAAACCTTTCCATTATCCTGAATACAACTGATAAACGTAGTAGCATCTGATCAGTGATATCTTTGATTTGATCAATTGATTCTTTTTCATTATCTTGAACATTGACCCATGTAAACAACTGTTGACAAATTTTCAGGCGAGCATTATCATCTGGTAATGAACTGATTAAACTAGCGACAGAACGGTAGAGATATAAAAGCATATCGTTATTTTTTAATTCTGTAGTATTTCGAAGATCAGCTTCATTCAGTTGATTCACAACAGTACACAAACACGTATGGATCAAGCGCCATGTCAGGTCGGGCTGAGTAGCATGCATTGTTGCGAAAGAATGTAACTGATTTTCATCTTTAGAAGCAAACACACCGTTCTCTTCAATGGGTGCCATGGATTCGCCAAAATCAGATAAGAAAGACAAAGCACCATGTAATAAAGTCTATGAAAAAGATACATAAGTTTGTTTGAAAAATAACTGATTAGGAATTAACAAAATACATGCTTTAAAAGAGCATACGTAGAAATCGATTAAGAGTTAACACTAATTTGATCGTGTTCTCTGAACTACATGGTTTCCCTCTCGAACTTACATTGCCGTTCTGGACAAAACAATCGATGCCTATTTCACATAAAAGTGGTCTTTTTAGTTATTCTATATTATATCATGAAGAACGTCAACTAACCACATGGTCAGAGGTCAATCAAAAAAAACAACCAAAATAAAGGCATGTGCAAATTAAGATGATAAAAGCTATAAACTACCAGTTACAAATGAAGACAACAAAACAAAGTGATATAACATTTGCGGGATAACTAAGAAGATCACTAATATTTGAAGTTGGTGATGTTGTCCAGAACGGCAATGAAAGCTCAACAGGGAAACCACGTAACTCAAAGAACACAACATAGCCAAAACCATCTGCCTGAGTTGCGAATCTTTTCCACTATTTCAAATATTAATTTGTTAGGTCTTAAGGTACAATTAATTCATACAGGCTATAGATACAGTCTGACAATTCAAACTAAGATAAATCAACCAAGTATTGAACTTGAAAACAAATGACTTTGAATCAAACTAAGTAAACATACATAAAAATGGATTAATTATCTTATCAAGCATGAAAAATATAACTTCTAAAAAAAAATACGGTAATAAATGAAACTAGATATTTTGAAGGGTTTTTTCTCAATACTTTTTGAGTTGACTGAAATAAAGTAGAAAACTAAAACTATATAAACACGCAAGTTACTCTGTATAAATGGATCAATTAAACAGAAATTCTCAGTGTTCATATAGTTGTTTATCTTAGTGCAACTGGAACATTGCTCATAACTTTATGCATGAAACCGAATAGTGTTGTCGAGTTGTGTATATTATGAATTATCACAATATTGTCATTACTATACAAGTAGAAAGTTGCTTACATGAACATCATTTAAAAAAAAACAAATTTATAGCCAACACACTACACAGCAAAATCTAGTGTTATTTTTTGAAAACTAAATCACATAATACCGTTGGAGATATTTAATGGAGGAAAATAAACTTTTTTTACTAATATTTAAAACAATCAAATAAAACATGAAAACTTACGTTACTATTCGTTTTAGAGGCTTTTTCAATTACAATCCGAATTGATGTGAGTAAATAACTGACTTCTGTTACGTGACGGAGAAGTTTACTATAAATATGGACAAAAATATGCGGTAAATATCATTACCAAGGTTTGAATTGATAATTTCAAATACATTGAGAATTGGGTAGATTGTTATAAATAAAAAACGATATATTTGCAATATCACGGTGAATATGACAATTAGATCTAATTTTTCTACTCGTTGTTATATTACAAATATATTACTTTTTATTTATAAAAAATACGCTGCTAAACGTTGGACATTTCTAAGAAATGAGACTTCTAGAGCTTATTTTCGGCTAAGAAATTACACAAATTTAAACGGCTAACTACAATGGTGAACATTTTGATGAGTTTCGTAACAGCGAAACTCGAACAGAGAACAAGAATATACTTACTTTATATAACACGGAGAGAGGTTTCAGTTCAAGTAACCACATCCACTAACAGAATCAGAATTTATAATAGGCTCATTAAAATCGGTATTAATTAATTTATTATTATTTTAACACATAGATATTGGTACACGGAGGCAACAAATACATATGCGCCACACGAATCTCAATTGATTTGTGTGAGGGTTGTGATACTGCCCGGGTGCCCAAACCGAAGCAGGTGGTTTTCTTACAGGGGCCACACCCCAAGCCTTCGACCTGAACGTCTGACCCACAAGGCAGTGGAGCATCGTGAGAAGATGCAATCCCATGGTAGCCGGTGACCAACGATTGGTTCATACGCCATTTGTTCCTTCAAGATACTGGAGCTCATGTGGACCATTGGTTTGGGATCCGGTTAAAGCGCCGGACATTCGCTTTTCGTCCTCTCATTTTCGTAAACAACACCCCCGCCACAAGAAGACAGTGAGTAGGACTTCCCTGGCAGAGGCTATATACGCGTGGCCAAGTGAGAGTATTTCGAGGAGAGCGGACTCTCCCCACTCTCGGCCGTACCAGAGCATTTGGGGGCGGTATTAATTAATAATTAACCTAATGAGTCTGAAACACCACTAAGGCAAAAATGAAAACCACAACACACTTTATATAAAGAACGTTGATTTTAGCGATAAATAAATGGTCGGATAAATTGGAATATACCTTATTTCAGTAAATCAACATGTTTGTTAAATCTTAGTTACACTAGATGTAGTTAGTCTTGAAAACCAAAAATGTTTTATCACCGAATCTCTAGGACATAAACGTATAATTTCTTTAGTGTAACTCCTTCAACACAGGATCCACAACACCAACGATAGCTTTAAGTACTATGCTCTAGGCCACACTTTTGGTTCATGACCTAATGAGATGACCCATCTGCCTGACTGGACAACTCCTTTCCCACTAAATATATGTAAAATGAGAATGAATAGTTAGGTCACATGTCATCCATTGTTTAGGATACAGAAAACTTATTGACGTTAAACACCATAAACGTTAATGAGTACTATCAAAAAACCCACTAGCTTTGGAAGAGGCATTTCATGAACCATCTCTTTAGTTGAGTGAAAAAACAACATAGACAGATAGAGTAATAAATATATCTAGTCATATCATTTTATATGGCATAGATATAGTTATGGACTGAATGCCAATTAATAAGTGGACTCATGCTTTAGAATTTGGATTATAATGGGGTTTAAGCGATAAAATCATCTAACCGAGAGTTGACATTGTTAATATATTGGTGACTTCCGAGTATCTTGATGATATTAGATTTGAGATAGTGCTATGCAACTAAAAACAGTCTTTTATTAGTGTACACATTGTGCACATAATATATACACAATACTTTCAAAGTTTTCTAAGAAATAGTCACTAAATACTGTTTAACTTACTGTATGTGTTCAATAAGGTTTAAAATCTGACGAAATACAGAACTAGAACGTTCTGGATTACAACCTGTTAGTGTTGACAAGTTGTCTTTGCGGAGCTGAAATACAAAACTTAGCAGTGTTACTGCAACAGGTTCTTGATACGCAGAATTATTCGTATTTTTCTTAGTCGTACTCTCAAATTCTAACCACTTTCCAATAGCTGATTCAGTATTGTCTGAAGAGTAGTCACCTTTAGACTGCTGACATAACCGATGAATGATGGCTAACTCAAGTAGATTGCTGATCAGCGTTAAACTAGCCTGAAAGAAGTCAACAAAAAACCACAAAGTGAGCATTATTCACACGATTTCAGCAGTGTTAAAAACAACTTGCTAGAGATGTTTAGACTATGAATTTCTAAAGTGAAAAAAGCGACAGTCATTAAATTTGAAGATAGATAATATGCATCAAAAGGATGCAGACTCAATCGTTTCCACTTTACTCTTGACCAAAGAGTCAATAAGCCAACAGTTAACTTCAATATAATGTTGCCTAAATACTTTGAATGTATAAATGCCCCTCCACTTTTCGCTTATGCAATTTAAACTTCGTTGACCTAAATACCTTTGGTATAGGAATATAAAAAATGCTTTTAGCATGTAACTGATTAAAGATTTTCAAGTTAATTGTTACAAAACGGCATTCATTCTCTGAATTAAAAAAGTCAGTAAGCAATTCAGCTTCCAGAACTTTGACTAATGTGCGCTTTGCTTTTTAATTCTGCAAAAGATTCAAAAAATGTAAAACAATTGAAAACAGATTTATCATGTTTACATAAACACTTACCAATAAGTGCTGATCTCTTGAGTGCATAGTACCAGTCACCAATTTCATGTAACGATCTGATTTACATGGTGAGTTCACAGAACATTGTTTTACAGACAACTTTGGTGAAGAAGCAAAAGATGTACAAGTATAACCATGGTCTAACGCAAAAGAAAGTAACCAACTAAGGCGGGATGTAGTTGCGCTAGCTTCCGGATATAAAGACTGTGGTGGTAAACGTTGTAAACATTCAACAAAAAACAAGCAGGCTAAGGATCTTGACTCAGCAAGAGATGACCCGAAATGATGTCCATGTGGATTGCTTTCCACAAGCGGTTCATCAGTTGAGTTAACTGAAGCTTGATGAGCATCTGTAACACCAACATTAATCCACCAATTACTAGGAACTGTCATTAAACTGTCCAAAGCCTGCAAGAAAAGAAATTCAACATAAAACCAGAAAAATCTCGGTATGAAAACATTATGAAAACTGAGTTTTAAGTAGGATTGTTTAAGAATGAAACAAGACTTTAAATCTGATATATATATATGCTACGATTTGGGCGCCCGGGCAGTATCTTAGCCCTCACAAAACTCAAATTATTTAAGTGGCGAATATATATTTGGTGCCTCATGGTACCAATGTTTATGTGTTTAAATAAATAAATAAATAAATTGTCAGGTGGAAATCATAAGTCTGTGAAACGTCTGGTTTGGAAAACTTAAACCCAAATTATATAAAAATTATAAGGTTAATCAATACGTAACATGAAATGTGACGAATGACTGAATTCGAGTGAAATCATTTAAAACTGGAAAATTAAGTAAGTCTTGCATATTAGAAATGATCATGCGTTGCTGGTAGGTAGACGTTTAGTCGACATTTATTTTACAAATATAATGGTTTAGGCTGACCATACTAAACTTGCTAATCGCGGATTTAAATAACACATAAATATTAAGCATAGTTTCACAAGGTGAAGAGCATATTGTCATATATAGCAGCTAGGCGATTATGAGTCATTATATTTACTAAGGAATTTTTATTAAACATTCTACAAAATAGCTAAGAATTGTATACATGGAAATTTACCCTCATGAATTCCCCTGGATAATGGTAGGCCAATAATTTGGTTAAACTCCTCAAACAAGCTAGACACTGGCGTGAAAATCCTGAACCAAAAACGGTACTATGTTTTGACCTTAAGGAACCATCCATCTTGCCACATTTCAGATTATAGAATGAAATTAGCTTTCCAGTAAACTGAACTAAACCAGCCTCCATGGTACGATTTAAATCAACAAAATTTCGGCTAACTAAATGTTTATGCGACTTTAGGAAAGATTTGTAATTCATTTTAGTAAAATCAGTTAAAATTGGAACTGGATGAATATTTGCAGTTAAACTTGTCAATTTAGCAGATAATAAGTCGAGAGCTTTCCGACGAAGTCCACGGTTTTCACAGGAGAATAAATCTAAGATCATGGAAATGAATACTCGACCAGGAACTGAATCCAAGATCTATGTACAAAAATAAAAATTAGATTAATAGAGATATTACCATCATATGTTATTCATAAAGACAACAAAAAGTAAAACGATTGCAGAACAAAAATATACTAAAATAAACTGAAGAAAAATTTTTAAAGCTTTTTTAAGCGAAAATGTACATGAGATGGGATTACATAGATCAGCGTATTCAATTACAAGTCTGTTCAAAATTTCTATTTACTTAGGACCTTTTATCTAAATAGAATTCCCCAACAAAAGAATACACCACATTGTATAAAATAACTTTCTAAATGTTACAAATCTTTGCTGATCGCTCGGTCGTCTTCAGTAATTATTTGTCAAAGTAAGGAATACATCAGAAAGTCCAAAAAATGATATTCATATCACAAAAAAAGTCATAAATTGTTTTAAGATGACCATTACTGCGTCATGATAAAGTTCAAATTAAAAGAATGGTTCATAAATAGTACTAATTGTTAAATACCCTTTATATTGAAGCTTTAGTTTACTTGGGACGAAATAATCACGATTCGAGATTCGATTCACAAGTTTTGAAGATCTTAGATTTATTTTCACTAAACTATTCCGAATTTACTAAGGAAAAAAGCTGATATCGAATATATTCGTTCTGAATGTTGATGTAATCCCTACATCAATTCCACCAAACAAGACACGGACATGAATTCCCTGTGAATTACTAACCTTTAATAATTAATCATGCGCATAACATAGAATTTCAAAAGTCAAGTAAGAGCTATGTGTTTTGGCATCATGAGTAACAGTGAATATTTTACTGTACAAAGCATTAATTACAGTTCGACATATGAGTTAGCATAAATAAGACAATTAGTTTGAGTTGACGTCCCCAAAACTAAGAATACGGAATCAACGTTATTCACGACAAGCAGTACAACACATTATAATGAATTAGATTTTCTGGTACCTAAAGATTACCAATGGTTATTTATTTAATATTAACTTGATATGAAACCGATTAAAAATAGGCAATAAAAAGTTAAAATATAAAAGATGTCGATTTTATTTTAAACTCAATACTAATCGGCAGAGATAGATGGTGGCTAGGAGTGAAATCCACGAGGCGCATCGCTTCATCCTATTTGAGAGTCGGCAGCTGGATGCACCTGGATCCGCATTGATCTTCACCCTGGGACTCGAACCGAGTACCGTTCTCTTCAAACTCCGTCACGTTATACACTTAGCAGACCAAGAAGCAGAAACCAACAGAGATGCTTGATGCTATTCAATTATGGCAAAGCTCCTTTGCAAATTAGAAATATATTATTTAATGACAGTGAAACAGATAAAATACTAACCTGTACTAAAATCGATTGCAAACTGGACAATGTTTCATCAGCACAAGAGACTACATCTGTCATTTTTTCATCCGATTTTTTTACTTTCGTCAAGAAAGTAGCCACAACGAGCATTAACTGAACAATATGTTCCACTAACCGACCATAAACAGCACTTAAACCTGATGGATCGCTAGAAGCTGTTTGAACTTTATCACAATAATTAGGATTTCTTATTAGGGCTACAATAAACTGTATAGTTCGACTGATTAAGGGCCACATTTCGTTCAACGTCACAACAGTAGAATTGTTCAAAGATGTTTGGATTTGTTCGCTTGTTTGAATTGTGTTATCTAAATTGAAAATAAAAGACGCGAGTTGACTGAAAGAAGTCGCCGTGTTCACATTACCGTCGTTTGGCAGAGATTCGGTGGCACCAATTGATAAGTTGTTGGTTGGTGATTTGCTGGGATTCGCAAATGACGAACTCAATTTTAGCCGCTTTTGAGAATGACCGATTTCAACGTAGACGTTACCGCTGTTCTCTGAAACGTCAACCTACAAAATGAAGACAATAAAAATTCAGGGAGAAAGCATAACAAGTGAAATAAACCAACTGTAAAATGAGAAATGTAACATTCTTCTCAAACAATAAATCAACCGAAACTACAAACCTCCCAAAATTCCTCATGCGGTCAACATCATCCATTTTACAGGAACAACGAACACTGGCTAGTATAAACGACTGAATATTCATCAGTGTCACAGTTTATGGCCCCTCACTTCTTATTCTTAAACACTCTTCGTGTGGTATACAAACCGTAACTATTAAGGTATGTCATACGGTCTCACTACAAAAAGTAACTAACCCTTAGTACAACGAAAATATTTATCAGCAGTATTTTGAATTCACACATTCAAATGCATCACAAATGATTGCTCCCAAAATATTAAGAAACAGAAAACCATTAAGGAAACAAAATTACACAGGGAGGATTCTCCATAAAGTTTACAAATCGCAAGACCTATATGTCATTTAAATTTTTAGTAAAGATAATGTGAGTGATCGTGTTAGAAAAATGACCCAACAACGAAAGTAGAACAATCATTACATTAAAATATGAAACCGAATTTCAGAGTGAATTACATCCTAGATGTCCTCTCGACAGAATGCATATTTCTACAGTGCTCTTCTCTATCGTGGTAAGCAAAACGGAGATATTGTAAATACATGGAAACGAAACCTTACGTATAAGAACTTTGTAAGGCTTACTTGAGGAAGCTTATAATCACAAGAATTCATACACAAATATGTCAGAAAATCTATGCATTCACATAGTCCAAGCACTTGATGATCCCATCCGAAATGACTGAACAACTCGATAAGAAAAGGTCCAACTTCATCAGCTAAAAACGATAATTAAGAAATAGAGATTATACATTCCATAATAATACATCAATGAGAAATGATATTATTAATTAATACTACCTTGGGAAATACATTACATTTACATTATCATTCTGAGCTGCAAGTCTTTCGAATTCATTATGGAACGAGTACTAATGTAATGTAACTCGATTGAACTCGACTGAACGAAACTAGACAATGAAATCCTGAACTTATTTTTAAGGATCATAAGAAAGTCTATTTCCCCTGGAAATCGCAATTGTCGACACTCACTGACCGTATAAAATAACATTCTCCAGGGTAAAATATCTTTGAGAAGAAGATTAGAATGTAATTCGTTCAAAGTTGAGTAGTATAAACTAAAGCTGACCTGGAATAGTTGTGTATGCATTTATCCACTAATAGTAACAACTAAATATTGTATGTGATCTGACGATAAGTGCTGGTAATAGTAAGCTAGCCAACCCATAGATTATGATGATTAAGATACACAATTTATTAAGGATGACTGAAGATGTTTTTTGATAAATTGGAACTAAATTAAGTTGACGGAAAACGGAAACCAATAAATTATTTAGAACCTACCAACTGATTGTATTTGCCAATTTTTCTTCAAGAACACAAGTGATGTAACCCACAACCAACTTCCAATCCAACTTTCTTTAGGCCGTAATGAGATTTTACATTCATTTCCACGTGCAACCCCCTCAACTCTTTTGGTTGGTTTTATTTCATCTGTAATTTGTTTTTGTGTAATAAACTGATTTAGTTCACTATCTGTTATGAATGGTCCAGTTACTTGAGACAAACCACGAATTAGAACAGTGTAAAGTGCTAAACGACGCCGAGCCAAATTAGTGAACTCAGAAAATCTGATAACAAAGAGATATAGCACATGAAGACCAGCAGAAATTTGCTCAGAAGACGCTCGGATAAGCGCTGGAACAGTTACTAATATTAGACGTCCCAAAATACTACGATTATGAGCGTTATCCAAACGCATAAGCTGACGATTGCACGCAACCCATTGCACCAAGGACACCAAATGATGACATAATGCACCCTAAAAAAATAGGCATAAAAAACCGTTAAAAAAGTAAAAGTTAAATGAAAAAACTATACTTCGATGCTAAAAACCAGTTTTAATGCAATAGAATATTTTATTAGATATTGTTGGTCAGTCAATTGCTGGAAATGTAACTTATATATCCTATAAGTTATAAAATGTGCTTGTTAATAAAAAAACTATGTCACTAAAAGGTATTGTTGCTCTAAAATATATTTAAATACAACTACAGCTAGGTGTGAACACCATGAACCTACTTCACGAGAAAGTCAACAAAAACAGATGTAATTTCTCTTTAATTCATACAGCTATTTAACTCGCGGATTAAATATCTTTCTAAGGTTTTCACTAATTCTAGAATACAAATTCTGTTAAGGGTTATTGAGTCCTTTGAAAAACATCTATGAACACAACTTAATTTTAAAAACCTGCAACAGTAACCACTGGCCTAATAGTAATGATAAACGATATTGTGAATGAAAATTCTATTGTTTAGTCTAACAGATATTCACTGTTAACATTATTAAGTTGATTAACAAATCTTATTATTATGACACACAAACTACCAATGATAAATGCAACACAAACTTACGGGAAACATGACAGACAGTTCAATAAAGCAAAGTAGAACTTGTTGATGCAAGGATATCCAGTCAGGGTAAACAGCGAGGCAGAGGAAAATTGGATCCACAGCAACTTGTGCAGATGTTAAACAATAAAGTAAACCTGTCTGGTCTGTTGGTGTTTGCCGATGAGAACGTTTTCTACGAGGTCGCTTACAACGATTTCCTTCGGCAAATATAGTTGTGATGCAAATCAGAAGTTTATAAATGCACTGACGTAACAGTGGTCGAATGCACGAGTCTTCATTAACGGGCGACATATCTGCTGCTTCTTGATCCATATGGATATCAGACAAATCACCAGGTAGTGATTCTAGATCACTATCTGTATCAGACTCTGGGAGAACATTTGTTTGATTTGCATTTGCTTCTATTTGTTTCAAATTTTGCTCCATGTTTAATATGCTACAACATATGGAATATCAGGATAACATTCATGATAAAACAAACAGAATTCATAAACTTATTTTGTCATTCTCAACAGAGATTATTCCCAAAATGAAGATAGGTTTAGTGTCATTTAGCTAAAATAAATGCTTTGATTACTTTTACGAAGGTTACCTATAAAGAATATTACAGTGACTAACATTCGCTTTAATGACGGGAAGTAACTAAGTGGTAAGTGCATTCTTCAATAAAGGTAAACGATTTTAGACAGTGAGCATACTTTAGTAATAAGAGTTTAGGTTATCCTGTTGATATTACGGACTGAATTGCGACCAGTCTTTGTTGAAATATGTGGATCCTGTGCGGGTCGTTTCGATATTACCATTTGGTCAAAAGTATTTTTAGCAAAGTTGGTTAGTTAGTGGCTAGTAACAGAATCTAGAAAGTGTTTCATTCTATTTGGACGCACCTTACCCTAGATTTGATGTTCACACTACGACTAGAACTCATTACTTTTCGGTTGAAAAAATGCGTTACCTATTGAACTACTAAGTCTAAATACCAATAACCTATTCAATGGACATGAATTTTACATCATTAGTAAGAAGTGTTTGAGTTATACCCGTGTCTATATTACGGAATTATTAAAAAGACTTTTGATTAACTTCCACTCATAATAATGTGTGAACTACTGGATTAATAAGTGATATAGTGCTTTTTGTGTTATAAGGAAATGGTCATTTTCATGCACGAGAAAAAAAAAACTTCTACATTTAATCTAATACATTAATTAATTAAAAAACAAAACATACTAATCATAAAACCAAAAATTATAACACATCTAGCGTTGTGATGCAAGAAAATGAGTTTAAAAGCGAAATTAAATATCTAGCAATATCCAAACCTATACACTACTCACCTAGTAAGATGATTAACTAGTGGAGTGATCAAATCATTCATCGGCAAACTGTGATCTTTTATTTTCTTTACGCCAATATTTGGTGATTTTGTATCTACAGCTGTTAGTGATGTATTCAAATCAACAGATTTCGATTTATTCTGAACCGTAGGTGCGATTTCATATGATTGTAACCGTGGCACGGCTTCAGTTAAAATAGACAATAACATACTAAGAAATCGCAAGCGAATTCTTTCTGAATAGGTTTTCTTATCATCATTTAATAATTCCAAATTAGCCTCCCTCGTTTTCCGTAGTCGTAAACTACGTCGACGAGATTCTCTACATTAAAAAAAGAAACACATTTAAAATAGATTTGAAACTTGTAAACACGATCATCACTAAGCAAAGAGTTAAATAAGAAAATCAACAAATTAACAATATTCACAAAATATAATTGTAATTAAGTATCAAACGTTTGAAAGCATACAATGACAACACTAACATACTAGCAATCGAGTTTATGATCAAATCAGATAATAAATACAACATATAACTGATACAAAAAATCTAACATACAGAAAGCATGGCTGAATTGATCAATCAAAAGTGGGTCATACACATAACTTACTCAGAAATGAATGATTACCCTTCCATCAACAATTCAAAGATAATTTGTAATAGGTACTTTGAATTGTGGAACAGCTACATAAAGTAATATGTGGAAATAAACCCAACTACTACAGTTTGAACAATTTTATAATATTCATAACCCTCATACAGTTTTCTATGGATGAACACAGTTAACTAAATTATATTAATTTACTTTAATAAATATGCATATCAAAGCACAGTACAAAAACAAAAAGAATAATTACCGGGCTTCAGCAACTCGAGCAAATAATGACCTGTTGTCGCCACCAACTGTTCTTGACGGGTCTGATTTGATGAACATATAATCAAAATGAACTGCATTTAGATGAAGCTGAAATAAAATATGATATCAATTAATCAAGTTTACCAAAACACGAACATCGAACTTATGAATATGCAAAGTGTATCATTAGTCTATAATATATAAGTAATTGTATAACAAGGGTTGTGTTACAGATGTCTGCTGGTTAGTTAGAGGCTACAGAATTCATTACATGTTTTGCGTAAGATGTGGCTTACATCTAGTAGGTGATGTGATATAGGGTTTCTGATTTCATAAATGGATGGACGTGTTTTGGATTGTTAAAAATAATAAACAGAATCATAACCAGAAGATAAAATGAAATGATACGATGTGACCGAGTAGCAGAGATTCATAATTACTGAATAATTGACCTAAACTATCGGATAAACTAAGCTCAAAGACAAGTTCGTTAGACAGAAGAATAGATCTTTGATCTAATCAAAAAAAACATCCCTACACACAAAATATTAACACGAAAATAAACATGATTAGATTTATTAAGCGATTGCAGAATATCAGTTTCATAGGTAATTCACTCAAAGACAAAATGATACTTGACTATTAGAATTAATTCCTACCCACTATATATATCATGGTGATAGTATTGCAAACAAGAAATACAGACTATTGATTAGCTCCTAATTTGCTTCAGTAAATGTCATGGATAATTCATACCTAAATTGTTAAAGCCCAAATGTTTAGGATTTGCCAATAAGCTGTAGACATCACAATACTCATATATGATGTTATTTTCTCCATAATTCACCTACATTAACTTAGATGTAATCGAAAACAATAAAACGAGCCAAATAGGATCTTCAGTGCTTTATTAACTATGTTATATGCACTGTTAAATGGTACAATAGACGTGACCCAACAACCAGAGACTGTGCAGAAAGTTGACACGTTAGGCTATGGTCTATGTCAATAAATAACGACTGCAGATAGATGCAGTAAGTTTTTATTATCAATATGTATGATTTTTTTCATGCATACAACTTTCACTAGAGAGCAACAAAAGTCAGACTACAACCTTGAAAATATATCTTAAACTAGCAAGAATTTAGATCTTGAACAGCACACTGTTTCTTTGTTATTTTATCTAGAAATAAAACTACAGAATTCCAATAAAACTAAGTTCATAATTAAAGCATTAAAACAAAAAACCGATAAAATAAACAATTGTTCTCATTCTACAAAATGATAAAATCTATTTAGGTGCTTTTCCCAACATAATTTCCTCTTAACACCAAAATGTTGAAGGTGGAACTTACACGAGAAAATACTTTGTGAACGGAATCGAAATTAGTCTGCACATTATCATGACCAAGCTTATATAAAGCATCAAGGATACTAAATTGGGGTCCCTGATAAGGATCTGTGCTTGACATATCTCTACTGAGAGTTTGCAAACAGCCAGTTGATTTCCGCAAAATTGATGTTCTCTCTTTAATAGAATCGATTGAAAGATGAGAACATTCTAAAGATGCAAATAATGCTGGATTAAGACGTGATAAACATATATGATGTAAATCGATGAAATGAATATTGGAGCACTGTATCAAATTTAGAAATCCAGACCAGCCTCTGACAGATTCTTCATTTGAACTACTCGGAATAAGAAGAATATCACCGACGGTATCCTCATTTAGTAAACGTAGACCAACCTTCCAGCAAACTATGGAAAATTTACTTTCTGAGCAAGCCTCCGAGGTACCCAAGTCCAATGTTTGACTGTAAATCAATAAAACAAAAAAGTGAACTAAACAAGGTATCATAACATGAGCGATTTTATTCTAAAGCGTTATTATTAAGGAGACTCCTAAAAGTTATCTGAATCAAGCTTATTGGCTTAACTCCTGAGATATCAGACATAGGATGATAAGCCGCCCACCTCGATAGGCGATGTCATTTGGCTTACGGGTGACCAAAGCAAAAAGTGGTACAAGCTCGTGAAATCATTGACAGATGGACATTCATGTTGACAGGTGTAGACTACCTGGTTGGGGTCCGTGTGATAACCGTAACCAGTGGTTAGACATTCAATGCCATGGCACAAAATCGTTTACAATGGGGCAGGTGCATTCGCTGTCTTCTAGATTCCAAGCTTCTGAATTCTTCATTTTTGATATAACTACTTTATATTTCCTAGAATCTTATCTTCCATGTGGTTATCAAGTTACCAAAACTAATCGATAACCATTTAAAACTCCGAAAAAATTATCTTAGACATCAAGATGGAATAATTAGACCAACATACATATATTGTGGTAATTAGAACGCTAGATTGTAAAGAAATTCGATTAGTCCCAAATATTAGCAGGTGGTGACCTAAAACATTTACTGACTTCGTTGTGATATTTGATTTTCGTTCTCCTAGGACGTTAAAAATTGAAAAATTCTGATAAATGAACTAATTCACTGGATCATGCAGTGGTAATTTTCAGTTGAAGTATATCGTAATGTAATAAATATATCGTGGAAGGGAAACACTAACCTGAATAACAGGCGAACAACAGGTTTGATCAGAACAGAAGCTACTTTGTTTAATGAGTAGAGTGGATCGCCTAGGAGCAACTCTCTTACTTCCTCGGGAAACAGCTCATCTATCTGAGCTGAAAAATCCGAAGTCAAATCGAAATTTGAGCAAAAGGTAGAAAAATTCGGCATGCGTTCCAGATCTTTTGATAAATCATTCTTGAGCCAAAAGTGTAAGATATCGTACGCCTCTACGCGAATAGTAGCAGCAGGATGTGACAAGCAAGCAACCAAGAGTGGTAAAACTACAAAGTAAAGATGTTGTTACACTAATTACTATATCCAAAATCAATGTGAATAATCAGAATAAACAGAACAAACAAATACTAAACAATAAATAAAAAGTAATGTGTACTATGCAGTTTAAATGTAAATGGAGAAGTACAACTTTTATGTTAAAAAAGATCTTTGGAGTAAATAAGAGGCATGATAAGTCGACTATGTATGTATTACAAGTAAGATGCTTTAAACTAAAATAGATCTCTTAGAAAACAGACATCTAGTGCAATTATAGGACAAGAATCTTTGAGGCAGTCTACCTTGTTATCGGGGATTTAGTACCCAGATTTGTCAGTAAAGATTCACAATAAACACAAGAATTTGTTCTTTGAATAATAATGATCTAATTCTTATCCAAATAAATATAGTAATATGATATATATATATATATATATATATATATATATATATATATATATATATATATATATATATATATATATAATTTAGTACAACGGGAAAAACTAACCTTTGTCAATGCCTTTTTGTAACAAACCACATAAAGTCGACATTGATTTACGGGAACATTTTGGCTTCGGTGTACCTGATGCAACTACCACCCCCTGAGCATATTTATTTGAATCTACGTGAACCTTTATAGAAGACTTAACCAATCTTAATAATCGAATATAATGTCGTATTTCTACTTTTGAATAATGTATTTTATGCTGATCAGAATTATTGTTACAAAAACATTCACCAGAAAATATTTCGAGTAACACATCAGATAACCAACACTCAGAATTTGGTAAAGGTCCGCTAGGACAAGATAAAGTGCAATTCATTACACAGCAGCCTACATTAGGGATGCTCGACAAAAATGCATGAATTCCATCGATTTTCAACTTGAGCTCTTCTTTCAATAAAATATCGTCAGTTTTTTGTTCCGTTATTTTTGACCCAAAGCTTTTTATATTAACATCAACAAACTAAAAAAGATGAAATAAAAAAACCACATTAATAATTGATATAGTATACAACATACTCATTGTATATTTACCAACAAAAAATTGAGGTAGTGCAGTGATATGTTCTCTAAAACTAGAATAACTGATTTTGAAAACTTTTAATGATTACGCGGTAGTAGGAATAAACGATTGAAGAATGATAATCGTCTTTATTTGTAATATACATCAGACTAATTCATTAGTACTTAGAAATCACAAAGAATAAATTATAAAGAAGGTTGAAAATGTTTTAATGGAAATTACCAATATAATCAACGAAATAAAAGTTAATTTAAAGTTATCTAAAGAACAATAATGAATAACTTTGATGAAACTTTGTGAGAAATTTCATTTAACGGAAGTTGATCATAAACTAATAGTGAATTAGTAGAATTTCCTGACTCAATATTGTTAATTTAATCAAACAGCCTAAAATACAAAGCTTGTTTAGATTTCGATAAAGTTTGAATAATAAAGTTAAGAATAACATTAAATTTATAAATTTGCATATCAAACCTGTGTAGCTTTTTGAACATAATCAAACTTCTGCATACACTCCGCCGCTAACTTATTAGGATCATTATATTCATTGACTAGCGCCGACTGTTCTTCTTCAATTATGCGTTGTTCTTCAGGAGATAGCTTGGAAAGTAAGACATTTTGACGCTCAGTAAGTTTTGGAGGTAACAAAGGAATACGCTGATTTCGCATCAGTTGGATTACAATACGCATTGATTCCCATTCACAAGAAGGTCGAGTTTTCTTCAAAATACAAGATATCCAATCGAGAACTAGTTCTTGATTAATTACCAACTTCAAACTGAAACGTATTACGACCAAAAATGTGGCGCATTGAAAAGGAACTATATTCATAGATTGTAATCCGTGTTTTATGACATCCTGAAAAGAGTCTAATATCTTGATAAGTTTTTTCTCAGGAACACCAGAATCACACAACGCGGTTACAATTCCCAAAAAAAAATTAGTCATATCATTAAGTCTTGTTGGCACCAAATCGCGACAACACTAAAGATAAATAAACAGCAATATGTTAAAACGAATCGAAACTAGAACTGACCAAAATTCAGAAAACTGGAAAAACATTAGGTTTAAAATAGTAGCAAAAGAAATATGATTTTTTTTAACTCAGTACTCAATATTATTATTCTCATTATTTATTATTATTATTTATTTGAACACATAAATATTGGTACAGGGGGGCACCAAATATATATGCGCCACACAAAACAATGATAATTTGAAGAGAAGGAGAAAAGAGAAAAAGGAAAAAAAAAGGTAATGAACGTGGGGAATTATAAAAAAAGGGGAGAGAGAGAGAGAGAACAATGGTGGGGGAAACGGAAAGGTACAATCAGAAGAGATCTTTCAATTAAGGAAGATACAACCACTTTTTATGAAGAAAGTAAAAGAAGGTTACAGCACGATCGCCACTGGCTTCTAATCTGAGCCATATCTGATAACGTCTCTAGCCACTGCGTTACACCGTCTCTCGGACCCCAACCAGGGAGTCGTGAAGGACCAACAGAAGCTAGCCCTTTGTAGCTTTCTTTCATACCACGACACCATGTCATATACTGACCACCTCTCCGCTTTTTCCAACCAGTCCCAGAGTCGGCAAATAATGCACGACGTGGAATTCTCTGGGACGACATTCGTAGAACATGTCCAAGCCACCGAAGTCGGTGTTTCAAGATGGTGACACCAATTTCATTATCGTCTCTGTGACCGAACACTCGATGCCGAACCTCTGCATTACTGACATGGTGTTGCCACTGGATGCCAGCAATCCTTCGGAGACAACGATCATCGAACACAGAGAGACGTCTAACATCCTCAACTCGGAGAGGCCAGGTTTCACAAGCATAGAGCAAAACTGCTCTCACCGTCGCGTTGTAGATCCGACCTTTTACAGTCAGACTAACATCACGAAGGCGCCAAAGATGGCCCAGATTGGCATAAGCCGCTCTGGCTTTCACTATACGAGCATTGATCTCATCACTCACACCACCACCAGCACTTATGCAGCTACCTAGATACACGAACTTCTCGACTACTTCAATCTGCTCACCATCCAGAGTGAGTACAGGATTAGAATCCTGCCAGTCTTGTAGAAGTACTTTGCACTTCGAAGGTGCAAAGCACATACCATACCTACGGACATTGATTGCCAACTGATTAAGTGCGGATTGCATAGCTTGGGCATTCTCGCACAGTAAGACAATATCATCCGCATACTCAAGGTCGAGAAGTCTTTCTCCAGGCAACAGATCCACACCACCATTACTTACATTCATCAGAGCTGTTTCCAGAATGTCATCGATGGCAAAGTTGAAGAGGAATGGTGAGATTGAGCAACCCTGCCTAACCCCACTGCTCGAATGGAATAATGGAGAAAGGTGGTTGTATGCCCTCACTCTGCCTGAGGTGTTTGTGTATAGGGCTTTTAGGATGTTAATAAACTTCTCAGGCACACCCTTCTTCAATAGACAATCCCAGAGAACAGTTCTGTCCAACGAATCGAAGGCAGCCCTGATATCAAGAAACACTACGATTGTTGGCCTTTGATAAGTATGGCGGTGTTCTAACACTTGGCGGAGGGTGAAGATATGATCAATACGTCCTCGACCGGAACGAAACCCAGCCTGCTCCTCGCGAGTCAATCCTCCTCGGGTTCTGAACAACCTACGAAGTATGACGGAAGCCAATAGCTTGGACGCAATCGGAAGTAGACTTATCCCCCGATAGTTGTTACAGGAACAACGTGAACCCTTTTTAAAGATAGGGACAACTATCGACTCATTCCATGACGTTGGTACACACTCTAGTTCCCAGATCTTTGTAAACAACGTCGTCAGTCCCTTGGTCAGAAAGTCACCACCATCTTTAAAAAGAGCCGGAGGTAAGTCGTCTGGGCCCGGTGATTTGTAACGTTTCAAGAGTTGGAGTTCCTTGCGGAATTCCGCCTCATTTGGTGGATCAGTCGTCACCGGCCATGGAGGGCAGGACAGTCTGACCGATGTTGCCGGAGCAGCAGGCCAGTTGAACTGCCCTTCGAAAATTCTGCCCATCGTCCAAGACGTCGATGGATGTTAGTGATTGGCGTTCCGTCATCTTCGCAGATTGTTTCATTCACACCAGACTTCTTGCTGCCAGTGGCTCGGATGAGTTGGAAGAGCTTCCGGTAATTACCAGATGTAGCTGCTGCTTCCAACTCACTGGCACGCTCCGACCACCAGGCTTTTCGGTCCTTACGCAAGCTTTGCCCGATTTCATTACGTAACATCCTTCGTCTGAGGTCAAACTCACGGTCACCCGGAGTAGACCGACGGGCTTCAATCAGTTGTAAGGTACCAGAAGAAACCCAGTGCTTGTAAGCGGGACGTTTCGCAAACCCACAACAGACTGTACCCGCCATTTTCATGGCGTCATGCAATTGCAACCAATGCTCATCTATACTTTTCGGTGGAATGGTAGCTAGCCTAGAAGCTAGCTCGGTTCGGTACATACTAGCAACAGAAGTTGCAGCCAGCTTGCTAACATCAATCCTTTGGTGGCGGTCACTTCGTTGTCCACTGAAAAGTAAGGTAAGATTGGCGCAGATCAGAGCATGATCAGATTCCAGATAGGTACTCCAAAAGGAGCGGCAGTCTTGTACACAACCACGCCAGCGGTAGCTGATCGCGATGTGATCAATCTGAGTCCAGGCTTGAGATGCAGAAGGAGGACGCCAGGTGGCACATCGGCGATGACTGTGCCGAAAGTTAGTGCTAGCCAGAAACAGGTTGTGGTCTGTGCATAGTTGCAGTGGACGTTCCCCGTTATCTGTCCTGCGACCAACGAGTCCCCATCGGCCACCTAAACGACTCTCTTCTGTGCCTAGAAGCCCGACCTGAGCATTCAAGTCTCCAGCTAGTACTACAATATCTGTCGAACGCACTTTCTGGAGAAGAACAGTTAGCTGATGGTAGAACTCATCCTTGATTGCATCCGGGCTGCAATCTGTCGGGGCATAGGCGGAGATGACGAAAAGACATCGTTTCTCACGCCGATTTCTTCTCACTTTGATGGAACTTTCTAATCTAACAGCACATAACCGACTGTTAATGGGGATCCAGTCGACTAGTGCTGCCTCAGCTCTTGCGCTTAGTGCGACACCAACGCCAGCAAGACCAGACGAAGATGCCACAGGGTCCCCGGATAAACGCACATAAAACAAGCTTTTTGAAGTGACAGATGGAGAGCGAACTTTTAGTACTTCACCAGAGTCTTGAATACGGGTCTCGGATAGACAACACACATCAATATTAAGACTTTCCAAAGACATAGCCAGTCCTATCTGTTGTCCGACCTGCATAAGTGTGCGAACGTTGAAGGTAGCCAGTTTGAATGGTCCACGCGGTTTCAGAAAAACTGCTTCAGTACTCATGTTCGGTAGTAACATACAATTTTCAACCAGGCAGTGACTCGGGAACGTTTAGATAAAGCTGAATTTTCACCATAGGTGAGCTGCTGTCTAGGTCGAAACGCATATATAAAGTAGGAATAAGAGAGGGTGAATAAATGACGTGGTAGAGTAATAATATTAATAATAATAATAATAATAATAATAACAATAATAATAATAATAGTACGAGTTATTTCAATGTTAATCAGATAGAAAGGAATATTTTCCATAAGCGAATTGTTCATCATAGTTTTAGTGAGTGGGCTGGGATACTGCCCGGGTGCCCAGACCGAAGCAGGTGGTTTTCTTAGGGGGCCACACCCCGAGCCTTTGACCTAAAGGTCTAGTCCACAAGGCAGTGGAGCATCGTGAGGAGATGCAGTCCCATGGTAGCCGGTGACCAACGATTGGTTCATACGCCATTTGTTCCCGTAGGATACTGGAGCCCATGTGCACCATTGGTTTGGGATCCGGTTATAGCGCCGGACGTTCGCTTTTCGTCCTCTCATTTTCGTAAACAACACCCCCGCCACGAGAAGGCAGTGAGTAGGACTTCCCTGGCAGAGGCTGTATACGCGTGGCCGTGTGAGAGTATTTCGAGAGGGAGGGCGAACCCTCCCCAATCTCGGCCGTACCAGGGCATTTGGGGGCCAAATTCTCATTATAACTGAAATTAATTAACATTGAGAATATTACGTGAATGCTTAAACCAGTAAGTTGTTTGATATGCAATTTATTGCAAAACATTAGTAATCTGAACTAAATAAATTTTCCCAATTAAGGTTATCACTGTATTTGAGTGTACACCAAACCCTCTAGTTTACGTACTAGCAACAATAAATTCGCTACTTACAACTACCTTTTTGTTGCAATTCCATCAAAGTTTAATGTATATAAGCGAAATTTTGTATGATTAGTACATACGAACTGTTAATAATTAAAAATGGACTACACTAAAACGGTTCACACTGGATGTATCCAGTTCCAGTCAATAATACAGAAACTCAAATATGTGCCAGAAACTAGTGCAGTATGAAAGTTTTTAATATGATAAATAGGACTTCATGATAAGTTCAAAACAAACTATGACATCATATTTTCTGAGCAATAAATAAAAATAACCTTTAAAATTAATTTACCACTTACTTCCGTATAACTAAGGATGGCTGTACATATAAATGGAACAAGGGTATGTTCTCGGATACATAGTCGAGCGAATTCTTGCCGTGATATGCCTTTACCACTTTCCTGAAAAAAATTAAACGTATGCATGACATGGCATCAATAAAAATAGATGTGTAGCAAATAATCAAATTACAAACGGGTAGAGCATGCTTAGCCAACTAGTAATGATTCCATTGAAATAAAGCTGTGATCCAAGCTACATTTTAAAACGGTTCATGTCACGACTACCTTTAAGTAAGTGATTATATAGTTGAAAAAATGATTTATTATATACTTATGACCGGAAAAACACAAAAATAACTCCACTCTTAAGATATGTCACTAAAGATTGTGTGGGGTTCAAATGTATTAATGGTTGCTCAAATGTGAAATAAGGTTGAAGATTTTACTCATGAATCACCTAAAATAATTCTCACAAAATCTCACATGATAGTTGACTACACGCCTCTACTATAGAACTTATGTGAAGTTGTAATTAGGGCACATATGAGCCATTTAGCGCTTGATGAGATCGAAACGCCTATGGTTAATCTACAGCGAGAGCAGTGAGTCTTGAAAGATTAGCTTCGGAAATCTCGAAGGACGATTGTTCAGTTTAGCAATTGAATTGATTGAGATATTACCTAGAATCTGGGATCTAGGTGTAATCCAATCTGACTGTTCTCGGTCCTTGATCATCCCATATTACAAAAAAGGATTAGAACCCTCTTGTGGTACCACAGATAGATTAGTCTGACTAATGGTATCTAGAATATTAGCTCTCTGTTAAGTTTTGGAACACCGACGTACCTACCGATAATAATAGTATGTATTAACCTTGAGATAACATTTGAATCCCGTGAATTGACAGGTCCTGTGGCTGTTTGGTAGCAAAAGGGATACCAAAGTACATAAACCTAATGAAAGCTGCTTACCCAAAAACTGCTGATCAAATTAAATCCTATGGAGAACTGTAATTGGAACTGTCAATCTCAAGCAACGTCCGTCATAGCCGCTCGCTAACTCAAACCCAATCAACTTGAAGATGTAAGGTGATATGGCTCAGAATCGATCGTCATGAAACTCATGTACTCACTCCTTGTCGCGCCCCCTCCATATCTCGGGTTGCGAAATTACTGTATACTTTTTTCCAGAAAATTCACTGATTTGTTTCGAGTCATAATCTGTATTCCTAATGATCTTTTACTGTCACTGATACAATTTCATCTCACTGTAATGATGCAGTGGCAGTTTGGATAGATGAACATTCGTCTCACGCTTTACGTTATGATTGATTGATAAAGTAGTTAATCACGAGACACATGGTCGTAACTTTTAAGAGATACATCAGCGCTAAAATTATGGACTAATTTGTATCTACAATACTTATTACACATGCCTCAATAATGAAGTATGCAAACATTATTTCAAATACACAGAGCTTTATAAGATGTATAGCTAATGTGTTAGATCATATCACATACGGATCTACCATAAAAACGTCAATTAGAATCTTCACCCTAACGAAAAATAATTTAAAGTAGATGGGTGAGAATGAAATGTTGCAATTAAAATAGCAATAACAAAAATAGAAATAGAAACAATTATCAACTAAGAAACCAATATTTTATGGACATTTTAGCGACTCGCAGAACACTAAACTTCAAATTTTTTCTGATAAACATAAAATAAAGTTTATTAAGACATCATGGTAAGTTACGAAAATACAGTACGAAGGAAAAAAAACAAGAAAAATTAACTAACATACAGCATATGGTTTTAACCACTGGAAACAAGAAGGTAACTGCTGAAAATTTAAAATTTGAATAAACTTAACGAATAGACCAGTTTCATGATATGGAATGATGCAGCGAATAAAATCTTCAACATAATGTATATGAATCTGAAATCTAAACCGTGAATAGAGATGGTCGTAAACCTACTTGAATACTAGCCATTCTAAAGCTTGTACAGCAACAAAATGCTTAAGAAAAGAAGAAATGTAACATAGGAACTTGGAGATTTCGTTGTCGAGTTTTGCTTTTTCTTGACGTAAGAGATTGCACATTTCCAGTTGACATGACGTCACAGAAAACAATGTACTGGCAAATGAGGTAAAAGCGTTATCCATTTCACATAGTTTTTCAAACGACTTTAAACCTATTTAAAGAAATAACACGTAGAAAATAAACCTACAGCTTGAATAACAAGACTGAGTGTCGATTTTCGAAGCATCTTCATATATCAAAGACTTGCGGTTAACACTGTCAACTACATAGCTGGATGTAATCGGCACTGCTAAGGCTCTTAACTGGTCTGTTAATGACATCTAAAATTAATAGAAAAAAATTGCTTACAAAATAGAAAATCAAAAACTAAAATGATGTAACAGTTAAAGCCCAACCAACATAATCTATTAGGTACAAAAACAGTACCAAAAACATGATAGCTGAGAGTTGAAGATATGCATATATTGAGTTTTGGGGCAAATATAACTTTAAAGTACTTCTCATATTCACTGAACGCTAGTCAAAAATGTGATGGTGAGATGCAAATTTAGGCTACGAAAAACTGACTGAAATAATGAATTTCTGTTGAACGAAGTGGTTGAGAAATATGTTAATGATCAGGTGAAAGTGGGGTATGGCAAACGAGAAAACCTTTTACAGCAGTTATGTACGCAGCTACAGTTGACCCCATCTACAATGCCAACTATGGTAGGACAAACTTAGAAAAAGTTAAAAGCCAACCAGGACAAAATATAACATTGTTTTATGAATTCACGGAAAGTCAATGAATCAAATAAGCTAACTGAAAAGATTGTTTGTAATCAAATGATCACTCCGAATTATTCACTCCTATGTTTCCAATAAGTACCAAACAATATATCTGAAGGGAAGCACGGGATACAGTGGATAGCTAGGATGCAATTGGATGATCTAGACTTCGCAGATGATCTGGCTCTTCTATCGCATACGAAACAACAAATTCAGGAGAAGACGACCAGTGTAGCTGCAGCCTCAGAAGCAATAGGTCTCAATATACACAAAGGGAAAAGCAAGATTCTTCGATACAGCACAGCATGCAACAATCCAATCACAATTGACGGAGAAGCTTTGGAAGATGTAAAAACCTTTACATATTTGGGCAGCATCATCGATGAACACGGTGGATCTGATGCAGATGTGAAGGCACGGATTGGCAAAGCAAGAGCAGCATATTTACAACTGAAGAATATCTGGAACTCAAAACAATTGGCAACCAACACCAAAATCAGAATTTTCAATACAAATGTCAAGACAGTTCTACTGTATGGGGCGGAAACCTGGAAAACTACGAAATCCATCGTCCAAAAAATACAGGTGTTTATTAACAGTTGTCTAAGTAAGATACTTCGGATCCGTTGGCCGGACACTATTAGCAACAACCTACTGTGGGAGAGAACAAATAAGATCCCAGTGGAGGAAGAAATCAGAAAAAATCGCTGGAAGTGGATAGGACACACATTGAGGAAAGCACCGAACTGCGTCACAAGACAAGCCCTCATATGGAATCCTCAAGGTCGAAGGAGGAGAGGAAGACCAAAGAATACATTACGCCGGGAAGTGGAGATAGATATGAGAAAAATGAACAAGAATTGGATGGAACTAGAAAAGAAGACCCAGGACAGAGTGGGTTGGAGAATGCTGGTCGGCGGCCTATGCTCCATTGGGAGTAACAGGCGTAAGTAAGTAAGTAAGTACCAAACAATATACTTCTCTTTATCTCCCCTAGTTCTTGAATCCCGAAATACACCTATGTTGTTTTTCATTACGTAGTCTTTTATATTACTACAGATACTGTTACTTCTACGACTCTGGGGTTTCTTGGTACCTTTGTCTCGCAATCCTAACGTTGCATGTCAACTTCCCCAAATGCCCTGTGTGAGGAGAGTTCCCACTCCCTCTCATATGGCCACGCATATACAGCCACTGTCAGAGAAGTCCTACTCACTACCTTGTGGTGATGGTGTTACTTACGAAATTAGGAGGCTGAAAAGCAAATGACCAGTGCTTTAACTGGGTTGGTGGGCACAGTGCATCCACATAAGGGAGCTAGAAAACCATGGTTTCAGACCGATGGTGCACATGGGTTCCAGGATCCTGAGGGAGCAAATAGCGCATGAACCTAATGTTGGGACTGTATGTACCAACGTCGCTCTACTGCGATGTGAACTAGATCTCTAGGTCAAAGGTCCGTGAAGTTGTTCCCTAAGAAAACCACCCGGACAGTATCAGAGCCCACACATTGAGTGATAACGTCATTGTGTCGCGCATATATATTTTGGTGTGCCATTGTACCAATAAGTTCACATCAATAAACAAATATGAAACCTGAATTGACGCACACGTCAGGCTTTACACTGTATATGGCTGACTGATTTAATTACTCGGCTTTAGTAATCACATTATTTATTGCGAAATTCATATGTTAACGTATTAACCTGATACACTTTATTTTCAAGGTTCTACATTGATGCTATTTTTAGTTCATAAACAACTACCACGTACACGAAAAACAATGGGTAACACTAGGGGACAACCTTCGAACCATTCACTAATCATGAACCGTAATAAGTGAAAGGAATCTCCCTAATTAAATCCATTTGAAAATGAAGGCATCACTGTTCAAAAAAAGTAAAGTATTTGGTAGCCAAAACACTGTCGCATTTGGGATAATTTCCAAGTGTAAAATATGTATTATTATGACCGACTGGATGGGTCAAGTATTAATGTACAACATAATAATTCACCTCCCTTCTGCCGACAAATCAAGTCCTTTGAGAACTGGTACGTGTACTATATGCATTCTCCTTGGGCGTAGTGCGAAAAGTGATTTACCAGCATCACTAAAAATCTGTTAAGTATTAGTTACCGCGAAAAAAAATAAAATCACTGAAATAATGCATATCACTGGAAAAGCATACGTCCACTGAGCAGTAAGAATAAGTGCTAGGTGAGACACTAATGGAACGGTTGTATAAACTGCGCTGGATACAAAAACAAATGAAGGGGAAGAATTTGGGACCACATCCTTGCAGACTCAATGGATATATTAGATTCTAAAGATCATAACACATATATTAATTGAAGGCCACTAAATTTACTTACCTTTTCTTGATAAAAATATTTATTACCTCTTAAAATGATATCATTTGAGCGACTAAACCTGTTAAGTGCGGCACATTAATACTTCAATTACCGCAACTATCAAACAAACTAAAATCCTGTGAAGCTATTAGATTGCTGTGCATATATATCCACAATTTATCGTGTATATATCGTGTGAATAGAATCCAACAGCTGACAGACAGATAGACCTCTAAAAATAAGACTAAAACTAGGGTGATAATTTGACGAGTGGTACTTTTTAGGAGTTTGTGCACTATTCGCTAAATGCTGAAATACATTTACTCTGTGAACCTTAAAGACATACCTAATCCACTTCATCAATTCTTACAACGGCAGGTCGTCGTGAATTCCAGTTTAATAAATTCAACCCGATAGCAAATAATGAATGTAACGTTACTTAACCGCGTTAACTCTACATTTGCAAAACCTAACCGGTTCAGTCCGAGTAAACTCGTAGGCACTTGAGGACTAAGTTGGATTCAGAGCTAAGGAAATATATAGTAAGAGGATCTGAGTAAAAATCTGGAGTTAATATCGGTTAGTGCTCAAGATCTGCCATGAAGAGCAAGGTGATGGGTACCCATACATAGGGCTATTAGATTTGAAATATCGAATAAAGCTAGATAAATATTAGAGCACAATAGCATAAATTAGTTTTAGTTAACGTGGTTCTCGTCATCTGCCTACATGTGATATTTGAAAATCATAAGTATGAAATTATTTCAGGTTACTTACAGGTCAGAGTCTAGTTGGAAGTTGCCATGATCACATCAGCATAGCATATGCTATGCTATATAGCAAGTATGTAAGTAATTTTAACAGACTAAGAAATATTTTCATATAGATATCTTATGTCATGTCTTGGTTTTTGGCAAAAAATGTTGAACATCTGACTAACTCTTACCTTAAAAGTTAGCAAGGTTGCATAGAATGGCTCGGCCTTAAAAGAAATGCTAGGCGACCACGCGTAGAAAACAAAACCCGCGGTACTACGTTACAAGTCACATGGGTAGAGCGGTTTTCTTAATCATAAAGTTGTTCCCTCGAATATAATAAAAAAGATATGAATTATTGCAAAATCTTTTGTTACAACGAGCCATATCCCTTTGTATTTTATTGTACATATTAATATGACTTGACCATGTATAAATAAATCAACATCCAGGGTAAAATTACAGTAAGATAAAAGAAGCAGCCTACACCCACAGATAATGGTAAGCTCAATTTCAAAAACTTTATAGTAGTAAAGGGGTTTCCAAAACCACAAAGTGTAATGATAAATTAGTCATATCCTTCCTTTGAAATAGCATGGCCTCCACTCTTACCAACGGCTAAACTAATATAAGTAGATTAAGAAGTTACTACTTGGAAAATAAGAAACACAAACTGTCCGTGGGCTCTTTTATTGTGAACCAAACCGTGTGGAGATAGTTTTTTACCAAACAAATTCCAAACTTAGTATTCAAATGCCAGATACTTAATCATAAGAGACCTATGCACACATCATAGACAGAATAAATTTAAGGACGACTCCATCAGATAACTATGAAGAAGAAACCCTAATCAGTGAGGTTGTGTTGTCTGCTTTGATGCGACATTCAGTGAACACAACAATGTATATCCTAGATTAGACATCATCACTGAACGGCCTTACATTGACTCATCATACGTAAAATTCTCACTGGATTTACCACCATTCAATAAACTTGATCAAGATATGCCACTAATCACATCCTAGATGGCTTTCATGGGGAATACGTCTACTCTAATAATATCAAACGTATGGAAAGCGAGTACTCAGATGATTGTATACAAATTGTTATTAGAAGATTGATCTACCTAAGCAAAACCGCCATTAGACTCGACTAGGAAGTACGTAAAAGACTTGACACAGTAAGTACAGAAACTTTTGTACTCTGGATCGAGAAGCAAAGAAGGGTATAAGACAGAAAGTAAAGTAAATTTTATTCAGATCACTAAGATCTGGTGAGCTAGAATTTCAATACTGACAAGCCATATATACTTTGGAGAGACCTTGGAAAACTTAGAAGCTAGTCTAAAGTAAGTGATGTTAGTGACTCTATGAAGTCATGTACATATCGGAAGATTAACTTGTGTAATGTATGACAGAACGACAGTCCTTCACTGCCAGCGGTTGATGATGAATTTTGACAATGCCATAGTATTGATCAAGATAAATAACGCAAAGGCACCGTTCTTTCATCTACAGTCTAAGTGAAGCGACTGTCCAGAAATCCTTTTTCCTAATATAAATGAATAATTCTGATCTGACAGATTTCCTCCACTGCATCTCACGGTACAGCAAACTGAATCAGGGCACCGGACATACTATAGACACAACGTGTAATGTAAATTTATGTTCTTTTTCGGAACACAATATAGCATTTCTTAATTTTTATTTTTACACGTTATGACAGATATTTTCTTCCTCGTTTTTTTGGTATACTTTATACTCACCACGGTGGAATAGACACATAAGTGATTTGGGATTAAGACCTTCTCACCTTGCTTAGTTCAGAGGACGCTATCCTCGCCTGAAAATATAGAATGATGGTTCGACAATGCAAAAACTGACCTTCTTGAGAACGGCTTTAAATAAGTCTATATCTAGACGCGGAGACGTAACCGATCTACACATTTTAAACCGGCTTTTCCACAACATCGAGTTGCAACACTGCTCAGCAGCAGAAATGCCACTACGTATGTGAAAGGTCATTGGTCAATGGACATTTGACTAGTAGCTATTCTGACAGCTCTTTGTGTCTAGGTCTCCCCAACAAGTGCAGGCGGTTCTCGTCTTAATTCAAAATAACGCTGCAGGCAAACTGGCCGCATCTGCCGACCAGACCCTGGATATCCCTAGAATCCGCGACGTTGAAGTATATTCTGTAAAAAAAAGCCCCAAAGTACACAAAATCATGCAAAAAATTCCTGATAAGCTCTTACTTGTTATCCTGGTATTCATCACGTTCTTAGACGCTCTCGAACTCCTCAGAAGATTTCTTTATGAAAATGATCTGTCTCTAGATAACGAAAGACAGATAATCATAAGTGGTGCTGGTACTACAACAAATGTAGTAAGTTCTTTAAAAATTCAACAGAAGCTTGCAGTTTTCTAAACTCCAGACCAATTGACACGGAAATTCCTCTTCGGCACGCACCCACGATAACCGTAGCCAGCGAACATAGCCGTCTACTATAAATCACCGATGTGATTATGAAAGTTCGCTATCTCGTCGACATTGCCTCAGAAGTAAGCGTTCTTCCAGCAAATTCTAACCATAGATTGCAAGGACCAGTCTTCAACTTACGGACGACGAACGGAAAATCGACTGCCACATATGACGGGCGATTTGTCATTCTTAACGTGAATTTGCACAAAGAGATTCACTGGATCTTCGGTGTTGCGGATTTTTCTATGGCAATCATTGGTATAAACCTGCTATAACATAATAATCTAATCATGGACGCGCAAAAAGGGAGGTCAGTAGATAGGAACACCAATTTATCTAATTGCTTAACTTTCTTTACTGGTAGTAGATTGTCCCCAGTCACTGTCCGGCACCTAATTTATTCATAACGTCAGCGAAATCTTGACAAACACTCCGAACCCTATCAAGCGATACCAAAATTTTCAGTGTGTAACTAGTAATACTGAACATCACATCACGACCACATGAGCACCTGAATTTCAGAAAACACATCGAGTAGCTTCCGAGAAGCTAAGGTTGGCTGAAAAAAATCACACCACATAAAGTCCCTAAAAAGGACAGCTAAGATCGTTATGGAGCTGGTGACTGTTGACAACCGTATACAAAACCATTGCTGGTCGTTACCTTTTGCCTCACATTCACGATTTAGCAGCTACTTTAAAAGACACAATGTTGTTTTCAAAATCGATCTGGTTAAGAAGGAATAACAAAATTCCCTAGGCTGCTCACGACATGCCTAAAACAGCAATCATAACCCTTCCGGACCCCACGAATGTTTGCCCACTCCACTTGGTATAGAAAGTACTGCACAAACTTTCCATAGATTCATCGACAACGCCTTTCGAGGTATCATCTTTTGTAATAATATGTAGATGACTGCTTGATTTCAAGTCCGAGCAGAGCACCTTATTTCCAGCGTCTGGACCTTGTTTGCCAATGACATAGAGTTACTATAAACATTCAGAAATCTCATACCGGACTGGATCCCTAGATTTTCTCAGACATTATTGACACTTTAGGCACCCAACCTGTACACAACAATGTGATGGGCAGTCTGGATTACACAGAAAAAACCACAAACAAGTAGTTGTGTACGTTTAACGGCCTGGTGAGTATTTGTCGACGGTTCATACCGAATTGTGTATCTCTCATGAGATCCTTGACAGACCAACTTCGTGGGAATGTAAAAAGCACCAGTTTGGACGACAATGAGAACAGTCACTCTCCTCAATTAAGGAAGTTATTGCGAAATCAAATATGCTCGCACACCAGGACATCAAATCACTGACCAATATCACATCAGACACATCCAACTCGGCCATCAGAGGAGTCTTACAACAGTGTGTAAACAAAAGCTAACAATTTTAGGAATTCTTCTCGAGACGGTCTCGAGACTGAGTCTGGGTATGGCACTTTCTGTAGGGAACGCTTGTCACGTGTTGTGCTGTAAGGCACTCTCAACACTCTTCAGAAGTCCGAGAATTCATTCTATATCCTGACCAAAAACATTTCGCCCACTCTCGTAGCTCATCTTCATACAAGTACCCTATTCGAGGATTTCGAAAACTGGATTACATTTCTCAGTTTACTTCAGATATGCAACACATTTCTGAACCAAATAATGTAGTTGCAGACGATTTGTCTCGTATAACTTTCTTGAACAGTTTCGAAAGAATCGAGCATTTTAAACTCGTTCAGCTTCAAAAGAAGACACTGATCTTCAGCATGAGTGGTCTTCGTCAAACCTGAAGCTATGAATCAAGCAGATGGCAATAGGTAAGGAAAGCTCACTATGTAAAACATATACAGGTAGGAAGAGTTAGTGTAGACAATGATGAAACTTTCACACATTATCTTATAAAGTATGAAGTCACATTATGGCAAATCTACAGGTTTAGGATTTGGTCTATTATTAGAGCTCTACGAATAACTAAGTAGACCATAATTCTACAGGACCTTTCTTGGGATCAAATGGATACTCTTGCCTTCTAACATATATGTATCGTTTCACACGATGGCCAGAAGCAGTACTCATCAAGGACGTTACTGCTGAGTTAATGGCTCACAACTTTTTCGAAGGATGAGTAGCGATCCTTGGCTTCCCCTCAATTACCACTACAGACTGTGGACGCTAGTTCTAATCTGAACTTTTTCGTTGTCTTATTACACTATAGAACGACCTTCTATCATCCACAAGCAAAGAGGTTGGTTGACAATGTCATAGACAGCTTAAAGCTTCACTCTCAGCTTAAATTTTCCACTCATGTCTTTTGGTATTTCACAATGCTGTGTAAGCTGACATTGGATGTAGTGCAGGACAACTCGTTCGCTGAACGACATTCTAACTTCCAGGAGGATTCGTAAGTCCTTCATGTTCTTCAGTGAATACGGGTCTAAAAGCAGGCTTATAAACGCCATGTGTTCGATTAAACCTGTTTCCACATGACCTCAATCAACTGATGCTTTCGTTCAACCTGCCTAATGATATAGTTCACACGTTTCTATACGTTGCTATTCATTACGACAACCTCTCGACATAGCATTCTAAGAACTCTTCAAAGTCTTCGATAAGAAACTCATGATAGCACCAGCATTAATTGTCTTAAAGCCGGATTTTTAGGGAACTCTTATAATGTTGATTTTCTCCCGGTACACTCAGATGACACGAGCCTCACAATTACGACACACAACTCGATAAATTACAATCACAAAGAAACTTCGACCTAAAACAACGCATTCCGGGACACTTGAACGATTACTGCACATAAGACACTACATAGCATTTTATCTCATCTCGATTTTTTGTGTTATTGTGTAAAAGGATGAAAGCAAACCATTTTGGCATGCATATACATATTTACATTTTTTGTTAAAAAACAAAAAATTATTGTTGTTAATACGCTTGTGTGCATATATTTTTCCCCAAGAAAAGTTCATTGTACGTAAATCGTTTATATGCTGTTGCATGTTTACGAAACGTATGAATGTGTTTTTTCCGTTTTTCGCCCATTGGTGTCCTTACAGGTGTACGAGTGTATTTCGACATGCACTTACATATCCTTTTTTCTTTTTTCAGGAATGCTGGTGATGATTAGAATTCGATGAAGTTTGCAAAGGATCGAAATTTTCATTGTACTTGCATGTTCATTACTATATTGCACTACATGACCCTTTTTTGTAAAAATGGTTCAAATGGTTGTGGACAGAATAGAAGAAGCTTTCGCTTAACAGGCTTACGTGTCTAGTAGCAGGGGATCACCAATACCTCCAGACAAGAACCTAGGTATATTAACGATAAAAGAGAAAAAAAGACATTGGTAAATCATAGTAACATACTATCCTTAGTCCTTAGAAATAGATCAAGTTGCCTCTTAAAGGACTCCTGGGAAGCTGCTTGGACTAGCTCAGCCGGCAACGAATTCCAGCATTTGACAACTATTAAGGAGTAGAGGTTGTGCCTGCAAACCGTTCTGCTATGTCGTATCTCCAATTTCTGGGTGTTTCCCCTAAGGTTAGTATTGGGACTAAAATTAAGTAGATGTTTAAGAGGATGTCCAGAGGTGTTAGGGATACTGTAATCCATCAGAACGTCACATCTAATGGGTAAAGGTCAAGTGATTGGAGGCGCTCTTCGTAAGGTTTGAATTTGAGTCCCCGAACTGATTTCGTGGCTCGCCGTTGGATACGCTCCAGATTGTCTTTATCCTTTTGGATTGTAGGAGGAAATACTATGTTTCCGTACTCTAAATGGGGACGAATAAAACTGTTGAAGATTGTGTGGAAAGTTCTCCCGTCAAACTGACCGAAAATGCGCTTCAATGTTACCAGTGCAAGGTTTGCTGGAAAGGCATTTCTGTCAAAGTTGGCGTAAGACTTTAAGTCGTAGGGCACCAGAACTAATAAATCTTTTTCGACTCGGGATACTACTAGAGAGGGGTTTCCTAAATTGTAACTGTAATCTGCGACATGTTGCAGATGGACTACTTTACACTTTGAAGTGTTAAAAGTAAGTCCGTTGCCGTCTGCCAAACTTTGAAGTCGAGTCAGATCCTCCTGAAGTGCCTGTATGTGTTCTTGGTTGCGTATCTCTCTCCAAAGTTTCATGTCATCGGCAAAGAGCAGTATGTCTGACGTTACCTGTTGAGAAAGAGCATTTGTATAAATCAGGAAGAGAAGAGGTCCTGGTACGGAGCCCTGGGGGACCCCACTAGGACATTCCATGGCCTGTGAGAAATTGAAGTGTACCCTGACGTTAAAATGTCGATTTGTCAGATATGAACTGAGCCAATCAATTAGAGGCGGTTTGATACCCAATTGTCCGAGCTTATTAATAAGACATATGTGGTTAACCCTATCAAAAGCTTTAGAGAAATCAAGGTAAATGATATCCACTTTCCCTTGCAATCAAGGATGCTTGTCCATCTGTCCACCGCAGTCAGCAGTTTGGTCATACAGGAGTAACCCTCCCTAAAACTATGCTTCTGGGGTGAGAATAAATTTAAGGACAGCAGATAGTTGTGTATACCATCGTATATCAAGGACTCCACGATTTTTGAAAGTATAGAGAGAAGGGCCACTAGTCCGTAACTAGAAGGCTTGCCGCGTAGAACTCCTTTGAAAATTGGTGTGTTATGAGCCAGCTTCCAAATATCCGGTAGTTTGTCTCGGCTTAGAGAGTGTGAGTACATCAGGCTAAGCGGTGTTGCCAGGATTGAAGGTGCTTCCCTCAATATAACGGGTTGTACCATATCTGAAGAAGTGTCTGTTCTTAGATGTTGCAGTTTTCGGAACACCAATTCAGCGCTCAGGTTCATTACGGAAAATCCTGTGCAGTTGCAGATGAAGCTGTTATCAGTGAAGTTGATGTGAGTCGGTTGAAATGTCCAGTGTTGCTCAGCCAGAAGATCAGCGGCGTCGCCGCCGTCATCGGTCGGGCCGTTGGGACCCAACAGTTGGAATATTCCAGTTTTGGCTTTACGAAGAGAGTGTGCGTAACCGAGTAAGCTTTTCGGGTTGGAAATAAATTTATCCATAAGCTTTAACTGGTACTGAAGCCCCTGTTCTCTTATAGCCTTCGTGCATATGTCCCTTATATGGTTGTATTGCCCGTACGTGCTGTTGTTGTCAGTTCGTTTGTATTCTGCTCAACAGTGCCTTTTGCGGCTTAACAAACGAAGAGTGCGGTTCGTGACGATTGTAGGTTGTTTGTGGCTTTTGAGGACCGTTTGAGGAACTGACTGCTTTGTAGCACATAAGAGCTTGTGCAGTAAGAAGTCCCAATGAGCATCCACATCAAGTTGAGGGTGAACATCCCAATCCACCTGTTGTAGATAGTCCTGTAGAGCTGACGCATTCAAACGTTTGAAATTCCAGCGCCTGTTGTTAGTGGGATATCTTAGCTTTGTTTTGCGGACAAAACTGAAGGCTATAACGGCGTGATCGCTTTTCCCCAGGGGAGCCAGAATTGAGAGGTTGTCAACTAGAAATTCTTCGTTTGTAAAAACACAGTCTAAGCGTGACGGTGTCTGACTGTTCCTCCAATGAGTAGCCAACTTCACATTTTCGTATAATCCCGAATCCTCAATGAGGTTGAAGAACCGAGTTTCAGTTGAATTTTCACGTATGTTCCGCGAAGTTGACTCTAGGGAGATCGAAGTCCCCTAGAATCAAGAAATGGGTGAAACCGAGAGGCGTGGAGCGGGATAGTCCTTACAGCATACGACTGTCATACTCTATGTCAGCAGTGGGCTTCCTATATAAGACTCCGACTAGGCACCTCGAAGTAGTGGACAATCTCATAGAGCACCATACGGATTCCTCCAGATTATTAAACTTATGATTGTGAACTTGGGGTACCTCCAAGCCAGATCGTATGTCTAGGGCTAGTTCACCCCCAATTCCTGTTTTTCTGACGTTGCAAAACAGAGAAATTCCAGGTATTGTTAGCTCTTGGTCCGAAAACTGAGAAGATATCCAAGTTTCAGATGTTCCTATCAGATGAACCTTATTAACATTACTAAGTTCACGTAGCTCATCCATTTTGTTTGGTAGACTTGCAGCGTTCATGTATAAGCAGTTAGTGCTTCCAATTTGAAACGTCTGAGCTTCTTCCTGTTTATCTGTATGAGTCTTACGTGAGTGGACAGGTAGCCCACCTATATAGTGTTTGCCGAATCGGTATGCCCTGTTCTTTACACGTTTTTTTATCTTCAAGACAGTCCACATGTGGAATGGTCAGCTTCAGCTTGCCTTTGTGCTTGATCCTGGAGTCATATGGCCTGTCCAGGTGCATGTGGATCCCAGTTGGCAACCGACGTCTGTTAGCACGAAATGCTTCCAGAGCTGCAGCCGCCATATGGGAGGATGGAAAAGTTATTCACATTGACGAACAAAAGAAGATATTATAGGAGTGTTTGCCAACGACAATCTTGCAAGCTTTGAACTTCTGACCGCTCATGCTTTTGGTTCACTAGAAAGTGAACTGTAGCGATGAATCCTCTAAAACAATAGTTCTGTAGTTTCGGGACGCAGAGTGTGCACGAATCAAACGGTTGCGCTACATCATGGCGAGAACTTATGACCAGGAGCTGGCGTTTCTGGAGAAGATCACCCCAACTTGTTGGAAAATCAAGAAAGGTTTTGTCCCAAACATGAATGCAAGTCTTCTGCATCATACGACTAAGTTGTCTTGAGCATAGGTTGAAGGTGTTTTCTACGTAAATAACTTTCTCGAAAAACTTATGTTTGACGAACTACGAAATTTTACACGCAGTGGAGATTATGGTGGGTTTCTACCAGGAATGAAGCAAATAGGGAACGTTGCAGCGTTACCTGGAATTGTTCATGTAAGTCATGTGGCTTCGCATACTTGAGCATACGCTTTCATTAATATTAAACTCAGTAATATTTGGGAGCCTCTCACGTTTGTTTCCTGTTTTTTCTTCATTGTGAGTTTTCATATAGCTCTTAAATCACTTCCCACAAAATCTCGAGCACTCCTAAGACGTATTTATTTTTTACCTAAATGGTTATATTTACCAACGGTGTTAGAGCATATTCGAATTTAACATTCAGTCTTCAGTAATAAGGATAGGAGGTCTATTGACCTGTATTAATCCTTGCAGTTTGTAATACTCTGGAGGTCCGGTCTCGTCTTGAATATATCAACAGAAGGTGCTGATATTACGTGTTCCGGTAGGGAATTCCAATAATTCACTACTCGAAGAGAGAAACGAAGCTCCAGACGTAAACGATTTGATTTCGGTTTTTGAATTTTTTTTTTGTCCTCTCAAACGATCAGTCTTGTTCAAAATCGCGCGGATAACATGGCTCATAGGTATCGATAACATAACATAGTTTCAGGATCGGAATTTCTTTTTTGATTCAAACTTTTAAATTTATCCTGACATCGAAAGCACAATGAACTTGCAATTTCGGTGGTCAGTTTATTTGGCAAATTACCACCCATATTTCCTTGCTTAGTGCAAAATGTGTATATCTTTACCAATATTTAGTTATTTTCTAGTATTTGTAGGTAAGTGCAAAGTACAAGATATTCCTCTGGACTCGTAGCCTCATATAATTTTACAGCGAGCTTTTAATTATATTTTATTGCACAACAAGGGTAAGTGTTTACCATTTGTTCATTACAGCACTCAATTTGTGAGTGAACACCTCTAGTCAAAGCAAATTAGCTCTTATGCGTGCATTGGAACGCAATATCACTTAAGAATGTGGTAATTATGTCCACCTGGTTCTCTTGTTTCTGCTTCCTTACTCCAGTAAGAGACAAGTCAACTGCTTTGTTTTTTGAATACTACTAATCAAGTTACATTTTCTGCCGTATATGGGTTATTAGTAGGCAAATTATCCGCCTAAGACTTATCTGGAAAAACTTTCCGATTCTATCTACCAACTACTACTTCATCGTCAGTAGCGATTCCTAGCGTCTAGTCTTTCAGAATTATGGAAGTATATCGTCATATCACTTTGATCCCAGCCTCCCTTACCCTTTCGGATCCGTTAATAATATAATAACTTTCTCTGTCTAGCGATCTAGCTAACCATCCTAGTAGATTGTTAATGATGAATCCTCCGAAATAGTTTTAATGCTCATATTTCTCTGGCAATCTCTAACAAATGTCACTTTATTTCATTTTAACGACAGTAGCTTTAGAGTGTCAACCAACTGTAGCAATTTTCACAAAACCAATCACGAATCGTTTTTCTCGTATTCATCTTCATTAATCCCTTTTTTGCGTGCTAAAAAGCATCGTATTACTTAAGCACTTTACTGCTTACTCCTAATTGAGCAAAGGCCGCCGACCAGCATTCTTCAATCCACTCTGTCCTGGGCCTTCTTTTCTAGTTACATCCAATTCTTGTTCATTTTTCTCATATCTATCTCCATTTCCCGGCGTAATGTTTTCTTTGGTCTTCTCCTCCTTCGACCTTGAGGATTCCATATGAGGGCTTGTCTTGTGACGCAGTTCGGTGCTTTCTTCAATATGTGTCCTATCCATTTCCAGCGATTTTTTCTGATTTCTTCCTCCACTGGGATCTTATTTGTTCTCTCCCACAGTAGGTTGTTGCTAATAGTGTCCGGCCAACGGATCCGAAGTATCTTACGTAGACAACTGTTAATAAACACCTGTATTTTTTGGACGATGGATTTCGTAGTTTTCCAGGTTTCCGCCCCATACAGTAGAACTGTCTTGACATTTGTATTGAAAATTCTGATTTTGGTGTTGGTTGCCAATTGTTTTGAGTTCCAGATATTCTTCAGTTGTAAATATGCTGCTCTTGCTTTGCCAATCCGTGCCTTCACATCTGCATCAGATCCACCGTGTTCATCGATGATGCTGTCCAAATATGCCTGACACTGGTCTTTACTTCGAACGACTTTGTCAACTGTCAACCATGCACGATTTCGCAGTTCAATCCATCACAGGAATTCTGTATGATATTGACTATCTCAAACACGTTGTAGTGTCGAAGAAGCCTCCATAGTGTTGTCCTGTCCACGCCATCAAATGCATTCTCGTAGTCAATGAAGTTGATGTAGAGTGATGAATTCCATTCAATTGATTGTTCCACAGTGATCCGTAGAGTTGCAATTTGGTCTGTACACAATCTATCTTTACGGAATCCTGCCTGTTGGTCTCGAAGTTGGGCGTCTACGGAGTCCTTCATCCTGTTTAACAATACCCTATTGAAGACTTTTCCTGGTATTGAGAGAAGAGTGATTCCCCTGTAGTTATCACAGTTGCTGAGATCGCCTTTCTTTGGTATTTTGACCAGAAGTCCTTGCCAGTCTTTTGGTACTTGTTCCTCATCCCCAATCTTTCTGAAGAGAATGTGAAGTATCCTTGCAGTTACCGCTACGTCTGCTTTCAGTGCCTCTGCTGGAATGTTGTCTGGTCCTGCTACTTTGCCACTCTTGATTTGTCTGATGGCCATGCTGATTTCTTCAATTGTTGGTGGGCCAACATCGATTGGGAGGTTCGTGGGTGCTGCTTCGATGTTGGGTGGCTTCAGTGGAGTTGGTCTATTCAAGAGTTCTTTGAAGTGTCCTACCCACCTGTTTCGTTGTTCTTCAATGTTGGTGATTACCTTGCCTTCCTTACGTTTCACTGGTCGTTCTGGTTTACGGTGATTTCCAGAGAGTTTTTCTGTTGTGTCATACAATTGTCTCATGTTTCCTGCCCTGGTAGTGTTTTCCGCCGTCATTGCCAAATCTTCCACATATTTACGTTTGTCGGTTCTGATGCTACTCTTCACTTGCTTGTTTACTTCTGTGTATTCGGCTTGTGCCTTCTTGTTCCTCCTTTCTTGAATCTTGTCCAGTGTATCAACCGTGATCCATTCCTTGTGATGGTGCTTCCTGCGGTCCAGAACCTCATGACATATTGAAGTGTTTGCCTCTTTTATCCCTTTTTAGTTACTCATCATAGTAGTTTCTTCTCCATTGAGTAGATCATGAAAGGCTTGGAACTTATTGCTGAGGGCTATCTTGAATTTGTTGAGTTTGTCAGTATCCCGAAGAAAAGCCTCATTAAACTTTTGTGATATTGTCCGCCCCGTTGTCCAGTGCTTCTTGAGTTTCAATTTCATCTTGGCGACCAGCAAGTGGTGATCTGATGCTATATCAGCTCCTCTCTTGGTTCTCGCATCCTCCATCGTCCTCCTGAACTTTTTGTTGATGCAGATATGGTCGATTTGGTTTTGCGTAGTGTGATCCGGTGAAGTCCATGTCGTTTTGTGAATGCGTTTATGTGGGAATATAGTGCCGCCTATGACCAGTTTATTGAAGACACATAGGTTTGCAAATCTCTCACCATTTTCGTTCCTTTCTCCGAGTCCGTGTCGTCCCATGATGTCTTCATATCCGGTGTTGTCCATTCCAACCTTGGCATTTAAATCTCCCATCAGAATGGTCAGGTCCTTTGTCGGGCATTTCTCGACGATTGACTGCAGCCTATCGTAGAATTGATTTTTACGTCTTCATTGTAGTCGTTGGTAGGCGCGTAGCATTGGATGACGTTCATTGTAATGTCCTCTTTCTTTGTTTTGAAGGAGGCTTTGATGATGATCATCCATCTGAGCTACAAATCTCCACCATCTCAGGCTTTGATGATCCTTGGTCCATGAGATCCGCATTCTATAAGTGCATTTTGTGCTTGTTTGGACAGCATCAATGCAACTCCTTGTGTATGTGGGGCATTTTCTTCATCATGACCGGAGTATAACAACAGCTCCCCTGAAGCTAGTCGTTGTTGTCCAACTTGCGTCCAACGTGTTTCACTGATCCCAAGCACCTCTAGGCTGTATCTCCTCATTTCTGCAGCAATTTGGAAGACTCTACCAGTCTCCCACATTGTACGAGCATTCCATGTACCTAAATAAATGGTTGCTGTGGTTGTCAGAAGGGGCATCGGCCTCGTGACTTCCGAAGGAACTCGGCTTTCATCATGAGGCGTCATAATTCTTCTAAACGAAGACCTCCTGACTCCCAGGGCAGAGTTTAAAAGGTTTGAATAATTTTTTCTGGTTAGCTTTTTTTTAGCGAGTTAGTTTTCTACGGGATGGGGTCGCTAACACCATGCCCAACCCTCCTCCTTTATCTGGACTTGGGACCGGCAGTAGCCCCCGGAGGGACTCCAGGCGAAGTTACTTAAGCGTTTTAGGAATAATGAATTTAACTAAATATAACCGAAAAGCAACTTCCAACTAGTCAATCCTAAAAGTAAGTTTACTAATATGCTTCGGTGATTTACAACACAACGAAAAAAGTATGGAATATTAGACTTTTACCTATTCTATCGTTTTCTCTTAGCGTTCAGTCGGCTTACCTGATGTACATTCTGGATATGGTTTTGCCATCGGTAAGTTACAAACTATTAGATTATATGTACTAGTTTTGATATTAACTTTCATAAGGAACGGGATGAGTAAAGTCACAGCTTCTCGAAACGTCCCGCTTAGACGCACTGGATTTCTGCGGGCTTCTTGCAACTCATTAAAGCACGCCGATCTACTCCGGGTGACCGCGGGTTTGAATATAAACAAAAATTGTTACTTAATGAAGTTATGCAAAGCTTGCGTAAAGACCGAGAAGCTTGGTTGTCGGAGCGTGCTAACGAGTTGGGAGCAACAGCTGCATATGGTAACTGCCGAAGCTTTTTCAACTCATCCGAGTCACTGGCAGCAAGAAGTCTAGTGTGAATGAGACAGAATACCGATCGATAAATTTACCGTTGCCTTGAACAATGGGCAGAGTTTTTTGAGGGGCAGTTTAACTGGTTTTCTGCCTCAGATACCTCGATCAGTCTGTCTTTCCCTCCATAGCCTGTGGCGACTGATCCACCTAGGGAGGAGGAAGTCTGCAAGGAACTCCAACTCTCGAAGTGCCATAAATCAGCGAGTCCAGGTGACTTACCTCCGGTCCTTTTTAAATATGGTGGGAACTTTCTGGTTATGAAACTGACTGAGTTATCTACAAAGGTCTGGCAATTGAAGAGTGTCCAAACATCGTGAAGTGAGTCGATAGTTGTTCCTATCTTAAAAAACGGTTCACGTCATCGATCCGACAACTTTCGGAGGATACGTCTACTTCCGATTGCGTCCAAACTGTTGGCTTTCTTCATACTTCGTAGATTGTTCAAAACCCCAGGAAGATTGACTCGCGGGGAGCAGGTTGATTTCCATTCTGGTCGAGGATGTATTGACCATATCTCCACGCTCCGCCAAATGTTAGAACACCGTCATACTCATCACAGGCCAACAATCGTAGTGTTTCTTGACATCAGGGCTGCCTTCGATTCGTTGGACAGAACTGTTCTCTGGGATTATCTTTTGAAGAAGGGTATGTATGGAAAGTTTATTAACATCCTAAAAGCCCTATATACAAACACTTCAGGTTGAGTAAGGGCATATAACCACCTCTCTTCATTGTTTCATTCAAGCTGTGGGGTCAGACAGGGTTGCCTAATCTCACCATTCCTTTTCAACTTTGCTATCGACGACGTTCTGAAAACAACTGTGATGGATGTAGGTAACGGTGGTGTGCAGCTGTTGCCCGAAGAAGTTTCGACCTTGAGTATGCGGTTGATATAGCCCTACTATGCGATAATACCCAACCCATGCAATTTTCGCTTGATCAGTGCCCCCAAATGCCCTGGTACGGCCGAGAGTGAGGAGAGACCGCTCTCCCTCTCGAAATGCTCTCACATGGCCATGCGTACATAGCCTCTGCCAGGGAAGTCCTACTCACTGCCTTCTCGGGGCGGGGGTGTTGTTTACAAAAATGAGAGGACGAAAAGCGAATGTCCGGCGCTTTAACCGGACCCCAAACCAATGGTGCACATGGGCTCCAGTATCCTACGGGAACAAATGGCGTATGAACCAATCGTTGGTCACCGGCTACCATGGGACTGCATCTCCTCACGATGCTCCACTGCCTTGTGGGTCAGACGTTCAGGTCAAAGGCTCGGGGTGTGGCCCCTTAAGAAAACCACCTGCTTCGGTCTGGGCACCCGGGCAGTATCACAGCCCTCACACAAATCAATTGAGATTTGTGTGGCGTATATGTATTTGGTGCCTCCCTGTACCTATACTTATGTGTTAAAATAATAATAATAAATCGCTTGATCAGTTCACAATCAGTGTCCGTAGATATGGCATGTGCCTTGCACTTTCGAAGTGCAAAGTACTTTCACAGGACCTGCAGTACCCTAGACATGCACTCATTCTTGGCAGTGAGCAAGTAGAAGTAGTTGGGAAGTTCGTATATCTGAGCTGCTGCGTAAGTGCTACTGGTGGTGTGAGTAATGAAATCGACTTACGTATAAAGAAAACAAAAGCGGCTTATGCCAATCTAGGCCATCTTAGGCTCCTTCAAGATGTTAATCTGGCTGTAAAAGGTCGGACCTACAACTCGTTGATGAGAGCAGTTTTGCTCGGTGGTTGTAAAACCTGGCTTCTCCGAGTTGAGGATGTTTGAAAACTCGGTGTTCGGTCATTGCTGTCTACGAAGGATTGCTGACGTTCGGTTGCAACACATTGTACAGGTTCAGCATCATGTGTTCGGGTACAGCTACGATAATTCAATTGATTTCACCATCTTGAAACACCGACTCAAGTGGTTGGCACATGTCTTACGAATGTCGTCTCAGCGGGTTCTACATCGTGCATTATTTGCCAACTCTGGAACCGGTTGGAATAAGCGTAAAGGTGATCGGTGCATGACATTATTATTATTACTGTTATTGTTATTATTTCACTCATACACTAGTCTTTATTGATTGTTTTTTTCTTACAATCACTTTCGCTTTTCTATCTCCTCACAACCTAATTTTCGTGTGACGCATTTATATTTTCGTGCTCTTTTATACCAATGTTTGTGTTCAAATAAATAAAGTAATAGAATTTCATTTAAGTAGCTAGAAATACAGACAACTAAGCAGATAGCGATGCGAATTACACAGTCAGTACTATCCACAGAATTAGTACAATCGATCACATTTCTATAAAATGTTACCTATATTTAAGAGTTCAGTATTATTTTAATATCCACTAAAGTAATCAACAGAACCAGAAAAGGTTCAACTGTCGCGTGGTCATCTAGTTCAAATACAGTTCAGCCTTGAATTGACTGGCTTACCTTGTGAATTCGGCACAAGTCTGTGTTCCCTTCGGACTCACTTGTGATTTCACTAATAATCAGAAAAAATTGGGGTCTATTTGACTGTTCAAATGCTCACTTCCCTAACCTCATAAAAAGCAATTATTATGACTTTATATCATTTTCATTATGTATCCCATAAATTGCTTTTTTCTGGGGAAGTGTTCTTATTCTAACAGTCTTTTGAGGACTCAGTTTCTGATATTGAGCTAAAACAACTAACAAATCTAGCTGAAAATTTGGCTCAGTTGTTTGAATTATTGATCATAAACTTTCTCGCACTTCGATAACTACTTGTGTTAAACCGTTGGGAATCAAGCAGACATAGTTTACGGGGTAACACAACTGTGTATGTTCGTACTAAATCGTATGTGTATTCATAGTTGTTGACGTCGTATGATTGTTTTTCAGGCAGAATGTAAATATATTTTCGCACCCGAAAAATTATTTATATCTTAAAGCAACGCTCTGTAAATGTTTTTTTCGAGACAACGTTGATCTGTATAATAAAAGGTGATTCGTATCATGTTAACTTGTCAAACTGACCCCAATGTTTAATGAGATATTAGTATTTGGGAACTCAATTGACTATTCAACAAGAGTCACTAATATTAGTTTTCGTAACTCATTTTGTGTTAATGGTCCCCGAATGACAGAATACCATTTTGTCTTTTTGGACTATAATCCCTTTTTAGTTAAATAGTAATGTTGCATTTAGATATATTTATGTGGAATCAATTGGAAATCTTCCAATTTTTAAAGGTAATATGGCTGCATTTGACCTGACCAATCCAAAATCAGTAGTCTCACCTGGTGGTGTTGGATTCGATATCAATTGCGGAGTCCGACTTATACGTACAAATCTGAATTTAAAAGATGTTCTTCCAGTAAAAGAAAAGCTAACTCAGACTTTGTTTGATCATATTCCTGTTGGTGTTGGTTCCAAAGGTATCATACCGATGGATGCTCAAGCTCTGGAAGAAGCTTTAGAAATGGGTATGGATTGGTCTCTGAGACAAGGTAAATTACATTCTATTTCAACTTAAAAGTCTTTGGTAGTTTCTAGTTTTTGAATTAATAACTATTTAGTACAGACAGTTCGACAAGTGATATTTTAGGAGTTGCTTTGGTGAAGGTCTGTAGTTTTTATAAATGAGAGACTATTTTAAATGTTCAACTGCTCTTTAATCTGAAAAGATCAAACTAGTTTTTTATCTGTTAACTGATCATCATTCCCCTTAATTCCTTTCACACGAGATATGTTAGTATATATTTATATCTGTGACTTTTATGCTAGGAGTATGACATAAAGTTATCATGCCAGTTCTCCTGTAAATTATGGTATCTAATTAAACCGCACATACAAATATATGGGATAACATTTCATCCGAATGGTTTATTTAATCGAAGCGGCCTATAGGAACGAAAGTCCTGAGTTGGTAGAAAGCTGTTTTAAAGATAAGGTATGCCTTTTAAATACATCTAGTATTTCAGTTTCAACGGTTGCACATTGTTCTTTTGATTTCCTTCTCTGTTAGTATGAATAACTGTTGACCATAAATATTAAATAACAGACGGGATCATTCCCCCAGGAAACGTCATTTCTATTTCTGTTGCTATTCTTATCTTGTTTTTGGTATTCTTCACGCTAAAATTAACTACAAAAATCTCTGATATTTATAAAACTTAATACAGGAACGGTGGTTTATAAAAGCATACAAAGCTGCTCTTCTCTGATAGTAAATTATTCCAAACCTTTTATGTAACTGGCAAAAACATTTTTGCCTTTAGTAATCCAACTGGAAGCATACTCTTGCCTCAATTCACGTAGTAGAAGTAACTAGTTATTGCAAATAAAAGGTGAATTTCGTCTCAGTTTCTAACTAGATAGGGATGAGATACCTCAACACAAACACTTCGTAGCTCACTCCTGTGGCTTAATGATGAATACCTAAATACTTATACTTAATAAATATTGCAATATGTTAACCAGTTTTAAGATAGATAATGGAAGTACATGTCACAACTACCTTAGTTTATGAGGCCTTATAACCTTACCATTGAATTTGCCATCTTTCATCTCGTGTTGAATTGTAATAATTTCTGTTTGATTTTTCAGTAATATGGTTTTTGCATCTAGAATTCTGTTACGTTTGTATTATAAACATTCGTGCTCTTTATAAGCAAAGATGGATAGTGGCTAGCAGTGGAATCCAGGACGCACGTTTCGTCCTTTTCGGGACTCGTCAGCTGGATGCACCTGCATCTTAGAGTCTATGTTCACTCTGGGACTCGAACCCACTACCGTCCGCTTCAAACGCCATCGCGTTAGCCACTTAGCTACTGAGTCCTGATAGCCACTTGCTTGTGCAATGGGGTGAAGTTTAATTCGCTTGATATTGTTTTACTTGAATGTTCCCATTGATGTTTAGGACTGAAATTGATCAGTCTCTCATATTGGCATATGTGCATACTGTGCGTATTGCTTCGATATTGCCTTAACTTACAAACATTATAAGCAAAGATGGATAGTGCAGGCAATGGAATCCAGGACGCACGTTTCGTCCTATTCGGGACTCGTCAGCTGGATGCACCTGCATCTCAAAGTCTATGGTCACTCTGGGACTCGAACCCACTACCGTCCGCTTCAAACGCCATCGCGTTAGCCACTTAGCTACTGAGTCCTGATAGCCACTTGCTTGTGCAATGGGGTGAAGTTTAATTCACTTGATATTGTTTTACTTGAATGTTCCCATTGATGTTTAGGACTGAAATTGATCAGTCTCTCATATTGGCATATGTGCATACTGTGCGTATTGCCTCGATATCGCCTTAATTTACAAGCATTATAAGCAAAGATGGATAGTGGCTAGCAGTGGCATCCAGGACGCGCGTTTCGTCCTATTTAAATTAAGTCAATATCAAGGTAATACGCACAGTATGCACATATGCCAATATGAGAGACTGATCAATTTCAGTCCTAAACATCAATGGGAACATTCAAGTAAAACAATATCAAGTGAATTAGTGTTCTTTATTTAATAATTATATCTTGTTTGTGATTAGAAATCACTCTAGCAAATCTCTTTTTATGAACTACTTTTTTGTCTTAATCATTATTTTATTATGTGACAGGTTATCCGTTCGTGATTTCGCAATGCATCCTGCAATTTTTGTTCATTTTATAAGTCCACAAAATGCAGAAAATAATTTTCCAAATAATGATTTCACAACTTCAAGTTAAGGCATTTCATAATTCACTTTTTTTAACCTGTAAAGTGAACAAACAGTGTTGAATGAGTTACGAGAAAACGACCCGATAACTTCTCATGTTACTATTCACTTTTCAAAAATTTTGTACATTAGGGTATGTCTGGGCGGAAGATAAGGAGCATTGTGAAGAGTATGGTCGTATGCTTCAGGCTGATCCGTCTAAAGTTTCTTCACGAGCAAAAAAACGTGGTCTTCCGCAACTTGGCACTCTTGGAGCTGGTAATCATTACGCTGAGATACAAGTTGTGGAAGAAATTTTTGACAAACATGCAGCAACTAAAATGGGCATCAATCATTTAAATCAGATAGTACTAATGATTCATTGTGGGAGTCGAGGAATGGGTCATCAAGTAGGTTCATATATTATTATATTTTTGAACAGTGAATTAATAGTAATCGGTTAAAATGCATTTTCGATCACACTGTGTTGTTAACGTTTTCTGATAAATTTGCTACTTGACAACTAAAATGACACTTCTGGTTCCTATTTTCTTACCTCCACTTTTGTAAATCTACAAGCAGAAAGTTTGCTAGCCATTCAAAACGAAACTTTATTACAAGACGTCTTGTTTTACATAGACAATACTCTCTGTATTTCTATGTTGACCAATAATAATTTTTACTAAAGTTGTTCATTGAGATCAATGTTAGACCACCACTGAAAACCTGGGAGCACTGAACGGCTGTTTCGTTCTTGTATGGGACTTCTCAGCAGTGCTCATCCACGATCTCGCACTCGGGATCTAAACCCAGGACCGTCGGTCTCACGCGCGAATGCTTAACCTCTAGACCACTGAGCCGGCATCCAACGGTATTAATGTCTAACTTCAACCGATTCGCGAAATTGCGCGACCACCTTCCATTGTCTGAAGTAGATGAAGGTTTTTGCACTAACAGAAAAAAAAACTAAGGGAATTATGTGGAGACGGTATAATGATTGCTTTCCCGGATATATGTTGCAAAAATATATAATAGTTAATTGACGACCCAGTATCTTCCGTGGTTTACGTCAAAAACTTGTTTATCGCAATGGGATAATTGATTTACACAAATTTATTAGATTATTTTTGGTTGCGGATGATAGTGTTCCATACTTCCAGATATTGAAGTAGTACTTAAGTACTCATATGCTAGACGTGAAATTCACATGTTTCTTCTTAACTTTTAAAACATCCCTGATTCACTTAATTTTCTAGTTTTTGAAGCTGCATAAGATGAATATTTACAGATTTACGTTGTCATTTGTAAATTATGCTTTTTCAAACATTAAAAAAATGAAGCGTATTTTTCTCGTTTATTTAGTGGGACCAGATTATTCATAAATTGTAATCCACATTTTCACTTCAATAATCATACTAAGATGTCCTTATTAGTTTTGTGGATACTTTAACTAGCCCATCAGATGAACTGTTCATATTCATTTGTTATAAAAAGTATAGAAAGTCTGGACCCTATCTTACTGTATTAACTGTTTCCTGTAATCTACACAGACCCTATCATCTCTATTATATGTACCTAAAGCTAAAATCTTTAAGATGAGGAAATTGAATAGGATTTTTATATTTTCCCTGTTGGGGTATGTACAATCTGTTGATAATTAAAAATATTTCATGTGCCATATATTAAGACGGTAACTTTGAAAGTAAGCCGTTGTTCCTCAGAGCAACTAGAAGTCTAGGTTAAGTTTATACGAATAAAAAAACTCATCAAGTTGTTATTTATTTAAAATTTCAGTTAAAGTACACATATGCCTTTCACTTATTTCAGCTTTTAGTAAAGACTAGCTGAATATTTAATTGAGCTAAAATAATCATATTCTTAATAATCTAGTTTTAAAGGCAACGTCCGGAAGTTTCCGGGTTCTCACTTGGAACGACTTGTAAAAAGTTGCTTCCATCTTCAACCACCCACTGTAATGAAAAAATGTGATCGTATAATATATGCAGATAGTTTGAAATTTCATTGTCAATGTTATTCAAACAGCTACTGAAAAATAGAATATCTAACAACATCTACCTCCAGTTTCAGAGACGCTTTTTTCAATAGGTACCTTTAACTATTTAACTTATGATTCATAGTCTCATGAAAAGGCGATTCCAGTCGTTGGTGCGCATCCTGTGTTGTCCAAATAGAAAAATTCAGTATTCAGTTTGTGAGATATATAGGTTTGTGAAAAATGGCATTAATTATGTGATTTTCACCATAATTTGTATATCATGATTTAGTGACATGTTTTATATCCTTACTTTTACTGAGATTGTTACCTAGATTACCTTGTGTATTGTTTTAACTTAGGTTGCAACGGATGCTTTGGTCGCCATGGAAAAAGCGATGAAACGTGATAAAATCGAAGTAAATGATCGGCAGTTGGCATGTGCACACATTAATTCTGAAGAAGGTCAAGATTATTTGAAAGCAATGGCAGCGGCTGCCAACTACGCCTGGGTTAATCGATCTTCTATGACATTTCTTGCAAGACAAGTAATTTTAGAATATTTACGTTTTTCTGAGCATTAAGACCATGATTATCTTATGCTAAATTTTGTTGTCGAGTATTTGTATAGTTCTTGTGGGGCTTCACAGCGTTAACAATTTGGATACCTATTAACAATGCAAAATAAAAACAAGGAAATAACAGCTCATTAATGTCAAAAAAAATAACAAACAGTAAAGTATTCTCTAAATTTATTAGCCATGGACAGTTTGTTACCTGTTTTAGGAATCGTTCTGTGATGGTGAGCATAATGTATTTCCTTGTTGAGTTTGGCAAAAATTTAAGAAAACTGACACTGTTTCATTGCTTAATATTTCTCTTGCTTAAGTACTATTTAGTGAGAAGTTTGGTTTGGTACACAACATTTATATACATTAAATACTGTGTATGTAAACTTCCTAAATGTTAATAAATAGATGGTCGTTTTACATCATTTCGAAACATCAATTTATGTAGGTTGGTTGATGTGTTTCATTCATGTCAATTCAGTGGTTATATAATAACATTTGCTTGATCCTTTTACAACTGGCTAAAAGCACCAGGAAGGAGCTCAGTTTATGATCGAGCACCGTGGGATGAAAGGCAGTTGTTTTCCCACATTTTAATTTTCTCGAAAGTCTCATAGAGATTAAGTTACCACTGAATGGTTCTAGACACTACAAGATTTAAATTCGGACTAAAGCCAATCGTAATTGCTGTTCGTTTTGTTTTTTGTCTAAAAAACGAAAATGTAATAGCTTTTTATTGGACATACTTGATTTGACTGTTTTCCTTTTAAATACGCTCCTACTCTTCTCTTTATGATAATGTCATGCCCCCAAATGCCCTGGTATGGCCGAGAGCGGGGAGGGTTCGCCTTCCCTCTCGAAATACTCTCACACGGCCACGCGTATACAGCCTCTGCCAGGGAAGTCCTACTCACTGCCTTCTCGTGGCGGGGGTGTTGTTTACGAAAATGAGAGGACGAAAAGCGAACGTCCGGCGCTATAACCGGATCCCAAACCAATGGTGCACATGGGCTCCAGTATCCTACGGGAACAAATGGCGTATGAACCAATCGTTGGTCACCGGCTACCATGGGACTGCATCTCCTCACGATGCTCCACTGCCTTGTGGGTCAGACGTTCAGGTCAAAGGCTCGGGGTGTGGCCCCTTAAGAAAACCACCTGCTTCGGTCTGGACACCCGAGCAGTATCACAGACCACACACAAATAAGATTTTGTTTGGCGCATATATATTCGGTGCTTTCTTGTACCAATATTTATGTGTTCAAATAAAATAAAATAAAACGTCATGGTAAGTTTGCGTTAATATAGAGGTTTAAATAATTTCCTGTGTCTTTGTATATAAGGATTTTATATTGCAAAAGAAATGTATATGGACCTCACATTATGAAAACTCAGTTAATCGAGTTAATCCAATGATTTAGTGCCAAAACTAAATTCTTTTTGGAGATTACTAAAAAAGAACAAAAAGCTATCGTTTCTCACTTAAACAAGTACTTCCATCGTTACTGACTTTTTATCAAAGCTCTAAAATGATCATTTGATTAACTGTCCTTTATCAGCACCGAATTATGTTTGTATGATTTCCTTGGTGCTAATATGCAAGCAACAAAATCTGATTATTTACCCGAAAATTTCGCACATAGTTCATTCAAAAATCCATTAGGTTTAAGGAGGCCTCTTCACAAACCTCAATTCATGTGTGCATAAAAGTGGAACCAGTTGAGCAACCTTTAAAACTCAACATATATATTCTAATACTACCTGATAATCCTACTTCATACATAGCGTATAAAGCACAAAGTATCTAGTATTTTACTAGACTTTCAAGAATACTTTTGTGCGCTGGTTGATTATCCTGTCCGGCCTCTCAAATCGAGGTAAATAAAGTTCCATTCAACCTATTAATGGGAAGTCGAGTACAGCAACCATTCACTTCAATCTATAATCGTTTTATCCTTACAAGCCATGTTTTTCAATGCATAATAAAATGTGATATGATGGAAAGAAAGTCAAGTCATAACAAAATGCTTTACAATTAGATAGCATTTCATTCGGTTATCGGTGTAAATTATCTCGACACGATTTACCTGTTTTCACCATACTAGTTTTATTTTTTTTATTTATTTTAACACATAGTATAGGTACAGGGAGGCACCAAATTCATATGCGCTACACGAATCTCAATTGATTTGTGTGAGGGCTGTGATACTGCCCGGGTGCCCAGACCGAAGCAGGTGGTTTTCTTAAGGGGCCACACCCCGAGCCTTTGACCTGAACGTCTGACCCACAAGGCAGTGGAGCATCGTGAGGAGATGCAGTCCCATGGTAGCCGGTGACCAACGATTGGTTCATACGCCATTTGTTCCCGTAGGATACTGGAGCCCATGTGCACCATTGGTTTGGGGTCCGGTTAAAGCGCCGGACATTCGCTTTTCGTCCTCTCATTTTTGTAAACAACACCCCCGCCCCGAGAAGGCAGTGAGTAGGACTTCCCTGACAGAGGCTATATACGCATGGCCATGTGAGAGCATTTCGAGAGGGAGAGCGGACCATACCACGTTAAAAGCACCATACTAGTGATACAGTATCATATCACATATTCACTTTATTCTGTTATATTGTGGTGCGCGCTACTTATATTGATATAATAAGTAGTATATAACGCGAGTTTTAAACGTAATGTCGGGCAGCAGAAGATGGGGAAAAATCAAGAGAGGAAGAGCGGCAACACAATGGAATTTGTATGAAAAATCACGAACAATGAAATGTCAGTCAATGGATTAGTATTTGCAACAGGAACAGTTCAGTTTAATATGCAGGATTGATATTTTGCAAATTAGCGATTTAATATATGGTTTTCCTATTTTACCAATTAACTCTGTAATTTAAGCTAAATACAATTTTGGTTGTCCTCACCAGTGTTCTATTCACTACAATATTATTAAGATGTCTTTATCTCACTTTTGAATTCGTCATTTTCATCAGTCTCACCTACTATAACATGTATTTATTTTTATTATAGGCCTTTGCGAAAATTTTCCATTCTACACCGGATGATTTAGATATGCAGATTATATATGATGTATCACATAATATCGCTAAGGTGGAAGAACATTGGGTAGATGGCAAAATAAAAACTTTACTAGTTCATCGTAAGGGATCTACTCGAGCATTTCCACCTCATCATCCCTTAATTCCTGTTGATTATCAGGTTAGCATTTGTTTATGTTGAAATCACGTGATTTAATGGCTGATAACTATAACTGTAGTTTTATTCCACGAACAGCAGTTAAGAACTAGAAGTTACTAGGCATCTGTTTTGCCTATAGGACTCTTCAGCTCTATGAATATGCGGCTCTATCGAGGACCTTTGATTCTTGTAGTAATAGCTTAATGCCGGGGCCACTGATTTGTCATCTATTTGTTCGCATTTCTAACTTCAGTTAGATTGCGATATTTGTCAACTTTACTCATAACCATATGTCTTACCTCACTACTGCTCACTCTGTTATTTGACAAGCAATACTTTTAAGACATTCGTGATCAAAAGATTGCAGCTTTCTTTTTTCATAGACCGTTTTTCACAACCATAGAGCAATACTGAGTGGACTACTTTACGGTATACTCTTCCCTTATTTTAGAGATGGATGTGTCGGCTACTAACTCAGTTGATGCAAGTTTGGAAAATCAATCTAACTTTCATAATTCCTGCCAAAGAATACTTCAATGGTAACGTCTGACTGTGCCGTTAGATTCGATAAAAGTATATCACTGAAAAAGTATTGCGACTACTGAGAGAAATATGTAATGTGATGATTTTCTTCACTGGCGATTAACTATAATTGATCGACATTAATAAACCCTAGAGTATTGAACAATTCAGCACTCATATTATTGAATTTCTGAAAAATTCCCATCATATTATTTAATTATTCAACAAAACAAAATTTCACGATTATTAAACTACATTCTAGTAGTTTAGGTACACAAGTATTAAGCTTTGACGTTGAAAATTTGAATTTAGTCCCGTTTATTTTAGCACGGGTCGTTACATAGTATCTTAAAATCTTACACTTTTATTGTTTGTTATACTCTAACGCATATCGGTACGTAGTGGTTAATACGTTGCGTTTATTTTTATATTTTCGAGTTTATCGAACAGTTCGTTACATATGAATGCTTTTTTATTTTGCCTTAAATTCAACCCATACTTAAAATTCTTAACTTCTGTCTTTGTTTCCCACCATTCGCAAGTTGGATGTTTGATTGATTCAGTGTCTTTTTTTCACAGCTTACTGGGCAGCCTGTACTTATTGGTGGTACTATGGGTACTTGTAGTTATGTTTTAACTGGTACTGAAAAAGCAATGACTGAAACTTTTGGTTCAACATGTCATGGTGCTGTAAGTAGTAATAATATTAATACTTAACGTTGTAATAATTTTTGCTTACAAATCAAAACAACTCGTAAAGCACTTACTTTATGCATAAAATCAATCAAAAATATCAAATTTTTTAAATGAAACCTATGTTTTTCACTGATTCTTAATGGTTTATGTATTTAGTTCGATTTTAAATAAACTTTAAAGACTCCGACTTAATCAGTGTATGACAAAGTCTCTGAATTTTTACAGAAATTAGGTATTGAATCAAAGCTGTACACCAAGGTCATCTGTGTTCAGTCGAAAATGACATATCTAAAAGCTGTATTTTCAATTGACAAAATAACAGAGTGCATACTTTAAAAATGTTCAAAGATAAAATAAATTCTGTGTTCAGTTCTGTACAAGTTAGTGTTAGTACAATGTACCGATTGTTTGTGAAGGTGGGGAATTAATGATTAAGACATCCTATTTCTTGACACTGAATTGAAGACCTAAACACTAACTTCAGTACGGAGCATCGCGTTGTATCACTAACCTTTACACCCAAAGGTGGTAGTTTAAAGCGGAATAAATGAGATTATATATATTGCTAAGTTCTTATTAGATTTTCGCTTACCAAAGAAATAACATTAAAATCTCAATAAGATTTATACTCTATCTCGTTCTGATTTCGTTTAGTAATATTAAGTCGAATATGGACACCTTTATTCATAGACCTATATAATTCGGTTGATAAGATAACCTAATCAAATTGCATATTTGCCTTCAAATTAATTTACTATACGTTTACCGCTATTGATTAGGTTTTTATATGAGACGGTTTGTAAAATAAAATTCTTTCATTCCATTTTTGAGAACTGTTATTCGTTACCTATAACACATAATTATAACAAATGAAATCAATTTTTAAACCAATATATTTGGTCAGTATACGTGCTTCCAGTCTAAAAATTCGACGTTTCAGTTAGTCTGTTAACTTCACACAAATATATACGACGTCCCAACCTGCCATAGCCCCCAAATGCCCTGGTATGGCCGAGAGTGAGGTGGGTTCGCCCTCCCTCTCGAAATACTCTCACACGGCCACGCGTATATAGCCTCTACCAGGGAAGTCCTACTCACTGCCTTCTCGGGGCGGGGGTGTTGTTTACAAAAATGAGAGGACGAAAAGCGAATGTCCGGCGCTACAACCGGATCCCAAACCAATGGTGCACATGGGCTCCAGTATCCTACGGGAACAAATGGCGTATGAACCAATCGTTGGTCACCGGCTACCATGGGACTGCATCTCCTCACGATGCTCCACTGCCTTGTGGACTAGACCTTTAGGTCGAAGGCTCGAGGAGTGGCCCCCTAAGAAAACCACCTGCTTCGGTCTGGACACCCGAGCAGTATCACAGCCCACACACAAATATATTGAGAACGATGATCTTATCTGAAAACTATGTTCACGCTGCGATTTATCGTCAAACAATTAACATTATTATTATTATTATTATTATTATTATTATTATTATTATTATTATTATTATTTACCACGTCATTTATTCACTCTCTTTTATTTCCACTCTATCTATCCTTATTTTTCGACTTATACAGCAGCTCACCTGTGGTGAAAATTCGGCTCTATCTAAACGTTCTCGAGTCACTGCCTGGTTGAAAATTGTATGTTACCACCGAATACGAGTACTGAAGCAATCTTTCTGAAACCACGTGCACCATTCAAACTGGCTGCCCTCAACGTTCGCACACTTATGCAGGTCGGACAACAGATAGGACTGGCTATGTCTTTGGAAAGTCTTAATATCGACGTGTGTTGTCTATCCGAGACCCGTATTCAAGACTCTGGTGAAGTACTACAAGTTCGCTCTCCATCTGTCACTTCAAAAAGCTTGTTTTACGTGCGTTTATCCGGGGACCCTGTGGCATCTTCGTCTGGTCTTGCTGGCGTTGGTGTTGCACTAAGCGCTAGAGATGAGGCAGCACTAATCGATTGGATCCCCATTAACAGTCGGTTATGTGCTGTTAGATTAGAAAGTTCCATCAAAGTGAGAAGAAATCGGCGTGAGAAACGATGTCTTTTCGTCATCTCCGCCTATGCCCCGACAGATTGCAGCCCGGATGCAATCAAGGATGAGTTCTACCACCAGTTAACTGTTCTTCTCCAGAAAGTGCGTTCAACAGATATTGTAGTACTAGCCGGAGACTTGAATGCTCAGATCGGGCTTCTAGGCACATAAGAGAGTCGTTTAGGTGGCCGATGGGGACTCGTTGGTCGCAGGACAGATAACGGGGAACGTCCACTGCAACTATGCACAGACCACAACCTGTTTCTGGCTAGCACTAACTTTCGGCACAGTCATCGCCGATGTGCCAACTGGCGTCCCCCTTCTGCATCTCAAGCCTGGACTCAGATTGATCACATCGCGATCAGCTACCGCTGGCGTGGTTGTGTACAAGACTGCCGCTCCTTTTGGAGTACCTATCTGGAATCTGATCATGCTCTGATCTGCGCCAATCTTACCTTACTTTTCAGTGGACAACGAAGTGACCGCCACCAAAGGATTGATGTTAGCAAGCTGGCTGCAACTTCTGTTGCTAGTATGTACCGAACCGAGCTAGCTTCTAGGCTAGCTACCATTCCACCGAAAAGTATAGATGAGCATTGGTTGCAATTGCATGACGCCATGAAAATGGCGAGTAAAGTCACTTGTGGGTTTGCGAAACGTCCCGCTTATAAGCACTGGGTTTCTTCTGGTTCCTTACGACTGATTGAAGCCCGTCGGTCTGCTCCGAGTGACCGTGAGTTTGACCACAGATGAAGGATGTTACGTAACGAAATCGGGCAAAGCTTGCGTAAGGACCGAGAAGCCTGGTGGTCGGAGCGTGCTAATGAGCTGGAAGCAGCAGCTACATCTGGCAATTACCGGAAGCTCTTCCAACTCATCCGAGCCACTGGCAGCAATAAGTCTGGTGTGAGCGAAACAATCTGCAAGGATGACGGAACGCCAATAACTAACAACCATCGACGTCTTGGACGATGGGCAGAATTTTTCAAAGGGCAGTTCAACTGGCCTGCTGCTCCGGCAACATCGATCAGACTGTCCTGCCCTCCATGGCCGGTGACGACTGATCCACCAAATGAAGCGGAAGTCCGCAAGGAACTCCAACTCTTGAAGCGCCACAAATCGACAAGCCCAGATGACTCTACTCCGGCTCTTTTTAAAGATGGTGGTGACTTTCTGACTAAAGGACTGACGGCGTTGTTTATAAAGGTCTGGGAACAAGGGAGTGTACCGACGTCATTGAATGAGTCGATAGTTGTCCCTATCTTTAAAAAGGGTTCACGTCGTTCCTGTAACAACTATCGGGGGATAAGTCTACTTCCGATTGCGTCCAAGCTATTGGCTTCCGTTATACTTCTTAGGTTGTTCAGAACCCGAGAAAGATTGACTCGCGAGGAGCAGGCTGGGTTTCGTTCCGGTCGAGGACGTATTGATCATATCTTCACCCTCCGCCAAATGTTAGAACACCGCCATACTTATCAAAGGCCAACAATCGTAGTGTTTCTTGATATCAGGGCTGCCTTCGATTCGTTGGATAGGACTGTTCTCTGGGATTGTCTATTGAAGAAGGGTGTGCCTGAGAAGTTTATTAACATCCTGAAAGCATTATACATAAACACCTCAGGCAGAGTGAGGGCATACAACCACCTTTCTCCATTATTCCATTCGAGCAGTGGGGTCAGTCAGGGTTGCCCAATCTCACCATTCCTCTTCAACTTTGCCATCGATGACATTCTGGAAACAGCTCTGATGGATGTAAGTAATGGTGGTGTGGATCTGTTGCCTGGAGAAAGACTTCTCGACCTTGAGTATGCGGATGATATTGTCTTACTGTGCGAGAATGCCCAAGCCATGCAATCCGCACTTAGTCAGTTGGTAATCAATGTCCGTAGATATGGTATGTGCTTTGCACCTTCGAAGTGCAAAGTGCTTCTACAAGACTGGCAGGATTCTAATCCTGTACTCACTCTGGATGGTGAGCAGATAGAAGTAGTCGAGAAGTTCGTGTATCTGGGTAGCTGCATAAGTGCTGGTGGTGGCGTGAGTGATGAGATCAATGTACGTATAGTGAAAGCCAGAGCGGCTTATGCCAATCTGGGCCATCTTTGGCGCCTTCGTGATGTTAGTCTGGCTGTAAAAGGTCGGATCTACAACGCGTCGGTGAGAGCAGTTTTGCTCTATGCTTGTGAAACCTGGCCTCTCCGAGTTGAGGATGTTAGACGTCTCTCTGTGTTCGATCATCGTTGTCTCCAAAGGATTGCTAACATCCAGTGGCAACACCATGTTAGTAATACAGAGGTTCGGCATCGTGTGTTCGAGCACAGAGACGATAATGCAATTGGTGTCACCATCTTGAAACACTGACTTCGGTGGCTTGGACATGTTCTACGAATGTTGTCCCAGAGAATTCCTCGTCGTGCATTATTTGCCGACTCTGGGACTGGTTGGAAAAAGCGGAGAGGTGGTCAGTATATGACATGGTGTCGTGGTATGAGAGAAAGCTACAAAGGGCTGGCTTGTGTTGGTCCTTCACGACTCCCTGGCTGGGGTCCGAGAGATGGTGTAACACAGTGACTAGAGACGTTATCAGATATGGCTCAGAATAGAAGCTAGTGGCGATCCTGCTGTAACCTTCTTTTACGTTCTTCGTAACTGAAAGATTTCTTCTGATTGTACCTTTCCGTTTCCCCCATTATTGTTCTCTATCTTTTTTTTTTAATAATTCCCCACGTTCATTACTTTTTTTCTCTCCTTCTCTTCAAATTATTATTGTTTTGTGTGGCGCATATATATTTGGTGCCCCCCTGTACCAATATTTATGTGTTCAAATAAATAATTAAATAACCTGCCATACCACATTATCACGTTGAGATAAAAACAATAAGGTGGCTAGGAAAAGAGATCAAAATAATATAGTAGAAATGACGAGGAGAAAAGCTAAACACTGAGAATATGTTCCACAAAGACGGTGTAAAAGTTTTCATAAAGGGTGGAAGATCGTGAGATAAAGTGTAAATACTTTTGGGCAATTATAAACTTAATGGTCCACTAATCAGTCAGTCATCCCTTGGCAACATAGGATCTGGCACAGGTGGTTATCATTTCAGTTTGTCACATTTCCAGTCAGTAAAAGAACAAGGAATTAACAGATAAAATAAAAAAGTATGATAGTGATTGTGGTAGTGGAAAACTAAACAAAGAATTATTGTTCGAATAGAATAAATCAAGTTGCCAAATGAAAGGTATGTAGTCATTCTGTGTTGCGAAAAAATAATGCATCATTGCAACCGTAACAAATTCTCAAGTGTTTCACGTTAAATATTTAACCAGAATATGACAGTATATGGCGAACATCAACCAATGGATGTGTATCATCAGTATTTATAAGAACTTTTTACCAGCCCGATTAAACCCATACAACATGAACGTTAAGCAGCGGGAGTGTGACATTTTTTTTGTCTTAAATAAATAATATATTTGTAATATCCCAATGAGTAGAAAATTAGATTTTCTGACGTTTCGTGACTTAGTGTAAGTCACTTCTTCAGAGAATAAACAACCAAATTAAAATTAATCCAAGTTTAAATCTAATTTTCTACTCATTGGGATATTACAAATATATTATTTATTTATAACAATCAACCCAATGTTCAATTTATTCGAAAATATCAAATCAAACCTTGGTAATGATACCTACAAACTCATTTTCACTGTCTGTTATACTGATTATCATTTATGTTTACATCATTAGTTCCAATCTATTTTAGCTGTTCTGATGCGAAAAGTTAACCATAATTTATGATTGGATTTCAGTTTTCTGTTTTACGCCTTGTTTATTTATCCTTTCAGGGTCGTGCATTATCTCGAGCCAAATCGAGACGTAATCTCGACTATACTGATGTTTTAGCACAGTTACAGGAAAAAGGTATATCAATACGAGTTGCTTCACCTAAACTTGTAATGGAAGAAGCTCCAGAATCATATAAAAATGTAACAGATGTCGTAGATACCTGTAAGTTCTATTTCTTGTTACTTTAACTCAGTAACTTTATTTGTAGAATATGAATTATAGCTCTTAGCTGTTACACATCTTTTAAAATGTATTACGTGCTAATATCGTAACAAAAACCAATCCTATTTAATATTTTCAAAATGTCATCACATTAATTTTAAAGGCTTCTAAAAACTTGTTCTAAAGGTCGCTTATTTTATACATTATTAATCCCATAACCTTCAAAAATTATGTTCTTAGTAACTATTGTAGAAAATCAACTTTCATTTTAGAAATATATGTTTATCTGATGTGTAGAACTATTAAACGTCGAACTCGCCGATGAGTATCCCAACTACCTCCTCATCTTTGAGCTTTAAGTTTTATGGATATCGTTTGAGAAAGTCATTTTTACTGCATCAATACACTACTTATATGACAGGATATTGTTTGAATTTGACACTAGTTCATCTATTATGTTTGATGAAACTCCCATTAATTACTTAAAATTTACGTTTATTCACGGTTGGAAGTCATGATAGCTACAAACTCGGTATATATTACTTTCATAGACCATAAATTTACTCGTCAACTGATATTAACCCCCTACTACTTAATTAAAATAATTATTTTATAGGCTCTTTGTCTGACTCCATTTTTATCAAACAATGATATTTGTGAAATATATATATCCCGCTTAATCTTGTATATATTCATAAACCAAATGCGTGTTAGCGAATTACGGGATAAAACAAGTGAAATACGGAAATGGTTCGTGGACACAATATATCTCATACTCGCGTTAATGCAGACAGTAATAGAGAAGAAACTGATCGAATACGGGAATCGTGCCAACTCAATTTATCAAGGCGTGACTCAGTATTTATAGTCAAACAGGGGAATTGAGTTTGAGACATGTGACGAAGAGAGTAAGTGGCAAAAAAGTGACAGGGTCAAATGTAAGTGTGGATAATGTCCCAAAAAATGGATTGACAACTTGTCTTGAGTGATTCACGTAGGTGTAAAATACTATTGAATACTGCACTTCTTTATGATAGTCAATTGTCGTAATCAATTAATATATTGAATTTTATACCCCAAACTCTGACAAGCTATGACTCGTGGATTTCTACTCTTTAAATCAGTAGTATTGTACTAGTCATTTTTGACTTATATTATACAATCAACTCAGTAATCAGCTCCAAATTTATCTAATTTGCGTTAAGTCCCTCTTTTCATGTTGGTGTTAAGGGTACTGAGTTAATTTTGGTGATGGAGGATTCGAACATGCAACCCATCAGTCAAAGGTTCAGTACCTTGATTATTAAGTCAGTAGCGATCAAATCTTTTCCCACTTATCTCGGCTTATGCTTCTGTGTAATATCATATTATTTTAGTTTTTACTTCATTAGTCTGTAGGAACCACATAGTCACTGATATTTCACTGCTGTTTCGCATTCATCAGGGCTACTAGTAACATGTAAGTTTAATAAGTCTGCATTACGTCCAAAATCTATGATATTGATATAAGTTTATCGTTTCACCTTTATTTCATGTTTCTATTTTCAAATTATTTATTAACCTTTAAAATGTTTACTGTTATTGAAAAACTGTTGGCTAGTTTAACTCACTTGATATTTTTTTACTTGAATTTCCCATTGATGTTTAGGACTGAAATTGATCAGTCTCTCATATTGGCATATGTGCATACTGTGCGTATTACCTTGATATTGCCTTAATTTACAAACTTTCGAAGCGAACGGTACTGGGTTTAAGTCCCAGAGTGGACATCAACTTTGAGATGCAGGCACATCCAGCTGACGAGTCCCAAATAGGACGAAACGTGCGTCCTGGATTCCATTGCCTGCACTATCCATCTTTGCTTATAATGTTTGTAAGTTAAGGCAATATCGAAGCAATACGCACAGTACGCACATATGCCAATATGAGAGACTGATCAATTTCAGTCCTAAACATCAATGGGAACATTCAAGTAAAACAATATCAAGTGAATTAAACTTCACCCCATTGCACAAGCAAGTGGCTATCAGGACTCAGTAGCTAAGTGGCTAACGCGATGGCGTTTGAAGCGGACGGTAGTGGGTTCGAGTCCCAGAGTGACCATAGACTTTGAGATGCAGGTGCATCCAGCTGACGAGTCCCGAATAGGACGAAACGTGTGTCCTGGATTCCACTGCTAGCCACTATCCCTCTTTGCTTATAATGTTCGCTAGTTTGTTATTGTAGTGTTGATTTGTTTCTTATGTATATTTGATTTTCCTCTCTACCTAGGTCAAGCAGCTGGAATAAGTAACAAGGTACTCAAACTACGTCCAATTGGAGTAATCAAAGGTTAATTTGATATTTTGCTTCGGTCGATACTTTCTTCCCCTCCCAACTAAACCCATGAATTCAATACCTCTGTACACAAAATAAAATTGTTCTGTATACTATTGTTACTTGTTTGAACGGAAAAAATGTGATATTTTTAATTGTGTGATATTCACTGCCAAATAAAATAAAAATAATTATTATTAAAGTATGTCTTATGCTTTCCGTTCGAGTATATTTAGTTAGTGATTGTTATTCTCATTTATTTTTGTAGTGCTGTTGTCTTTGTATACTTGAAATTTTTATACTATTAGATTTCAACTAACTTTATTCAACTTGTTTTCCTTTCTACTGTTATAATGAATATTTTGCGTAAATATTTGTGGTATTTAGTCATTATGTTCAGATTAATTCACTGAATTGTAAACTATATTTAGTTGAAGAGACTGACAAACATTCTATTTTGATGTGTTGGTTGGTTGGAAATGATCAACGCTTGCTAATTTAAATTTAATTTAATCAGAAATATTGTTCTCTTAATAGTTTTGTGAATTTCAGTAAAAAGAAAAGAATATATATATATATATATATATATATATATATATATATTTGTGGCAGCTGATACTAAGTTTTCCCCATTGTTGTGTAAGACCATTTAGTAAAGTTTTTCATCGTTAATAAAACTTAAGGCATGTAATAGATTATATTAATCGGAATTATATTTTGTTCTTTGGTATACTCTCGGATATGTCAAAACATGACTATCGTTTACCGAGCAGTAGTATTTACGGCACTGATAAATCTGTTTATGAGGTAAAAACTGTAGCATTATCCTTAGACAATCATATCACTGTGAGATACGTGTGAACGTCGTTGAAAAATTACAGATATAAGCCAAATCATTGTATAGATGAAAAATAATTTTCTACTCAGCTTCATTTATAACTCCCGACTTCAGTTCTATGCTTAGATTCGTCTTTTAAATGTGCTTTGTTCACCTAAGTTTTTCAAGATGGTAGCAATAACGAAAACACCATTAATTGAAATGAAACAAGGAGTAAGTGGTAGTTTTCTTCGCTTCCTGTTTGCTTTCGACTGATATTGTCTTTCGAAAATTCGTTTTATGAGTTGTAGAGAATTACGAGTTTGGACGTTTTTGGATAATTGTAGTATTGTATTACTGGATTTTACTTCGGTTTGGGCACCCTAATAGTATCCCAGCCCTCACACAAATCGAACGATTTATGTGGCGCATATCTATTTTGTGTCTCCTTGTACCAATTTTTATGTGTTTAAATAAATGAAATAATAAATTTTGCAGCCACCGCAATAAATTCACATAATCTATCGTATTTATTCGACATTTTAGTACGTTAATTAGATGATGATAAAGATGAGACACTGGACGTGATGGAAATGTGAAATTTGAGGATCTTTTAATTTCTGGTAATAATACTATTACTAGCTACGATGTTTTTTGTCTATCAGTTTGTCTAATTATAAGTAGTGACAGTGCATATTGAACAATAACCATTACTGACTAGATAAATATTTAAGTCATCACCACTATTACGTAATGGATGCTTGATTACCTAAAAATAGGATAAAAGTTACCAGTAGAGTCGCATCGTGAAAGTTGTAACGTTAAATATCATTAGTCTAGAGTGGTAACTTACCAGTTAATTTCCCTATGGTTTAAAAAATTATGGTTAAAGTATATTTACAGTAATTTAAGCTTCTGTTGTCATCATCTAGTTCTACACAGCCCATATGGTTCTCAAGTACAGATACCTTAGCAGTAATGATCACTGGGAATAATCACAACTCTGATTTAATCTATGTAAAGCTTTTTTTAAGTGTGTACTTTAAATCTACTCATAAACTGTTGGTAGTGTTATCGAAGTCTACGTCGTACTGATGTATTATGGCAGCTTGATGTAATCCACATTCGTGACTGCTCAGACCCTGAAATAAACTATCAGTTGATACTCCTATATTTCATTGTCTATATTAGTTATGTCCGCCCCCAAATGCCCTGGTACGGCCGAGAGTGGGGAGAGTCCGCTCTCCCTCTCGAAATGCTCCCACATGGCCACGCATTAATAGCCTCTGCCAGGGAAGTCCTACTCACTGCCTTCTCGTGGTGGGGGTGTTGTCTACGAAAATGAGAGGACGAAAAGCGAATGTCCGGCGCTTTAACCGGATCCCAAACCAATGGTGCACATGGGCTCCAGTATCCTGAAGGAACAAATGGCGTATGAACCAATCGTTGGTCACCGGTTACCATGGGATCCGGTTCAAGCGCCGGACATTCGCTTTTCGTCCTCTCATTTTCGTAGACAACACCCCCACCACGAGAAGGCAGTGAGTAGGACTTCCCTGGCAGAGGCTATCGACGCGTGGCCATGTGGGAGCATTTCGAGAGGGAGAGCGGACTCTCCCCACTCTCGGCCGTACCAGGGCATAATCACTCAGAAGTAAATAAATCAGAAAAATACTGTAGCCATTGATTATTGTTGTTTCCAAAGGATTATCTATGCTCTGTCAGACCAATCATACATTTCATTGGTGAGATTTAGTTTTCAATTTCCAGTTAAAGTGATTATGTTTTATTGATAAACTTGAAGAGTATCTAATTCAAAACTATTGTTCAGTCTTATATTGTGTTCTAATGTACACAGCCGAAATTTTCAATATTTTTCAAATAGAATTACACTGAATAGTGAAGTATTAATATAACATTTACTCTTAAATATTATTTACATTACTATACTTCATTAACTAGTGATAAATATCTGAGCAGAATCAACTATATCAAATCAATTTTACTACTGAATTGGAAATATTTCAATAGGCACATATTAATGAGTCCAATTAAATTATGTCTTCATTTCTTATTGTCCTCTGTGTTATATCCGAGCAAAGATTAAATCACGAGTAATTTCTGAGACATTAATTGACTAATATTATCTATATATTCTTACGGTATAACTATTCATTAGTTAGATTATGTATATTTATATTCCCCTTATCATAAGCTTCAATTTGACCTATAATTTATCATTGTACGATTTACTGTCCCTAAATTATGCTCAGTTTATTAATTACTGTCTCCCACATTCACAGCCACTTTTTGGCCTATTTGTGTACATATGTTATTTTCTATTTTATGGTACGTTGTGGTCTGCCTGATTGATATATAAACCGAGTATGTCTGAAATAAATGATTTGGTTCGATTCGGTTGATTCAGAAGCTGGTATTGTGTTCTGGACTCAAGAGGACGGGTTAGAAGGACGTAGGACCCAATAGGACGCTAGACTGCTCAGACCGGTTGAACGTCATTGGTCTTGTCATAGTGCGAATATTCGTATAAGCCGTATTCTGATTGGTGTATAAGTCACGTGATCGTAAGCCGGACATCAAAATCATAACACTCTGGAAGACTCTTATTATTGATGAGGAAAAAAACTGTGTTGTATACTACCTTTAATTCAATTGACATAAATGACTGATGTAGAATACCACCAGTCCACTGTCGATTAGAATTTCCCTGATTTTATCAATAAAGTGTATCGTAAACTTCATCCAATTGTTTTATGTATCCAGATCTAATAATATCAGAGTTTATTTTAATGGATTGTATCTAAGGGTCCCTGAAAATGTAGCATTTATTCGTAGAGAAGAGCTTGGTTCGTGTAACTTTGGCGTACTTTAAAGCCTCTAGATTTCATTCAACCTTAGTCTTGTTCTGTTAGTTGTCCTGGTTTCATGAGCTATGGTCCTATTACTCAATCCATAAATATCTCATTGTTTTCATCTAATCTATTAACGGTATTCTATTTTATTTCCATATGTCCTGGTTTTCTTACTGTTAGTAGGCCCTTGTTGATATCCCTTTTTTAAGTTCTTTGTTTACCTGATCATTGATTGGTAAAATGAAAGTATTTAAAAGCAAATATAAACTACCATTATTTGTTTGTTGAAGAACGTTTCGTAGTGCGGTGTCGTATTTGTGTTTGTCTGAAATAATAGGAATAAACTTCTTATTCCTCGGTTTGTTTCCAAATGCCTCTTATTATTGGCAGTTAACCATTTTACCCTCTTTTTTATCAAGTTTAGTTATGAATATTCCAGACTCTGATGAAGATCTATTGACCATCAATACTGAAAAATTAGACAGTATACTTGAAGATCGAGATAAAGTTATTAATAATCAAACTATCCCAGAACTTATTCCAGATGAAACATATAATTTTTCAAAACAATCTTCACCGGTAAATCGTCTTTATTCATCTGCCATCTATGATCGTATTCATACCGTATTTTCAACAGAGTAAGTTTTTTATGGCTGTTTTTTGTTTGCTAAAGTAGGCAAGTCAAATTAACTACTTTAGTTTATTTTAGCACATGATCTCATTTAAACTGTCGGTTTTCATTTAATTCATCCTGTAATGACTATGAGAACTCTTTTGGAACTTAGTTGAACATCTTACTTGCTACACATTAACAAATGTTGGTTAAAGGTTTTACTGATACATTAAACTGAAATATATATTTTTACAAAGATACCTTGCGTTACTACTGTGGTGTATGCTACTTAAGATGACAGATATAAGTAGTATGTAGCATTAACAGGAAGTGGAATGCATGCCACCTGGCGATTGAGAAGATTCAATTAAAGAGAACGGAATGGGAAACAGAAAGTAATTGTAATGAAAGCAGAATTGAAAGAACTATGAAGCATGTAAGTAACAACTTATGGAAGATGCGCAAATAATATATTTAATATGAAGTTTTCATATTTTACGAAAGCACTTTTTAATTTTGCATTAAATAATAAATTGGTTATCCCCATCAAGTTTGTTCGCTACATTACTGTCCTTTTTACTGAACATATCGCTTACAACCAATGAATAAGCATATTTTACATGTAATTGGCGTTCAAAATATATAGTTCTACACGTTAGTTGATAATCTGTTGTGAGATATGGTGTCACAACGTACTGATTATACATATTTTAGAGCACATCTCCTCCAACAATAATTTTCTTTAAATTAGGAGACAGAAAAGTTTTGTTTCTATTTGTAACCTAAGAAGTTGGCTATTACTACTTTAAAAAGCTTACTGACACCATTGAAAACCTATAAGTAACGAAAAGCTGTATCCTCCTAAATTTGAATTCGTCAACAAACCACACCAATCGATT